TCCCTTGTTCTTTACTAAAGGCTCCAATTCAGAAACTATCAGAATTCCGTGGGCACTGAAACAACAGTTGTGGCCGAGAAAGTGAAACGCTAATGCTGAAGTAGCTATATTTTGCATACATTTCACGGCGCTCCAAAGAGCGATGCTTGATTTTGATGGTTAATTTGGATGCAGAATGCACACTGCGGTTGGCGTCCAGGCTGGCGTGCACATGCAAATCGCCGCCCTGCTTGACGGTAGGGTGCACTGTATGAGCTGAGCATGTTCAGCCCACTCATTTTTAATACTACTAGTCTTTATGTCCCAGCCCAGCCTCCTCTGACAGTCTCTGATTCCATCTTGGCAATGACAGACATGCACAAACACAAACACACGCACACACACACACACACACACACACACACACACACACTAATACACTTCACAAACACTCTCTCAATCGGCCTCACTTCTTCTTCTCTCAGTGAAAACACACATGCGCAGTGTCCTCAGACTTCGACACATTCTCGCTGCTTCTCTATGGGTGAGCCATCATTATCTAGAGAGAGTGCCAGTGTTTGGCCACAGTATGCCTCCTTCGCAGCGCTGAACTGAGCAGCCGAGACATAGGCTGCCGGTAGTGACACAGCTGTCACAGACATGCCTCATTACTGCTGTTGCAAATGTCAAAGCACTAAAGTAATCACTCAGGGCTCCACTGGACACATGGTCATACGGTAATTTACTTTATGGGAAGAGGGGTTAACAGTTGTGTGTATATGGTGGCGTTTTTCGACTGGATTTTACACCATTTTTTGGTTTATTGAAGACACTTTGCGAGATGTATGCTAATGTGACAGCATATCTCTCGATATTAGTTTTTTACCCTCAAGCACAAACTTCCTTCAAAGTCATTGCTGTCAATCCAGCGATGTACAGCATTTGTATCCGCAGAAAACATCGATGTACTGCATTGGTGTTGGTCATTTCATAGTTGACGAGTCGACTGTTCTAACAACAAAACTATGAAAACATCAGAGGGTTTATTTCTATCCCCCCTGACATAAATCACGACTGAGCATTCATTGTTCACAAGTGTGGTATTCTGCCACCAGCCGATTGGTTTGAAGGTTAACATTTCATCCTATTGTCACTACAAGCTGCCGTCACAGCCGTCCAAACCTTCTTGAGCCACATTTGTATTATATATGTGCCTGCATGTAGCGTTAGTGATTTTAATTCTCTGCTATTTGAAAATTACAAAGAAAACGATCAGACCAGATACCAAGCAGACCAAAACAGAGAGCTTCCTGTGTTATTATGTAGCACACTTACCATGCCAAGCAAAATGTCAGAGCTCAGACATCTATTTGTGCTCGGTTAAGATCTGGCATTCTGCCTTCGGCTGTAAAGACTGCAAGTTTCCATTCAGTCCCGGAGGAGGATGGAAAGTGTCACCTGTGATATTTGAATGAAGTGAAATGCATTTTCTATTCTACTGCAGTCAAAGTGAATTTGGAAGTTTATCCTGTAAATGTTTGTTTGATAAGACGGACAAATGTAGATTACAGTTCAATGTCTCGAGCTTTTATCTTGCACAATGTGTTTGAAGCATGCACACCGTATCTTTCCTGAGGGTAATGTACGTAGCCAGCACATGTTGGCTGGGCCCCTTTACGTGTATGACACTTGAACACAAGATATTCATTCCTTCGTTATGGAAGGAGGGGAACAAAAGCTAATCAGGTCTGTTTTGTTGTAAGAACATGAGCAGGTGGTCTTGATTGAAAATGCGTGATTGCAATTTTCCTTTTTTCTCTGATAAAACATTTAAAAAACATTTGTCTCAAGAATTAAGTTTTTGGAGGTGCTGAATTAAATGTCTGCTTATTTGTACTTCTGGCAGCAGAAGGAGAAACAGCCACGATTTGACTTGTGTGCACTTGTGTTTCTTGCAACTCTTTGCACAGATTTTCCGATTACTTGCTTTGTTTTTGGTCTCCCCCAACTATTAACCTAAAAGCTAAATTCAGAGCAGTGTAAAAGCAGGTATTAAGAGGCCGTAGGAATTGTGTGGGGTTTAGTTTGATTCCGTTGAATGCTTCCCTGTGTTCACCAGCTAGTTGCTATCTTTGTCTACCTGCAGTTTGATCAGCGGTGCACAATGGGCTTTTAGAAAACCTCTGCCTGCTGCTACCAAAAACAATGCTACGGAGAAACGTCTGTGGGTTTGCCGCTACAAGCGCTCCTTTTGACGTTACATTTAATCATGAAAGTTACGTATCATAGGATCTTAAAAACTATATGTTATGTTACAAGATACCAAAGACTGCCCTGTTCCTTTACTAACCCGAAGCAACAAGCATCTGACACACTGTGCTTTCATGGTTGAAAAGAAATGAACCTAAGGGTAGAAAGCTGTTTGTGTGGACTGAATGGATCCAGGTTGCTGGAGGTCGTACACACTCAGGTACACCACAGTGCTGCTGCAGTATTGTGGTGGCTCAGACCGGGGTAGTTCCAAGGGCAGCTGCAATGAAGCCATTAATCCAGCCAGGCTATGCTCACCGCCTTCCATTCACTTTAGATGCAGCCTATACTGCAAGTCCCTTGAGCTTGTTACCATAGAGATGACGTGCCCAGGACAAAACGGGGTAGACTGGACTCCTTGACCCTAGAGTTGACGTTTGGTTCATCAAGGAGCAAAGAAAAACTTGTCTTCAGCAGCTTTGCCTGATCAGTAATAAAAATGAAGAATTTGGGAGAACATTGGAATGAATAAGGCACTTTAAAATGTTTGCATAACGAGCTCCTTCTCACCGCAATGGTTCTCTTCTTTTTAATCACCTGCACTCTCCAGACCACCTACACCCTTCTTCATGATCAGATACAGGACCGCCGGGCTGATGTATGATCCAAGGAATTAATCTGCTAAGCCTGATTGCCATTACCGCCATGCGATTATGCACCTTGATTACCGAGCCCACCCCAAGGACCACGACGTGCCCCGGTGAACATTTTAAAGGTGCGCATAAAATTATGTGGTGATTACCCCACAATAGATCAATCCACGGGAAAATGAGACTGTGTGGCCATATAGACCGTCTCAAGTAGGACTGTGATTATTAATAGGTACTTCAGTTGACCTGATACCTGAAGCTTGAACCACTGGAGCTGCTCGTTATCCTTCATATAAGCAAATACATTCCTTTTCATACCTTCTGAAAGTCATTATTGGATTATTGTTGTAGAGGTAGAATTGTTTGGAGTTCAAGCATGGATAAAAGGGATGTTGGGCTCTTCAGAGACGACTGGGGCCGCACTTGTCCCTCTTAAGACGGACTTCAGATATTCAATGGCAGCGCAGATGTGGATAGGCTTGACTCCAAGGAGGACATGCTCCAGTCAGCAGCCTATATAATATAGATATACCGGAGGTTAGTATTTGCATGTGTATCATTCCAAATAATAATAAAAATAGATTATGGAGAAAAAGCGAACCTTTGTATGCCAATGAAATGGAAAAAGGAAGCTTACAAGTGATGTAAGTACATATCATTCTGCAATGACACTTATCCTCAGAATTTGGGCCCATCTAATCCTTCATTGTCATTTTTTTGAGGATATTTTTTATTTAATCCTGGGCCAAACTACTCATTTGGTACAGCAGATAAATGGTCCCATTGACTTATCCAAAAGCAATCCTACAATAAGCGATTAATTAGATGAGACAACGAGTAATTGAAATCACATATGATCCTGGTTTTCTCGCTGGTTACATATGCAACATGTTAGTCACACAGAGACACTTTCCTTGGATACCCCCCCTCCCCCACACACCCAGACACCCACCCTACCCGCAGTGCAACACCACAAATGTTAATATGTTTGCCTTAGTAACATCCTGGCAAGTATTTAATGGACTTGATGTGCTACCATTCACAGCAGAGGTGCGCGTTGTGAGAAATCATAGTTCTCAGTGGCGGTCATATGCCCTCTCTGCACAATTACTTAATGGCTTCCGCAATTACGCGCATCTGCTGGAGTAAAAAAAACAACAACATATATGCTATTGAGAAAAAAACTGATTTATGCCTTCAATCCGCTTTAAAGAATGAGGGTTTCTGACGTGGTTAACATATTTGATGAAGACAACGCAGCTGAAACTGCACGCACACGCTGTAGATATATCAAGGACCATTTACAGTATGCAAATGTGAATTTGAGCTTTCAAATGCACAAATGCAGAAATTCCATCACTGGCCAGAGTTCAATAACTCTTCAGCCTTGAAGTGTCTGGATAATGGTCACTGTGACTGCACATCGCTGCAATTCAAAACCTCAAATATCCATCACTGGACAGCGTTTGCCACTAAAACAACATGGATAAGGGAGTGTGTGTGGATGCTGGTTGGGGCCTATGGTAAGTGATGATGAGTGATGGACAGTAGAGGACGGATACATGCTAGTCAAAGTGCGCCATGTGGCAGCTCGCATTTTTCGCACTGGTGCAGGATGTTTGTCAGCAACAGACAACGCAGGCGCTTACGCACCGCCGTGGGCAAGCAAAGTCGTGTTCCGCCAGCCGGCTGCGTCATGGGCACATGCATGTCCTGCGGACTCCCTGGTAATAGATGCCCGCGTGGTTTACGCTGACAGGCTGGACCATCTTGGCCACCTACAAAGATGCACAGAGCCACAAGCGTCATGAAATTCGATTTTTAGACACAGCCGGCTTTTTTGTATAAATCCCATTTTATTACTTTAAACAGTACTTTGTCCTGTGTTCACGGTGTCTTTGCCAGTTTAAGGGAAAATTCAGCGCCATTCTGATGTGTTCATTGTTGTGGGATACAAGCTGTGTTGCTTTGAAAAGAGGTCCCCACAATCAGAAAAAGAACCAATAGCTTGCACTACTTTTTTATTCTAGAAATGAGAACATTAACGGCATTTTTGACAAGAGGAGACTCCAGTAGCACTATTGTGTGAGAGAGGGAAAAAAACACGATAATAGACCATAATCGCCATCAGCAACTCAGTGGAATTGAATATTCTTTTATTGCAAAAATGGATGAGTGAATGAACAAAGGAATGAATGAACTGAGAGCATCGGATCATCTCATTGACATGGCAAGAAAATGTTGTGTTTAACAAGATTACCACAGCGCCCATGGTGTTCATCTCGACACTTAGAACATGAGAAAAAGGGATCTTTGAAGTCGAGGAGATTTGGAATCACAGCACTGAGTAATAGTGTAGTCTCTTTAAAGTGTTATAGTCAAACGCCTTGTGATTCACAGAGCAGAGTTGTGATGTCTAATGTTAGGGATACAGTGTGGTGCCACAGGTGGACTGTTATAATGTATATTTTCGGAAGGGACACAGTCATCTGAATGCTTCGATGGGGGGTCCAGATGCTCTGGGAAACAGATCGGACAAAGGGAGAAAAAGAAGATACTCGTTTCATCCTTCTAAACCATGCACAAGAAACTTGCTGGTTCCAGAAAATGTTTATTTTGTTCATAAACCTTTCATAAAAATAACAACATCAATATTGATTTGAAGTATTGTAGAAACTGTATGTACAAAATCTTTACTTGAACAGTTAATATAACTTAAGGCAAGTTAAATTACTTTTTTGCAATACCTTGTTGGTGACAATTTCACCAAACTCTCAACATTGTTCTTTTTTTTTTTGTTGCTAAAGTGAACATTTCAGCATACATTATCTCCAGCTAAATGTACCAGGAGTTAAAACCCTTTCATGGGGAAGTCCAAGGTAAAGTCCACAGAAACGCAGCAATGTGTGCTACCTGATTACTCAAAAGCAATGTTTATATGATTTTGCCAGTCGTTTCTAGCTGGATTAAACATAGTTCTCTGTACATATTGTAAAATCCTTTTTGTTGAAAAGCCGTACCACAACTATCGTACATACCGATCCCGTTTCAATCTAGATCAGCAGTTCAATTAAATAACTTGTATCATACCAACAATGTGATGAATTGCGAAAATGTTTCTGATATCAAATTGTAACATTTAAAATATTGTGTTACCAAACAATAGCCCTCAAAAACCAGACATTATTAATGTTTTAGAATACATTTCACCTTGATAAATGACGGTCAAATGTGATAAATGTAAAATATACAGTTAGCTATAAAAATACAAAGAAGTACAGTAATACAAATATATTTATTTCCCATTTATGATATATCTTTCACAATTGTCATAATCCAAACAAGTGTAATACAACACAAAGACCAATGACAAAAACACTGACAGTCAAATGATAAGAAGTTAAACAAACACTAAATTTGTTTAAAGATGGACAGCATTATGGTCAAGCCATAAATAGGTTTGCCTACATTCATGTCAAAACCCATCAGTGAAGGAGTACACCTTGACAGTGGTTGATATTCGCTTAAAGGAAAAATAAATAAAAACACTGACATAAACATGCTTTTTAAGAAACATAGTCCAAACCATTGCTCTAAAAATGCTAAAAGCAGAAAATAAGAATCTTAAATGGAAATATTAATAATCTGTAAGTGCAATCCATCTCGGCTCTGAGGCGATGGAGCTCGGAGCTGTCCAGATGAAGAGGTGCTGAACAGCAGTCATGCAGTGCCGCAGCAGAGAGGTTTGGCTCCACTGACGATAACAGCAACAAGTCACTGTTGATCCGTTTACCGACTTTTCGACCTATGCATCTTTGCATAAAGTCAGACGCATCAGCAGCAAGCAATAAGGCCGAAGCAGACCTCTCTCCCCTTCTGCTCCTGAAAGAAAACTGCAATATTTGCAAAAACCTCTTGTGCCAGGGCATGGACCTGCCGGTCGAACGAACTCGGACATCAACTCGTGGTTAGCTGGCTTATCTTCCAAGACGGAGAGATCCCTAATATTGTACATGTGGAACCACAGCGTTGGCTTCAAATTCCCTCGGGAAGAGTGAAAGTCCACGCGCTGGTGGTCACTTGTGGCTTTATTTCCATTTTCTCCTTCTGCTTCAGGTGTACGCGCCCGTGCCGCTTCCTCTCGTCGCTGCGGGCGAACCGCTTGCCGCAGACGTCGCAGGAGAACGGCTTCTCCCCGGTGTGAGTCCTGGTGTGGGTGGTGAGGTGGTCGCTTCGGCTGAAGCTGCGCAAACAGATGCGGCACTGGAAAGGTTTGTGGCCCGTGTGGATGCGGATGTGCCGGTTGAGCTCATCCGAGCGAGAGAAGCGCCGGTCGCAGCTCTCCATGGGGCAGGTGAAGGGTTTCTCTTTGGCCGGGCCGTGAGAGGCGGCGGGGCTCTTCCTGGCCCTGGGGGGCTTCGTCGGACGGGTGGTGTAACTTTGGGCGAACGAATCTGGCAGCAAGGAAGAATAGAGGATGGAGTCTATGGTGCTTGGTAAGGTCGGCGACGTGTATAAGGAATCGCACTGATTAGATGGCTGTGGGGGGTCGGCGAAGGGTTTCAGGTTAGATGGGAGGCCCATCGGAGGTGGTGGGAGGTAATTATTGTACAGGGGGCTTGAGTAGCTCTGAGAACAGGTGTCAGAGAAACACGGTTCCTGTTTGATGCCCCCCTCCACTTTAAACTCCATCTCTGGGTTGGGACAGATTGGGGGAAACGTGTCTAAAAGTTCCTTGACATCCATCTGCTGGTCGGGGGGGAAATCGCTGGACATCGGGAAGGTTTCTGTCTGGAAACCCGTCTCCAAACAGCCAGACTTACTGAACGCTCCCCACTCGTAGCAGCTGCTCTCAAACTCATTCTTGACAACGACGGGGAAAGAAGCGGCCTCTGACTTTGGTTCGTCCTTCTTCTGGTTTGGAGCTCGGGAGGAACCGAAGCTCAGCTGAGAAGTGGACGGGTCCAGGGCCTGGCTTCCATTCTGATCTTCAGCGTACCCCGGGCACGTCTGGTCTGGGGAGTACAGGGGGGGAGTAGGTCCCGAGCAGGTGTACGGTTGCCTCTTAACGCCGGGGTCTCCAAAATTGCTGCTGTCCATCGGCGCGGGCGACGGATACGTTCCCCGACTGTTGCCGCTGTGTGTCATTTCTGACAGTGGCAGCGTGGAGATGCCCACGATCTCAGTGATCATATTGAGAAGTGTTTCGGTGCTGCACGGCGCTCCCTGAGATGCCTCCACATAGAAACTGCCAGAGTAGGCGAGCGAGGAGGGGGTGTAGGTGTCTTTTGGGCACTCGCAGGGGTTAAACGCAAATTCCGAGTTGGAGGCTTCGGTTTTGAGGGTCGCAGGGGTTCCTTCTGTTGGATCAGCAAGAGAGAAAACTTTGTCATGGCGAGTGTTTTTTTATTTTTGAGAATCAGTGCAAAATTAGCGAGGATGACAAATCGGCGTTACGTAAACATTCGTGTGGTGTTTTGGCTCAGAAATGGCTTTGATAAGATGCCTTCGCGTAAAACGACCGCGCGGAAAGGCGCCTCTATCTGCGAAGGTGCTTAGATTCGACACGTTCAAATTCTCATGCATGCACATTTTTTTTCCGACCGTGCAAAGATGCGAACTCACCGTGGCCGAACTGGGCAGGTACCCCCCGCTCCGCATCGACATACACCTCCTGGTTATCTTTCCGCGCGCTGTTTTCCATCCCCACGGAAGAACTGTTGCAATTCTCAAACTGAGGGTAAAAAGAATCTTTCGCATTCAAATCCATATTGTTCAACATACTGCTGCACTTAGGAGGTCCGTCTCTCCCAGGGAGGAAAAATAATGGAGAAAAAGGGGAAAAAACAAATTATGCGGACAAATGTTTTCTTTCAACCCGTCTTTTGATGCTGTTCAACAAATGATCCAAAGCGGTCAGTGTCAAAAGGTTTAAAAAGCAATTAAAGGTATTCCCGTTTGGTCTCTGCTCCTCCGTGGGTATTTGCTCGCTGTGGATTTCACATCAGCGACTTCCCCTCTCTCTCCTTTTATACACTTTGGCAGCTCCTTCGGCCCTCCTCCCCATTCATCAGCTCCAGTGAGAGGATTCCCCGCTGCGTGTAAACTTCATGCCCATATATGGAAACAGGACGTGACGGAGTCCCCCCCCCCCCCCCTCCTCTAACCCTCCCTCCGCCCATACCAGAGTCTGACGTTGCAACAAGTGGCGATCAGTGTGCGGCGGTGAAACGTTGTAATGATTCCATCTATTTCCACTGAAACGATTTATAATTTCGATGCATGTTATCAAACTAAAGGCGGCCTCTTTTTTATTTTGCTGTTACCACTCAGACCTCCGAGTGCCACACTGAAGGTGAAATGTCTCGGAGGTTTACCTCCATCCACCGGTTTAGTTCTGACAGTCGTCCCCCGGTAGGAGATGTTGCGACCTGGTGGAAACGAGGAGTCCAGCGCTGTTCGACGGACTTGATCGATCCCAGGAGGAACAATCCAGGTTTTGAAGGTAAGAAGGCATGAAAACGTCAGTTCAAGGGACGTGATGGCGAGGTGGTACGTTGGTATGTGAATAACCAAGTCATAAAATACAACATAATGTTTTTTTGTGATGTACCCCATGATGTAACACGTACAAGTACACTTCTTTGTTCCACAATTGGTTTAAACTTGTAGCTTATAATCTTTAACTATGCAAAAGTTATTAAAAATGTTTTTATATATATATATAAATGTATATTATAAAGAGCACGCATTATACCCAAGAGAAATATTGAGACCCATAAGTTAGTTGTTATGGTAAACTACATGCTGCATGCTGTAAACAGAGATAATAAAGAACACAGATAGAACATTATGAACTTGTAAAATATTATGAAGATAAACATATACAGGAATATCAAGCTGTAATGAATAGGCTTATATGTGCAGGGTCAGTGTGAAATTATTAACTGCTGCTCTTCCTTGAAGGTCTGTGTTTAGGAATAATACCAGCGGCTGATGTCCAAGTCAAGTTCAAAAGGAAATACCTAAAGCAAGGACTCATGTGAAGCTGTAAGACGAGCAAGCAATTGAGGGCAGAACTTTGAGAACGCAAACAGATAATAAGACATTCTCCAAAATCATAGTCTGTCAGTTTTGTCTTTGGAGTAAACACTAATGGCTTCGTTTGGGTGACGAGCACGAGAGCAAACTGCAGCTACTAATCTCCCCCATGACCCTTCCTTCTCTGTCTGGGCTGGACTGCATGGCCCGCGTGTTTCCAGTTAAACTGAGCAACTCTTCCCGGCAGTCCACCGCTTTGATTTCCTTTCACAAATTCAATCCCTCTCTTGTTGTTGCTGGAAATTGTGGTCGCTTACAGCATCAGGGTGAATAACTGCAAAGCCCAGTCCAAACGAACCCTTGGCCTTTAAAAGCATTGAAGGGAGTCGATAACACCCCTGAGGTGTTCACTGGTTGAACCCAACTGTTCACATGACATTTCAACCCCCAAAGCATTTTTTTTCCTTTTTCGCAGCCGTTGCCGGGTTGCACTCCGTGGTCACACTTCCTATTACAAAAAGTCGATACTCTTTTATAGGAAGTTGTGGTCCGCGGCAGACCTCTGCCTTCCACCGGTTGGAGGTTCAGGACCACGGATAGCGACGCTGCTGCCGCATTCAGCCGTGAAATCCCACAAGAAACACACATCTTTTGAGTCGCTCTCAACGGTTCCCCTGGTTTTTGAATTCTTCTTATTTTTTTCTGGATTTAGATTTTATACAGAGAGCATCCAGACTGTATAATCAGCTACGTATATGGGTTTTTAAAACCCAGAAATGCTGTGGAAATGATCTCTATTTTGACTACATTCATTAAGTAGTGTAGTGAAATATTATGATTTTATATAAGAAAAATGTCTGGAGCCAATTTCCCCAGCGTAAAATATCTGAAAACTTTATTGTATATTGTTGCAGTAAGACATTTTCAAGAGTTTCATACACAGGCCAGAATATAGTGAGAAGACCAAAGCCTCCACACCACAACAAACATGAAGTTACCAATGATCATAGATTTCTTTTTAACTGTACTGAGAGGATTCCTGTAAGCTCCGGCCATTTGAATAGTAACAGGATTTGTTATAGACCAGATTAATTGAGGATTGAAATGCTTGTGAATAAATTATATTGTGACTACTTTCACACAGAGGCAAAGACACTATTAGGCATAGAGCTCGCTTTTATTAGACTACTCAGATTTAATGTAATCTCCATAGTCAAGGAGCAGTGGAGAATGTATGAAAGGATCTTTCAGTCGCTGGCCTGTCATCTTTTTAAGGTAGTGTATGATAATAGCCTATAAAATCTTTCATTGCAGCTGTGACATTCTCCTGGACAAATCGTTTTCACCTCAGATGTGCACTCTAATTCTAGCCCCAGAGATGTTTAGCTTTGAGGAACTGCCTCCGAGTAATCCAGAGTCTATTAAAACCAATCTGATCACACGGGGTTCAGATCACGGGATGCTGTTATGATAACTGCAGTGTGGCTGACCTCTCCCCTCCATAAAATGCCACAGCAAAGGGACTAAGTAATGGATTTATGTAATGTTAGCACTTACTGACATTATAGCGCTGGGGTAACTCCATACCTGTGAAAGTTAAATGAAAGCCTTTTGTTTTATTCCTTTGCATCTGATCAATGTGAAACAAAATGCTCTTGTTACTCGGGAATGAATGTTTTTTAAAGAGAACATCTACATCAAAAGAGGTTCGAGGTACTGACAGGACAGAGGATAACACATTTTCAATAAAAGGATATTTTGGCACTTATTCTGAATAGATTACTTCAGCCAGCACAAATTGAATGCTTTAATTTGTACCTGACCTAAATAGGCTCAGTTTTGAGTGTCTCTTTTTAATTTTGGCATCAATTGGAATAAAATATGTTAACAAGGTAAATCAATACATTTAGCCATAACCTACTCATGCACATGGATATATGCGTCTTAATTAATGTTTCATTTCATGCACATGCAACAAGGCCAACCGTTTACAGCTATGCTAATCGTTAGAATATTATATTATATTCTGCTCCAGCTTGAATGTGGGTGGCAAATTTTGTGGCAATCCATCCAACGGTTGTCGTGACGTTTCATTTGAAACAACAACTGTCAACCTAATGGAGGTGTTTGAAAAAAAAGTCAAGGAATCCATCATTTGGGGATCCAACAAAGTCTCCACACAAGTTTGTGCTTACTTACTTACTTCTCCTGCTGATGTTGAGACATCACACAGGATGACGCCACAGCAAAGAGTCTGAGAATCCACACGTCAGCATGCTTCATCTTTTGAGAGTCATGGATGAAACGTCATGGCGCTCTCTATCAAATAGTTGTTGAAAAGTATCTAGCTGGACAGAAGGGATGCAAAACCAAGACTGGAGCCACTCTAGTAGCATGTCTGTAAATGCTCACAGCCCCCTTTGGATATAACGACACCTGTGTTTCTAAGTACAGTGGTTCATTCTGGTTTTACTTACTCTGACACATTTCAGTTTTTGTTGACTACACTGCTACAGCTGATGTGTGCTGGATGCCCAATATTACTTCCATAACAGCAGTGCATGTTTTGTGCCTCGGAGAGAGGTAAATACTTTTCTTTACACTGCATATGTAACCCCATGGCCGTGTTATTTTCAGGTTCACTCCTGGACGGGGTGTGGGAGTTTTGCTTGCAGGTGGGTGCCTGATAGAGTTGGAGAGGCAGTGAGGACTGACTGGCCTCTGAGATCACCGCCTGCAAGATGCAGGAGAGAGAGGACGGCTGTGTCTGTTGGGTATTTTTTGTATTTTTTCTTTTTCTTTTGATATTTTTTTCGTTCAAAACACTAATGAACACAGGTTCATTAGTGTTTTAATAGCAGTCAAGCTATTAACAAGAATACAAAAAAAAAAAACATCAATAGATCATGTTACATGTAATTTGGGTTCTGTTTGTGTTAGAGTTTAGACGTTAAGCTCCTCATGATAATTAAAAGCACATTATAATTCTGGGTTAGAGCCAGTTTCTGTTCATTTATGGGTTTGCGATTAGAATTCTAAATTCCCTGTAGAATACAGCTACATGTTTTCTATTTTCTGAGAATTATTAATCCCAGACTAGCTTTTGTCTCAAGACGCAAGAATCAAAGTATCATCTGATTCTGGCATCGCAACTCGGCAGCACGGAAAATAAATACTTGTCATAGTAATTCTTATTTGAAAATGAATATATCAAACTTGATGCACATTAGCTTCTCAAAGTCTTAATGCCTTGGCCTTTTGTCAACCAACTGTGCAGCCCACACTGTTGTTGTGAGTAAATAATAAAATTACTTTATCCATACCAGGAAATCCACTGAGGTGCAGAGGCTGCCATTTGCTGTTTGAAATAAAACAGCATTTCAAACCTGATCTGGAGAGGTTATGCAGGAAATACTGTGATGGTTCTCCAAAACAAAAACAAAAAAATAAGGTAGACTAAAGCTCTTCCTGTAGCCGTGTAGTAATTAAATGCATTTGGAACACGGTACGTGCATTCACAGCCTCAAGTGCTCGGTTTTACGACTAATGCCAAAAGTTTGTGGATGCAAAGCTGATTTTTCTTCTTTTTTTTTTGAGCGATCCTTAGAAAGCCGAGGTTGCACAAGAGCCGGAGAAATCCATCTGCCTCCCCCAAATCACATTCTGACATGTCTCGCAGTCAAATCTCCCCCCTAGGCGATAGATGAGGGAACATCTTCAACCTAAACCTGGATACAATAGGGCCTGTAAGACACCGCAGAAATGGATTGGGAGTGCTAAAACCACAGAAACCTCTGCCGGAAACACGACTTTCTATAAATACAAGATTTTCGCCTTAGCTGCCAAGTTCGTTATTTCCTCTCCCTCTCCTTCTCTCTCCCTCTGTCATGTTGGGCTCTGCATAGTTATATATACTGCATCATCGTTCAAACGCTGGGCAATTGAAAGCGAAATAGCCCAAATAAGAAAAATGAAAGCAGCGGAAGCGTGGTTCTTCTTTTGAAGGAGCATTCTCTCTCTCCTGCTCTTCCTCTGAGAGTGGGAGTGGGTTAGGGAAGCCCGGTACAAGGCCCCGATGCTGCTGCTGTTGCTGCTGGTGGTGTGGCAGGTTTCCCGTGTGATCCAAAAATACTTTCGCACTCGCCCACTTTGGTCCCCAGCCGCCTGTACTGTTTGGTTCTACAACAGGGAAGGCTGAGAATCGTACTCAGCTCTCCAATCGTGATTGTGGAATGCCCCAGCGTTTCTCTAACCATGCCCCCAGACTCCTCCACACACACAGCACTTGCATGGCCCCCACCTTGCCCTCTTCTCTGCCGGATCCATGCTCGCAGCACTTTCAGAGTCAAATTCTTGGGCCCGATCCAGCTGCTGCACCTGCTGTTACCTAACTGCTCGGGCGTTTTTAAGACAAATCAATGAAATGGGACAGTTTATTTTCATGTTTTATCATTTTTGATTCAAACCAAAGAACACCTCCACTCACCGGAGAACTGATGGAACGTTATTACAGTGGATAATGTGTTTAAATGACAAATATCTGGGCTTTGTGCAGATGCAACACAATCCCTTTAGAGTGAAGCTCAATAACGTCCACTACACAAAATCGTTATCACTCTAACTAATTGTGTATACTTCTGACATATTCAAGTCCCTGACTCATCTGCGCCCACACCTATACCCCCCCCCCCCACATCCATTGACACCACAACATTTATGAGAAAAAAAAAAGATTGTTAATAATCAGGAAGCAGTGCTTCCCTCGCGGCTCTATCGATGCACACACAGTCACTAAGGGGACACACCGTGCAAACAGATTATAAAAATTGCTAACAGCAGACATGCGAGGAAACGGATGAAGAATGTTAAGGGCTTGCAGCTAACAAAAGTAACTATGGAAACGGCCATCTCTACATTGCACTAGCTTCCACAGCTCTCTCCAGAAATAAAAACTGTTGGGCTAAGAGCGAATCAGGTAAAGACAAAAGATCCTGGGTGAACCTATTTATAGTGGGCCTTACATAACATACATAGACCTATGTTCGCTGAGGCAAGTTTGGTGCTTAACAGCGAGCTTCGGCGAGGGGGGAGGAGAGGGGGGGGCAAAAGCAGGGTACACAGAGCCGGAGATGCTGAATAGAAAGACGCAAAGTATAAACAGCAATTAGGCCAGTGTGGATGATGATGCTGATGGCAACTGCGAAATAGAAAAATTTCTGCAAAAGAAATGACGGCTTTCTGTTTTGATGTCGGGGAGAACAAATGCTGTTGCGCGTTTGCTGGGAGGGCAGTGATGTCAACGCCGGAGTTCTACAAACAATATGAACGTGCAGTTGGTAAATTAAAATTGACGCCTTAAGCAATTCACAGCAATGAGGCTTAAGGGATGCGCGAAGACAGAAAATGGATGAATGCCGTTTGTTCACAGGTCTTCCTTATTTTTATGGGAGGCCAAAAAGTTGTGTCAGGGAGCACGCACACACACACACACACACACGTACATCATACTGTGGCCTCGGGACAAAACATCTGAACATAAGCCCACATGCAGACAGGAAACCTATGTGAGCCACTCTAATGTAGCAGCAGTGATCATGGAGAAATATAGCCTGCCACCATATCTTAAATCCAAATTGGACCATTTGCATAATTATCCACTTACACTGCTTTAATTCCAAGTAGCTCTCCATTGTAAGTAAAATGATCGCTAAGCTGTATTCAAAAAGCCTATTTTCCACTCATAAATGCCTTATTAATTAGCTCCCTCTAGCACAAGTTCCCAGTAATTACATTCAATACAGAAGTCATTGCTACGAGGGGGGTATTTCAGCAACTATTAGACAACTTTATAAGAACTCTGCAGATGTATAATGGGTTTGCATCTACACTTCAACACTGAGCCGCCGCGGCCATTTGGACACTGCATTGTCTCCATGTTCACTGCATTCTCAAGCCATTCTTTGGTAGTCGGTATTCACAAAAAATTCACTATGTTGAAGCTCTGATAAGGTTGGGATGATATGTAAATGAATACTCCCTGACTCATCTGTTTATTATGCAGTCACATTAGTTAGCTCTGATGCTGTTTGGCTATTATCCCATCTCACTGTGAAAAAAGGGTCTTGGGTGAGGGGGATGGATTGCGCAGAGTGCTTTAGTCACACAGATTGTCCGCACTCTTCAAAGAAATAAATGCTTTTTCGACTATAGTTGCATTGAGGGGATGTGGAATCCATTTCCTCTGAGAGAAACAGAGGAAGGCAGAGGATATGGCTCATCTGGGTCCAAATCCCCCCCGATTCCTTGCTTGCGTTGACAGGTCAAAGGGTCAAATGATGAGCTTCCGTCTCCCACGACTGACAATCTATAAATCATAAAACAGTATTTTTAACATCCAGACCCCAAAAATTGAGCCAAGGGAACTTTTCACGATGTTGAAAAATGCTAAAAGATGGATCTGCAACCTTTTCCAAGATGCAAACGGGTACAGTGAATATTTGTGTGGCTGTTAATCCACAGCATCCATCATGCATCCTGAACACAAATACTGCAGCTTCTAACACATGTAGTGAAACTACTGAGCTTCTGCTGCTCTGCTAACTGATAGAGGTACTATTTTTATCCGTGAAACCTTAATGCACCATGCTAAGCCATCAACTATACAGCTGCACATCCTGTCCATTCAAAGGATTGATAAAAGTGTAGAGGTTGGAACTCTGCGGTCCCGTTTCAGCGCTCCCAGTCGCTGCGTTTTATATTTGGTGTCAAAGTATTAATCAGAACATTGCCACCGAATGCCCCAGAGTGCGAATCAATGCCAGCACATGTCAAGGAGTGAAAAGAATTTGCCATCTATGTACACTCTATGCCATTTGATTTTAGCTAATTAAGCACAAGGACCTCACAGCAACTGGCTCCATGGAAACCATGTAAAAAAAAGCAAGAAAAAAAAGCAGATGGACGTCAGCTAGAAGCCTTCCAATGTGCCATCTGACAAAAGGAAGAGGACAGGGCTGCTGTACTTAAGGTCACAGCTTTGACTGACAGGAAGGATGACATCGCTGCTGAACAGCTGAGGAGTGATTTAGGATTTAATCGCCAGCTGTATTGAATGACCTGTAATGTAAACATTACATGCAAAATGGTGAGAGTTTATATCAATAGTCGGAACTGGAGGAAGGTAACAATTCCATTATTTAGTAGATCGAGATCTAGTTATAAAGGACAGGTCAGGTTAACAAAAATAAATTAAATTCAGATTCAAATACAATGGATTTTTGGTCCTTTGTATTTGAAGCAGGGAATAAAGCCAAAGGCTTGGATTCAATCACTCACTTGCATACACACAAAAAATACCAAAGACACAGAAAGACAAAGGAAATTATTTAAACCGTTTATTGTTTTTAACAAAACAAACATCAGTCAATGTTGTATTCCCTGTCGGTCAAACCACAGTCTGCGTGTACAAAACATGGCTGCTTTCATAAGCGATCATTTAAGAAAATATTAAACACTGTTTTTCTTCACAAAGACTATTATCAAACAATTAAATATCGAAAATACCAACCATTAAGACGGAGATGAGAACATGTGTTTTAAAGAGAAATGGCACAACAGAGAATAATGACCCTCATTCATTTACCCAGATAGCGACATGGGAGAAATCTAACAGTTGTTCATTTACAGCATCACACATGTAGTGTGTGAGCATGAACGCTGCCCCAGAGAGGTGGACCTGTGGTTTCCTAAGTATTAAAGAGCGGTCTTGCTTTTCCATAATAAAAAGTTGCAATGAAGCTGCATGCGGGATATAATCTCGTTAAAAAAGGGAAGAAAATAAATCACCAATTTCCACCTCTTGCTCTTTGTCTCAAAAGGAGGTATGAATGCAGTTTGTCACTAACGTTCTCCATGTCTCGATGCCGTCACTGTGCTCAGTCAGACAGATGTGTGCTGGAGAGCGTCTTGAAATGAACGGTAAAAAGCAGCGAGCGCCGCCAACGAGCCGCTGCATCGGTATTCTGGCCGGCACGGTAGAGATGCTGTGTGGGAAAACCACTAACAGCCAGCGGAAAGAACAACAAGGACATTTTGGGAGAGTTTTATTATGTTTCTATATAGTTTAAAGAGTTTTTCACAATGAGTTAACGGTGCAATTAAGCCCATCTTCAGTCAGCGGAGAAGAAAAACTTAAAATCAGGTGGTATTAGTTAGTTTAGGTGTAATATTTTTTACTGACTTTTTACTCTTAATTAATCTGACGTAGAGAAAAGTAGGGAACACATTGGGGAATTTACTTAAGTGGACTGCATACGTTCAACACTGATTCAACATCCACATAATGAGGTGGCAAGTGTTTCTTTAATGCATCTTGAGTATATAACTCCAGTGAAGCCAATCACAAGCAGTGATTGGCTTCACAAAGTAAAAGGCAGCTGCACTGAAGACTTTGCTTTTCAGATAATATCTCTGTGAAGCTTGCCATTTTATCTAATGCATCTTCTCTTTCATCTAATTCATTCAGTGTAGAAATAATCATAAATGTTTTTTTCCCCCCCAAATGGAAGATAAAATTACAAATATCAAACTGTCAAGTTTCCTCGACAAAACCAGTGATATTTACACCTGATCACGATCACATCCAGACGAAACGAAAGCCAATACCTTAGAAAACACAACTTGGAGCCTGCAGCTCGTCAGTACTGTTCAGCCATCATTAATACGGTCAGCGCTGACCAGCCGGTGAAGGGGTGGCTTCCTTGGCCCCGACCAGTGCCGTCGTTGTACTGTTCCCAGACGTACCCAGTTTCAGCGTACTGTCTATAAACGTTATTGATGATGTTAGTCCTGAGTTCCTGGTACAGAGCGGCTGCCTTCTCGCGGTGCGGCCCTTCCGCGTTGCTGTAGTGGTGCAGGGCTCTGACGGCCAAGTAGTTGATGTTAATCCATATCGGCCCCCTCCAGTAGGGGGCGTCGTGCTCTGTGTTGCGCTTCATGTACAGAGGGTCGGCTCTAGAAAGTGAACGCAGCCCGTAGGGCGTCCACAGCTTGTTCGAGTCTCTCATGTCACGGAAGACGTGTTCTAGTTTGGGTGAATCCGGGGTAAGAATGTGCAACAAGAAAGGAAACAAGCTGACGTAACCCAAAGCATTGACGTACTGGAGCTTGGGCGCCCGGCGGACCGAGCGCACCAGACGCGCCACGGGGAACTGATGGCGAGGTTGTCCGGGTGGCACGTACACCTTCTCCTGCTGCAGGGACACCGCCTGGGTGTGGTTCCCGAAGTCGCTGAAGGCACCGAGTTGATCCGACCAGTGGAGGTCACTCAGCAGGTCGTTGTCGCTGAGCACCTGGTGGGTAAGTTCGTAGTCGTGATGAGGCTCGCCCAGAAGCCGAGCTATACTTGCCATGATGCCCGAGGACAAGGCCATCCAGCAGTGTAGGTCTACATGGCGCTCATCTGCCGACGGGTGCGAGGCCCGGGGGTAGTCGTCCAGCCCTGAAGTCAAGGTCTTGGGATTGAGGAAAAGATTGGTGTCCTTGTCGCGCCCACGCCAGCGGTAGGAGTTCGGCAGAGGCCCCGTCTGCGTGGTGTTGTACCAGTCGAACCAAGTCTTCAGCCGGGGGAAGAGCCGTCGAAGGAAAGGCAAGGTCGGTCGAGACGCCGGCTCTTCCGCTTTTGACGAGAGCTGCTCGATGAGTTCCTGAAGGGCCAAGAAAAGCGTAGGTGGGTTGGCATTCTCGTTACGCTGAACCACAAACTCGGCGGGGACTTTTCTGCGAGCCTCGTCTCCCAGGATCTGCTCCCGCGGGATCCAGCCCTCATATTCATCAGGTCTATCCAGTGGGCACAGCCTCCCTCGTCACTTGGGATCCACTTGCTCAGCAGAGCTGGTGAAGCCCTCGTCCCAAAGGAATCCTCTGGGAAAGAAAGAGCGCGATGGCACGGCGGTAAACAAAGCTCCCTCGGGGTAAAGGAGCGGGTATTCATTGTATACCGACTGTACCACGGACTCGCCGTAGAAGTAGCCCATTCCACCCAACATGTTGCTGAGCGCTGCCTTGCCAAACTTGACCTGCGACTGGCTGAAACCTTTGCCCTCGAGGCCAAAAGTCTTCTCGAACTTCGAGTCGAACTCGGCTTTCCTTCTCTCCAGCTCCTGAGTCATGACTGAGCCCACAAGCTGGTTGGGACGTCTGTGGAAGCTCCCCGACTCAAACAGAACTTCAATCTGGAACGGCATCTGGACGGTCACCTGGTGGACCACAAAGTCACTCTCCTTCCGTGGATCAGCAGGCTTGGATTGGTGGGGGGGCTGGTAGGTGTCCACGGCTATGTAATGTCTTTTCTCACCCGAAGGAGGGCTGTAGATAAACCTACGGTTCAGACTTTGCTTCACAATGTCGGTCAGCTTCTCCAAGCCAGGAGACACAGTCTGAAGATAGTTGTATCTGGAAACAAGAGACTCTTTTTATTATTTATTGTGTATTTATTGCGTTTTGAAAGGATATGAAGTCACATATTTATCCGGTGAAATTAAGTGACCATGTTAAGCCTCACACATCTTTCTACATGAATTACAATTCCATCAATTCTTATAACTCCAATCCGTGCATACTGTGTCTTTGTATTCACTACGCTGGTGTTCTCTGGCTCCCATGAAAGTTTGAAATATTGGTTGGTGGAGAACACTTTCACTAATTAAACAGCAGTTGTGCAATTTCACAGTCCTCAGAGAAAAACTGCTTTTCAGACCATAGATTTAATTTGTATCCGTTATGATGTATATTAGGATGTTCAAAAACGTTCAGAATTAAGAAAACAATTCCTCTAGTGTGCTGTGGATTAATGTGTGAAACAAAGCTGAAATGTACGCTTTTGCTGCCATCTCATGGTGAGATTTTTACACATTGGGACATTACCACCCAAGGACTGATTCTGGGACCCAGGGAGATTTGAGGGTCACTCACATTGCTTTTTTTCTGCATAAAATAAGGGGACTCATCTCACACTTTAAATCCCTTACATACATTTTGTATGCATCTGTTCCTCACATGCAGCTTAAATGTGCACGGTTCACCTCTGCTATGTGACAATGTCTCACATTTCTATTGGCAACCCTTTTCTTACACTCACTGACAATTGAACTATTCAGTATTAAACAAGTAAAACTGTTTCACCAATTTCTGCAGGTGATACCGGATTCCTTATTCTTATACTGAGCAGTGGCATGCTATGGTATCCTTCCTCGAGGCGCCTTATTCATGATCACTCTGAAACTGTTGACCCAACAGTTCACTTCTGCATTGATGCACTTACGTGGCATATTTGGCAGTGGATAATTCTCCAGTAACTGGCTTTCGGAAGGTGATCTTAAAGTTTCCAAGTTCTTTGGAGAAACCGGTGACGGACGCCAGGCGCTTTCCGTCCTCGAGGTGAGCCTCCAGTGAGCCCTGGGTGTCTGCTGCGGTGTAAAACATCAGGGAGAGGACTGGCGCTTGAGGGGCCGAGCTCTGGTGGGTAAATCATAAAATGATTAAAACTTACAATAGTTACTAAGTAAGTAAAGTATGTGTGTCATGCATGGGAACATCTGCTCATTGGGCTAAATAACAAAAATCCAGCACTCACGTGCTGCTTGGCAGTGACCCTCCACGTCCAGTCTCCTCCGTGATCCCCTCCCATCCTCTTGACAAACTCGGTCGTTAATGTGAAATCGCTGTCGCGGATTTCCTGGACGCCAAAGGTGATGCCGTCATGCATCAACCAGCCGTAGCCTTGCAAACGATCCCCTTGCTCACAGGTGTGCCTCAGGTTCACATCCATGTCAGCAAACTGACGCATCCACATCATACCTGGGGAGAAATGAGGAAAGTGAAGTTCTTTGGTTGTATTGGAAAACACAGATCATTTTATTTGCTAAACATTAACTAGTCAACGGTTTCATGTAAAAAAAAGGGTGAGTCACAAAGCTCTCTGGATGCATGCAGCATGTTATCGGCCTACTGGGTTTTGAGAACGGCAGTGCTTGATTAAATGTTCCTGCTCAGTACTGTAAAATGTAGTAGACTGCAGCCATCTAATTAAACAACATTTGTCAACAACCTGGGCTTGTTTCCCAGCATTTATCCGATCTAGTGCAATTAAACAGTCAAGATTTGATTAGCGCTACGAAGCAAATATTTTGACAAAGCAAACTATTTACAAACGTGTCCGCCCACCTGCCACAATCGACCTGGAACTCCTGGTTTTCATGCCAAAATACACCTGAGGCCTGTATGAGCCCCAGAACCTGTCGGCGGAGACCGCCGCACTGCTGCTGTTGGCGTCCAGGACGCGAGGGGACGGGTGCGGGGTCACCACGCGTTTCGCCAGGCTTGATCGCATGTGGAGGGCGTAAAAGAACCAGGCCAGACTGAAGATGCAAAGGCCAATGGAGATGTTGATGAATACTTTGCCAATATCGACTTTCTTCTTCTTGTCTTTTCGGTGGAATGCAGGGGGCTTGTCGTCTTTCCGCAGTAGGGGAACAGCTTCGCCAGCCACCACCCTCTTCCTCTGCCTGCCCATCCTGCCTTTCTCAAGCTGGAAAAGAGATGGAGGAAGATACCTTGATGTAACGAAGTGGTCCAATATCAGTGTCTCCCCTTCAGTTTAATTGGACCCCCCATTAGAGATCTGATGGTCTACATACAGTTCTTATACACTTGATGAGCGTCCAGTGTATGTGTGCGTTTGCCCTTTGTACATAACGTTAAATTAAACAATAATAAATACGTAAATATACTTTATAGGTAAGAGGCTAACGGTTAGCCTTACAGGTGATATTACAGCATCGACTGATTTGTAATTAGAGGCTTTTTCTATGCATGGTGTCTTCAACTTGAGTAGCGTAAAGTAGAAATCACCGACACCCGTTTTAACCGGAGGTAGCTCGGCACTAAGCGCTGCCGATACGCTGACAGCAGGTTGCACGCTGCTCCTCAGCAGTGCTAACGTTCGTTTTTACTCAAACCGACCGGTTGGCTTTGATTGGCAATGAAATAGAAAACACGGCGTGAGTAGAACGTTTTAGCTTAAAGTAAAACCCAGTGAATGCATACAAACCTGTCAAAGTACCAGTCTCTCAGCACTACTTCATTCTACGATGCTAGCTTGCTAGCCACTTCCTGGTTAACATTTTTTTTTTCTAAGACGATGCTGTGACGACCGCCCTTCCTTTCGTCTGATTGGCTAATTGTTGATGACTTCGTGGGCTTGAGGGTTGGGTCGGCGTCAGATTGGTTTAAATAAGCCAATCAGAGGCAGAGTAGGGCGGGCCATACCTTTGCTATTCTAGAAAAAAAGTCTGTTGAACATTGGAACACGTCAGTGAAATACACAGTTCCTCTCTCTAAGAGGACAGTATACAAATGGAACAATAACAAAAGAGTCAGAGCGTTTTGCCGAATTAAAAATTGAATTTACATATGTAAAGAAAAAAAGTGATAATTCCCCAGAGTCCAAATTCACAACCAAATTATTGAGTGAGATCAATGAAAAAATAGATTTCAGAATACCACAGAAAGAAAAATAGAAATCCTCTTTTATTTCATTTATGTAATTAGCAGAGTAAATATTTCGCCTCCATAACCTTATTTATATTTAGTATTTATGAGGTAGCATCAAGACCTTCCACTACAAGTACTCCAGTGTATTTTAACGTTATGTTACCAACTAGTTCCAGTGAAGTACAAGTTTCCATAAACCATTTATTTACACTATAGGCATAATAAAGCTGTTATAATCCGTAGTCTGTTATCTTGGACGTACCAAAAATAGGGTCAAGAGAAAAAAAAGAAAAAAAAGCTACCATTGGTAAAACTTCCAGAGAAGATAAAAGTGCCTGACACAGTTATAATACACATTAAGGATCGTAATTAATGTAATTCACTTACTCATCAATACTGCTGGTCAAATTGCAAAAGAAGGAATGCGGAAACTTAAGTTTGTTGCTTTTTAATGAATGAAATATATTTCTTAGCCACATTTACTTTCGTCGACATGAAAAACAGTTACAAACAGTGCCAGAACGTAATGTGCATAAATTAATATGCATTAACATAGTCTTCCAAGATAAGCCGAAATCACCATTTCAGATATCAGACAGGTCAAATAATTTAAAGACAATTCCCCGATATTCTGTTCTTTCGGTTTGGCTTTACATCATAAGGTTAACTATCCGGAATCCATTTCTGACCAAGTGAGCTGTAGATTTATTTATTGCAAGCAGAATTCTCAAACTAGTGCTTGGTCAATCTTTTGTTCAAACACACATTAACCCCCAAATTATTATTGTAATATTTATTTTTTTAGAGAAAAAAAAGCTTTCAAAGCAGCTTTGCCCTAATGTAATATTTAAATAACTGGCAACAGGTCTTGCTTGATACAAATTAACATTGGGACCGAAGAGGCAAAAGAAAGAACAATAAACTGTTCAGAAAGACTTTATAGAGCCACTCGAACCAGAAGGTACAAAGCTCAATGTCCTTGAAAAAAATAATTTGGGGCAAAAAAAAAAAAACTACCAAGTGCTCACTGGCTGTACAGTAGCAGTTGTCTCTGAAGTGCTTTTTTCATTTCTAGCACTTGACATGGAAAGAAATAGAAACATGGCAACAGCTGAAGCAAAGCCAAAACACCGACATTCTTCTCCCCCCTCCTGCTGCTCTTACTCACACTATTGTTGCTAAAGGTATAGTGTGAGGTACAAGGTACGACGAATGAGGAAATAATAAAAATAAAGAATTTTCTTAGAACTTTAAGACGGTGATGAACAAGATGAGTGGAACTGAACACCTGGGAGACTCTTGGGTCTACGGTCGCGTCAATGCTGGTTTGTGTAATGAGAACATTATCTGGAGATGAACAAGGATTCTTAAGACTGCCAGTATGCCTGGTTTCAAAAGGCAAACATGCTGGAGCAAAATTTAGGTGCAACAACCTGAAGACATCACCACCACCACCAAACCCACCAACCCCCTGCCCCTCCTCCTCCTCCTGCGGCCGCTCTTCCTCTTGTGGATCAGTTCTTGATCACTCCCCCGTCCCCCTCACTCACAAAACGCTTACGTCCTCTGGTGGAGGAAAAAGTTAGAGAAACATGTTACAGACCAATAACCAAAAGAGAGTTGATTCTTATAACCAACAACTTCTGTGTTGTCAATCTAATATTGGTTATTTCTCTGTAGCATTGATGCCCAAAAAATCCAGTTCCAAATCAATGAGCCAAACTATTGTACAGAGTTGCATCATTTTCACTAAAACTTTTTTTTTTTTTTTTAACAGTTTTGAAGCACGATAGATGCCCACTCACCTGGCGAGACATGCATCCCTGAGCAGTTTTGTGATGACTGCCTCCTTGTAGCAAAGGTCCACAAAGGTCTCCATGATGGAGTGGGCATGTGGCACGTCAAGGTTAATTTCTGGGAGCTCATCATAGACGCGCTGGAAACCCTATAAGAGAGTAGAACAGATTGTATAAGTATAAGGTGAAACGGAAATGTGTTTTCATCCGATATGCCGATCATGTCTTTCGTAAAGAAAATTGGGGTTTGAAAAAAAAGGAAACCCGAGGCACTGACCCGGTTCATCTGATCCACAGTGATGAGGCCCGTTTTCCAAAAGGACTGCAGCAGCTTTATCATCATGTGACTGGCCGTGTCTCCTGTTGACTCCAGCACCATCACTACCACCTAAAAGAAAAGCAAAATAAAAGTGTGAAAGACAGACGTGCCCTGCGGTAATCTAATGTCCAGAATCCAACAATAAAAAGTAAACTACAGATATGCAACCTGCACATTTCACCACATGGTGGCAGTGTTTACCGTTTTATTCATTTTCACAATAGAGAGAAGGTGCAGTATTATTATTACTTATGACAAAGTTATTCAATTCGTACAGAGGAATGGCAGTTCGGTTTGTGCCTCCATTTTGGATTGATCAATTTGGGTTGAGCTCTAGAATACATGGAGACAGATGAGACTTTGCCCTGTATTGATGTTATCTTATCGGCATGATGTGGAGGAGAACACGGAGAAGGCCAACTTAGTGAAGTAGGGTAGTACGGTCACGCTTCAGTTTTATGCTTAACCCTTTGTTTTTAATGTTTATTGTTTGATTTGTGCATGAGCATGATGGAGCATTATTTGTATTTTAATTCTTGGAAAAGCGCACAGGATACGTAGGTGGTTTCATGGCAGGATAAAAACTAAACCAAAGACCAACACCAACACCATAGACTCAAGTCCTTGATACCTCATAGACCAGCTCGTGGTGGAAGTGGGGGACTTCCAGGTCCCGCAGACAGTGCTCCGCCTCAGACACGTCTCCTGATATCAGGTACTCCTTGAGCAGGAGGTTCATCTGAAACACAAAAATGCACATGCAAATAAGAGGTTGGTTTTTCTGCCTGAAGAGCAAATAAAATATATCTTTAATTGAGTAAGGACAGAACTATGGTCATTGAAGGGGATTGTTTTGCGTGTAAATCCTGCTTATTATAACTCATCTCCTTTGCAGTAACTTTAAAATGTTGCGTAACGAGATTTGCACTTGAAACTCCCACACTATCCAGACCCACGTAGAAGAATAATTGTAAACATTCAAACAAAGACAGGGCCGAAAGCACGTGGGGTGCCAGTGAGAGTATGAACAGAGCGCGTGCGTGTGTGAAATCTGCGGTTAAAGGCCAGTGTGTGTATCCGTGTGGGCCCCTCCCGTGCCCTTGTTTTTGCGATTCCCTCTTTTCAGGGGGAGAAAAGGGCTCTGCTGACACAGCAACATAGTGGAGCCGGTGGCTCTCTAACCAGCATGCACTCTGCCTTCTGTTTACCTTACGTAATGTCAATGAAGAAGCAGAGCTTGTCAATACCAAAACATTGAGCTCAGCGCTTTAATATTGACGCAAGAAGGAGCTATTGAATTTATTATGTCGGGGTTTTTTTTTTTTAAACTGTATTCACGCACCTCTTTGACGAGATGTTTCACGGGTCTCAGGCCTCCACCCACACCCCACACATTGTCCAGACGAACCATCTCCCTCTTCATGGTCAACAGCACTTCGGCACGGTCTAAAGCCACTCTGTAAAAACATATTAAAAATATTTGCACAAAAGTGGGCATACGTCAAGTCTAGTGAGTAACCTAATTGGAAGCTACTGTATATGTATTTAAAGTGCACTCACCTGGCATGCTCACAGTCCACTTTGCCCTTGTAACAGTCCAGGAAAGACATGGGGAGGATGTGGTCCGCTATGGCTCGGGCTACAAACTGGCCCAACATCTGTGAGACGCCAAAACCATTTTTTTTTTTGTCCAATGGGTATAGCATGTGTAGCAATAGGTGACAAAATGCCCGTGTTCTACCTGCGGAGCCTCCGGTGTGTCCAGTATCAGGTCCGGCAGTTCTTTGAGGATCTTGTCGAAGGCACGGGCCATTTCACTTTGTGACAGCATCTTGCCCGACAGGTCGGACAGCAGGCGGGAGGTCAGCTCTCTGTGGCTGGCTTTGCCTTCCAGGGACAGTGACACGGCCAGAGAGGAGAACTCAAACTTATGCGTGCCCAGGTTGAGCCCCTTCAGCAACATCTGACAGGAGGGACGACAAAAAAAAAAAAAAAAAAAGATCTGTGGACGCGAGGCCTCCATCACTTTATTCATCCATCCATCGCTTCTGTGAACAATTCCTGTTCAGCATTCAAGGACACGGATGAGGAAATGCTTCATTTGGAATCGTTTACCTGGACCTCTTTGGTGTCTCCGTGTTCAAAGTACTCCTGTACAATTGGCTTGACCATTTTCTCCAGTTCCTTCTCATCTACCTCAGGCACAACTGTCGCATAAACTGTGTCCCCCTGTGCGAGAACAAACACATCGGCAGTCCATTTAGACACACAAACATGCACATGTCGTTGTCACCAGCCGAGTGCACCTAGAAAATTTGCACTATCAAGGTTTTAAATTCTTATAAAAATGGAATGTTAATTTGGGTAAGAGCTTTTTAAAAGTGGTATTGGTGGTTTTAATGGAACACAAAGTGCCCAACTTTAATAGATTAACTACTTTTGGTTTGTTTCTGTGATTACTGACTGATTAGGGGGCAGTAGGAAAGATACTTTAATCGTGCAATGATCGGAAAGGTGAGCTAACGGAGGACATTCAGAAACCCGTCCTCGCCTGCACATGTCCTTTTCCGTACCACTTCGTCCCGGTTCCCGTTTAACATTCTGACATCTTCCCACTACGACATCCAGGGCCAAATCGCATCGGCTTTTCCGAGCGGCTCCCAAGGCCGATATCAACCGACTGAGCAGCAGAAGCTCCGTTCCCACTCTTCATTTAGTCCACCAGAACATTACAGGAGACAAACAAACTCGGCCTGCAGTGTCACACAGACCACTTGCCCGATAAAAGGGGTTAAAGATTGTAAATACTGTTTATTGAGCGGAGACAGGTAGCTTAAAACAGCAGTTTTTTGCCATAGATTATGTTGTGATAAATTTTCTCTCATGTCCTTGAAGTTATTAAAAGCTATCAAAAGGAGTTTGAAGGATTGTGCAATTTGTTTTCAGAGTTTAATCATTATCTCTTACCGTTACTGTATTTTGGCAGCCGCCGTTAGACATCAGCACGTTAGTTTGACATAAGAAATAAAGGGAAGAAAAAGCTGGAAAAAAATTCCCAATTTCTAGACATTTTATATTCCACCTAATTAAAAAAGGTAATTGTTGGTTAAAAGAAGGCAGTATTCTGTGATTAAGACCAGAGGAAAGAAAAGAAAACGTACACTACAGGTATACTAAAAGACAACTGCAGACTCTTACAAGCATCTTTGTTGCATATTATATTTTCTATATCCATTTAATGCCCCATCTAATAATGAGAAACAAAAAGTAAATCACAAAAAAAAAAAAAAAAAAGAATTTGACTAAAAAAGGCACTGAACACACACGTTTTTTGACTCTTCCAAAGACAAATGCATACAGTGAACAGCACATGCCGGCTGTACCCGCTCACCTGAGCAGACTCATCGTAGTTGGGGTCCCTCATATCAGGCTCCTCATCTTCATAAACCATCCCAGCGGCCCCCCAAACTCCTTTACCACCTGCTCCACCTGCATTCAAACCATACAGGCATGGTCACCATTGGGGTTGAGCTAAAAGATGAAAGTGAGGGCCACCAAAACTGGCTCAGGGATTGAAAAGCTGCTCCGGCAGCAGATTTCCATTTCGATTAATTGCTTTTGTCAACAACAACTACATTACATTACCAGTGCTTTATCCATTCTGAATCTGCCAGTCGGCTGTTTTACACCAAAACCGTGCGTTTTTGTAGCGGTTGTTAAAGGGTAAAACCCGCGTTTTAGGCTGCTCGCTACATAGAACTCACTTGCTGGACATCAGGCCCATGGCGGCTCCCTGATGGAGGCAGCTTCCCAAAAAAAAAAAAAAAAAAAAAAACACACAACAACAGGGCGCCACATACGACTGAGTCGCTGAAACGTACCTTTCTTTGGCAGGCCTCTGCCTTTTCCCGTCCTGGATTTGCGGTCACTGGTGTTGACTTTCCCCTTCGGACTGTGCGGGTCGCCTCCCGACAGCTCCCCCGACTCGGAGAAGGACTCGCTGGTGGAGTTGCGCGACGAGGACTTGCGCAGGCGGCGCTTGGCTTTGGCTTTGAGTCGGGCCTCGTGCAGGGCTTTCTCCTGAGGGGTCCAGTTGCCGTTCACCTCCGCCTCGTTCAGCAAGTCGTCGTCGACGCTGTAGGGCTGGTTAGCCTCGGCCAGGTTCTCATCGAAAGAGAACACCCCTGTGGTCAGCACAGCCAAACAAATCCATTGATTGAGGCACTTGGATTTCGCGACGAGTGCAAAACACTGCCATAAAAAGGGTTAAAAAAAAACATGCCCATCTGAGATCAATGGACGCTAGTCAGTCACAGTGTACGATATGGCTGAAGGGTCTCAGAATTAGGACGGCACGTCTTGTACGTGGATGTCACAAGAAGTGCCGCGGTCAGAAATGGAGCATTTCCCTGCAGCTAGTTTCGGTTTCCAGGCTCTTCTGGAAAGAAAACTCCGCAAAAGCATTTGAAAAGAGGCGGCTATACATTCAACAGTATGAACGGCCAGACAATACAACACCAATACTACAAAAACAAGTCTGTCCCCTTTTACAACTGTAGTAAAGAATACATTAGAAAACTGTTTGAGCTGTTGCTGTACACGAATAAAAATGACACGAGGATTTGGTTTGCACTCAGACATATTTATGATTACCTGGCTCATTGGCTTCGTCTACAATGAAACACTTTACATGGGTGCATTTAGAAAACTGCACATCAAACGTCCCTAAATGAGGAAACAGCAGCACCGTGCGTTACGTTTATCTGGGACATCTTGTGTCAATCGACTTACAAATAATATTCCATAGTGGGTGTGATGAATATACTGTATTATTTAATAATGCGTCTGCCCAGCTTGCTTCTGGCAGGTGTGGAGACCACAACAACAACAACAACAGCATGTGGGGCTGGAGTGTCCCTGCAGGCTTGGAAGGAGGGACTGAGCAAAGTGACCCACATGCCGGAGAAATGCTGACACCACTGCTTTCTTTTTTTTTTGGGGATCAGCCCGCAGCAGCCAGGGCTTGACTACATATGGCCTGGTTGGGTCAATGACTGGTCACATGACCTCGCAGTGGGAGAGAAAGAAGGGGGCGGAATGTCTGAGTGTAATGAATACTTACAGTGCTTATGCATGTGCCCAAATGGCAGCAAAGAGGAGGTACGGCCCGGTAGATAACGGGACGTGTGGGCAGTGTGTGTGTGTGTGTGTGTGTGGGGGGGGGGGGGGGGGGGGGGGGTGAAGCTTTCCAACCACAGAAAACATAACAATCTTAAGAAACCAAGCTGCAGCTTGTGTCCTGCAAAAGTACAAAAAGCGAAGGGAAGCGCGTTGGCATGAAGCAGGTCACCACGTCACTGAATTAACCTGTCGCAGTAAAAACAGCACCACACCCGTGTCCTTCAAAACAAATCTGTAAACAGCCGAACGCGTGTCACCTCCTACTCCTCCTCCGTCTCCTTGCCTCATGTTGGCCACGAGGCCTGCCAGCGCAGGGAAAAGAACTAGCCAATGGCAGCGTGCCATATGCACGACCGGCCAATTGGAGACGGGCGGAAAAATGAGAAGGCAGTAAAAAAAAGTTGGCGTTGTGCGCTGGGAGTTGCAAAACAAGCTGCACAAAAAAAAAAAAAAAAAAAGTCTTGCTAACAACTGTTTTGTTTTAGTTCAATTTCTTTTCTGAAAAGTTCTCTACAAAATCAAGGTTGGTCTCATAAAGCTACAGCAACCAATAAGCCCACAGCGCACCCACTTAACCAGTTCCTAACCACACGGGCCGGGACCTCTGCCCTACATGGGGCGCAGCCGCGTTCACGCGTTAGGCCTCAACGCCGTCCCAGGGTTTACGAACGAGGGGGTCAGTGGAGCACATTCCTCCTGAGGGACAGTCCTGTACTACAGATGACTTATTTTTGGCGGGGACGGGACGGGGATGGGGGGGATCTGTCGCATGCAGCAGCGTATTTAAAGTGCTCCTCCACAACAGCGGTTGCACTCGTCTGTGCATCATTTGAAAATTAAGAAAGCGTTTTTTTACATTTGCCTGCTGGAGTTTCTTTGTGCTCGCCTTAAAACCCAAGTTGGAGTTGTGTACTTATGAGCAGGATATTAAACATCTGCTGTGTGCAGAGGGCAAACTTTGACGATAGCAATGTTTGTATGTTTATTCGGTCTGGGAAAAAAATAAAATAAATAAGGATCCTTCTTACAGGTATTAGCTTGGTTATCCTTTTGTGAAAACATATCAGACCCAAATCATGATTTAAGAGTCTATTTACATCGGTCTTTCTTTAAGGAGTTTTTTATCTAGATTATAGAGAATCTCTACTGTCAAAATCAAAAATCAAAAAAGTGTTTGGATTTAGATTCAGTCAAAACAACTTGGCTATTTTTCCGTCTATGAACGCACAGAAAGATAAAATCAAAATGTGCGATGTCCCCTATAAGGTCAAAAGCATCCGTTAACATGTGGGGGACAGTAGACACCCGCTCTACTGCATGAGGCCTGGTGGTGATTATCTGCTGGAGAAGGAGCGGGCGGGGACGCCCGGGCGTTTAACTGCCATTTCATTTAAGGAGACTACAACAACTGTACATAAAAAAAAAACATGTTCAAGACACGTCGCCTAACGTGCTGCGCCTAACACCGATTCACGCCACCGTACAAAAGTGTGCCATTGTGAGCTGGGAACCGGCCAAACATGCTCAACGAATAAAAGTGCAACGGTTTCAACACGATTTTATTAATGCACAACGTACGCACCATTAAATGGCAAACTTTTTCTGGAGTGATTCCAGGTCCCAGACAAACACGGATAAAGTACACGGGGAGGTGCATGCAGGAGATTGGAGGTACTATAAACTGAAGAGGCTGATAACATGCAGTTGACAGCCAATCATTTCCACTTATCTGCAGTAAAGCAGTTCGCTCAGAGTCCAAACTGAAGATCTGGATGCCAGCGGGCAGTGTGTGCAAGTAGGATTTTAGTTTAACAAAAAAAAAAAAAAAAAAGGGTTCCTTCTAAGATGGCTCTAAGGCTTTTATTAACAGCGCCGATCTGTAAACAGGTTTAGCAAGAAATCAGAGTAGCGTAGGTCATTGATTTGAAGTCAATTGAAATCGAATTGTGAGATTTAATCTCTGATTTAAGTTTATTCATTCATTCATTCCTTTAAAAGGCAGCAGCAAGAGGGTATTGATTTAAATAACCAACTAAAGCATCGTTTCCTGTCCATAGCTGCAGCATGGCCAAACTTTAGAACCCCAACACTTCACATATTCATGGAGAGATGGTTGCACAGTCTGCAGGGACACACAACTTAAATTCCCGTAGTAGTCGTTTACTTCTATGGTCCATTTGAAATGGTCGACTGACAACACGGCGACCAAATACAGCCGTAACTTTAGTGCCCCTCGGCTACTGTGACTAACAACTATTTGGCTTTCTGCGGTTTTGTTATGCGTTGTTGTCATCTGAAGAGACGTTACTATTCGGGAACTTCCACAAAACACATGTGATGGTTTAAAAAAATAAAAAGAAAGAAAGAAAATTCTATCATCAGAGCCTTTTTGCAGATATGTCTTTTTTTTTTTTTACTTGGGAGTTTTCAGTGGCTGGGCCGACATTATAAAGACAATGCTTTAGGCTCTGGTCACTTAATAATAAACTGCAATCAAATGACACAAAGGCAGCCTGTTGATTGGGGGATGATCCATGTTTGAAAAGACATGTGTGCTACACAATGTGGGGTTTACATGTGTATCATACTGGTGACCCACCATGTGTAGAGTCGGTGTTCTCTCGTTTCCCTGAGCACGGACAATAGAGCATCTGATGTGTGTGTGTTACCACCTCATTAACAGACGCGGGTCAATCGAGCACGAGGGACCATTCTTGAGACAAGTTCACCCAGCAAAGCCCGTCTGCGCACCACAAGCCCGCACGCGCACACACACACACACACGGGCGCGCGCACGTTTAACCAACCACGTGGTGTATCGAGGCATCAGTGTTTTGATCCTAAACGCCACTCGCACCAGCGAAACGTCAATTCGATGCATTAAAAATACATCGGTGTGCTTTGTGAAACTGTTGACCGCACGCGGCCGGAGGGGGATTACGTAAGGCTTTGTGGTCGGATGTGCACGTCGACGTCATCGAGGGAGGAAAGCGACCCGAAGGAAGCGCCCGTCTAAATATTAGAACGCAGACGTCATTCACGCCATGTGCACGTTCGACGGAGGCATTGAATCGTTCGATCCAAAAGGTCGCTTCCGGTTTGTGTCAGTGACGAATCGGGCCCCCGTCGTGTTATTGAAGCGTAAGCGCACAAAAGAAAGACGGAACTTGGCGCTGGAAAGGGGCGTGTGTCGTTACACGGGCTGCGTCTAAATCACCGTTAAATTACAGGGAGCTGAGGGAGCTTTCAAATGGGGCAGAGATGCACGATCGTTTTCACATTGTGCACGAAGTGCAAAAGTGACAGTGTGTAGAAATGCACTCGGCGGTCTGCTCCAGTGTGTGTGTGTGTGTGTGTGCACACTGCACAACAACAACCAGCCACAGCGGGAAGTGAGCAGCGTGGGCTCGTCCAATCACACGCGTGAAGGGGTTAAACATGTTTTTTTTTAAAGGCAGTGCAACAACAAAACACCGGCAGCAAAGCCTAAAATGACCAAGAGATACCAAACGACAAAAGGCGCGCGGGTCTTCTTTTGCACGCAAGTTGATTAAATGCGTTGCGTCAATGCTCGATGCGATGCGTGTTGTTAAACGGAGCACATGGCGGGGCATGGCGTTGCAGCCCATCCCGTGCAGGGACAATAGACCCAAGGACAGCACTCCAGCCAGGCCCTCCGGCTGCTCGGGGGGGGGGGGGGGGGGGGGGGGGGGTTCCCCCGGCACATAAGAGGGGGGGGGGAAACAAAATAAACTCCCCGCCGACTTTGGCAGCGGAGGACCACGTATCCACTTCGGTCGCCATGGCGCTCTCCAAATGCTCGATTTAAAAAAAAAGAAAGAAAGAAGGAGAAGAAATCCTCACGGGGGGAGCTTCTCCTGTCGAGGTTCAGCTGCAACAAATCGCTCCCTCTGCTCCCGAAAAGCAGCAGACGACCGTCTCCACAACGAGGTGTTCCGTGGAAACCGCGAGTCCAGAAGCCTTTTGCGTTTTTCGTGCAGCGCGGTTATCAATGGCAGAAAACACAATTAATTATATGGAATAACAAAGCGAGCCACTGCAATAGAACCGAGGAGTGAAACGACGGGGGTTTTAGCGCTCTTGACCTCAACTTAAGGCTGAGGAGAAGGAATAGCTGGACGTGGAGCGGAAAGTAGGTTAACTAGTCGCAGAGCATTTCAGCGAACAACCTGCAAGATAAACAAAGTCTGTTTTTAACTTTGCAGGAGCGAACGGGGTGAAGTCACGTGAACAAAACGCGGCCGGTGAGTGGTGCGTAGAGGGGGTGGGAGCTGGTCGGTTCTGGCCAATCAGAGAGCACTACAGGACCGACACGTCTCTTCTCCATTAACTAGTCTGCTGGATTAAAATATGTCCCAAAATGGGCTTTTTTATGTATACATGTATATTGGCCAAGTACATTTTAACTTTATATATGCCGGTTTATGGCCCATAACGGTTACAGTCCATTCAAAACAATCCTACTTTTTGGTTGGCAATTGCTGTAAAAAACGTGGCCATCTGGATGTGTCTTTTGTTGGCTTTATTTTACATTACGCATTTTCAAATTGTATTTGTTTAAGGCAATACACAGTTAGCCTAGGGTTTAAGATGTTCTTTATTTGTATCTGGTTTGGGACTGTTTCCCAGCTCATCAATACCTCATAATAAGGCAAACATGGCACGAAAATACTTAAAAAGGAAATTACTAATAAAGACAGGCTAAATTCAAAAGGACTAATACAAATTAATTGGTTATACACGGCCAAAACTGGATCCTTTTTTAAATATTTTTGTCGTACAAGCTTATACCACCAGATGGAGCTGAAAAACATGTGCAGCTAAATCAAATAATGGCCAATAAGCATTTAGGTGCCCTTGGTATTGAGCAGCAAACTGTTTTTTTTGTAAATAAGTCCAGTAAATATGGGGCACAATCAATGTTTTTGACACACAAAAAATACCAGGTTCATAACACCCATGGCGTATAAATAGTCACATCAGCCAATATTAAATCCCTGATTCTTTCACTGTGAGAGCAATCTGTACGTAGCTTCTCATCTTGCTGTGTTACGTGATTGAAGAAAAATCCATGTAAGAATATCCATCAAGATGAAATAATGAAGGTCTTCAATATACATTTTGAAAGAAGGATCCCTCTGCAAGGCAGACTTTAAGTTTATGAAGAATACATTTAATTCTGGAGCCCACCAATGGTTACGAAGGCCGAGGGCAGGAGCCTGTTTGGAAATCCAGCCCTGATAATAATAGGTAAGATAATAATTCTAAAATAAATTCTTTTGACGTTTTCTGCTCCGCTCATTTAATTCGAGTGAGAGGAGCAATGAGAACGGTAATGATCCTTCCACAGGTTCACCTACGGAAACCTTTTTACGACTTTTTCTCAGTCTAGATAGTCAAGTTTGAACATATGCCTTGCCTTGTGGTCGGTATATTGCTCGACAACAAAAGACTGCCAATATTCTCCTACTGCAAGTTGTATTTGTCATCAGTGCTATCAGCTACACGCAATCACACATTTCAAACTATTTCTTGCTTTTACTCGTGAAAAGATGAAGCTTTCCCTGAGATCTTTGCTTAATGATTCATCGTGAGTCACACTGACAGCGACTAATGAGTGGGTGTCTTTAGCTCCTTCCTTGCTTAGATAATTCAGTGTATTTGCTGTTTTCCAAAGCAGAATATTGTTTGCAGCCATGGAGATATAAGAGCCTCAACCATGGCTGTGTATAATGTTCACAAAAGTACACGCATGTATTTGGTAGCACTTGTTAGCATTTATTTTGACACAAAATCCACAGTTTTTGTTGAATAAAGTAGAATAATTATCAATGGCAGTATGGTAGATTCCCAATGAATATCAATGAAAAATCTCAAATTGAGGAAACCTAAATACAACGCAACATTCTGGAAAAAAGCACCAGAGTATGTGAAACCAAACAAATATATATAAAAATGTAAGGATTTTACATCAAAGTATGCATCACACGTCTCTATTTTACACGCCAAGATACAAAATGAACATGACACATGAAATAAAAACGTTTGGATTTTTATATTGACAAATATCAACAACAATCAACTTTGGCCTCATAATAAGCGACAATGATTCAACACCACAACACTGCCGACAATAAGTCTCTCACTCATGCGTACAACACACCGAAGGGCTGCAGGTAGGATTGCACAAGGATACCCTCAAAGAACACCACGATCTGTAGCAATAATAATCTGAACGATGTCACACACCATCACATAACGATACCTCTAGAAATCCTGCTGTCTCACAGCTGCAGGAGGAAAAGGACCAACAAATATATTCCCTAAACACGTTATGTTACTTTTCCTGGCAAACGTTTTCAGCCGTGCCAAGATGGGCCCGTTTTTCTTTTCTATTCTTTAATTCTTGGCGTTACAAAATAAAAGTCAATAGAAATATAGAGTAAATACTATCTTGATAAGGAGAAGTAAACAGTCCTTTGCAGTCAAAACTCAGCGAGGTAACAGTCTTATATCAGGCCTTGGCCTTATGTGGCGATGAGTGTTGAGTTTGGGCGTTTAGTCTGTACTAGCTGATAACAATGCAAAAGAATATCAAACCAGATCAATACACACAGAAGTCCGATCAGTTTGGCTTCGATGTAAAATCAGTGCTGGGGTAAAACTACACTGTTTGTGCCACATGTGTTAGGATTACATTCAAGTCAAAACTAAATATTTTCAAAAATCCATAAGGTCATTTTACAACACTTTCAGAATCAAAAAGAAAACTATCCTTTGGATGTAACTATAGGTATTGCAATGTTGTTGCACGATATCTATTAATCCCTTCAGAAGCTCTTCATATTCATGATTATGTTTATTATTGTAGAATGACACTTTGTATTATGTCCAACTTCATACCACAAATTCATGAAGACTAGATCTAGTTGCTGTCAAAAAAAGGCCCCAAAAATAAATAAGTAATCTTTACAATGACATTTTGAAGACCTTCATTTCTGCAATTAAATTCACTGACAAAACACGTACAACACAAAAATGGATAACTCTTCCATTTGTTCTAATTGTGAATTGAAATTTCTAACAAATCATCATGGTGCATATGATATACAGTATAAGAAAAGGGTACTCACTTTATATTTCCCCCGAATCCAGCTGCCAACATATTGTTTCCCTCCTGTGTATTGATGAATAGGAAACATATTTGGCCTCAATATAAACAAGAAGATATCTTTTAAGACCAAAGAGATGCATTTGCAAGATGGTATAAAACAGAAATAGAAAGGAAGATCAATATAGCAAAAAGAACACACAAAAGAAGTCCATGACTCGTGTCATAAAAAGTGGATCAAGTTACAATTGGAAAATGGCATCAAACTCTAATATCAAATTATACCAGAGGAGTTCAGATGGAAATAGCTTCAGAATCAGAAGCTTCAGAAACCGGTCAATCCGAGTCAATCCGATAATCAGGAGTTTGCACTTGTGCGAAACCTTAAAACAAAGACATCGAAAATGAAGCGATATGTACAATCGAGGGTCTTCGCCCAGCACAGCTCACGGATCGATTCTAAAGAGGTAAATGTCTTTTCACAACAGTTTGTTTCCTATCAACTAGCATGAACTAGAGTAAGGAAAAAGGTGTGAACACTATTGCTAAATACTATTTTTGCGAGTCTCACATGTACTTCGTACTGTGTATATTTTATAAAGAGACTGCTAAGCACTGTTATAAAATGTTTCCCCCTTTTGACGCACGACTTTACACAATTTACAGAAAACACACGCGCACACACACTCGCATAGCAGCAGTGAACTATAGAATGCCTAACAGAAAGTCTATCTTCACCTAGGCACCGTACACTTTGATAAACATACATTAGCTAGAACTAGTGAGGGAAATAACAGTGCAATCTTTAGCCAAGAAATGTACAGTAGCCGAACATCATGTTGATGTGTTCAGAGAGTGAACCATCTCCCTTCAGAGTGCCAACCACCCTGGGACGCGCCTCTGAGTCGCTGCAAAGGAGCTTAGAGGATGTCTAAATGATCTTCATCACAAACCAAAGCCTGCTCCCTAAACGAGCAATATGTGTCTGTGACAAATAAAGGTGTTATCGAGCCGATCCGTCGCTTTCTGTCCGCGTAGCCATAAAGACAATTAAATTGGCTTTGCACGTAGCCAGGGACACAAAGCTGGACTCAATTAAACACCGAGACGTTTGTCTCACAATAGCTACAGTAAAACAGAACACGTACAAAAATGGGATTGGAAACCTTCTTATTATTGTCTGAATCTTGTTCTATGCTTCAGAGTAAATTAGACACGTGTGCTATTCCCGCTGCCAACACCGGGATCAGCTGACCGTACAAAATCAGGATCAACATTTAGAGAAAAGCATTCAACTCTCAGAAGTGACCACCTTTCAAGCCACTGCTATATCTATTGCTGACTTAAAACCACAACCTCGTACATTTACGTTTTCCCCGATATTGATATTTCAATAGCAAAACGCGACAGACGGAAAATCACAACGGGGACTTCATTTGACGGCGTCTTCTCCAAATCCACAGCCGGCAGATTGTGTGGCCTCGCTTCTCCAGAGGTTCTCGGTCAAAGCTATAAAAATGATCCGTAAACAATTGAAGTGTACCATTTTGTTGTGATGCATAACCTTTTACATTCATAATCAGTGTTGCGATTAGGCTTCGTGTTTCTGCCTCGGGGGAAATCGCAACAGTCGGATTCACGCTGACCTGCAAAAATGGCAACGACCACCCCGAAACTTGTTCAAACACATGAAATCCAAAGTCAAACAGTCATTTCATTGTACGCTATAATCATGTAACAGTCTCAAACAACAAGGTATAATCAGAAGATCATTGTAAAGCTTTGCCATCCACACATTTCAACGAACGTTTGCACCCCTTTTCTTTCAGGGAGCAACACAAGACACAATGCAGACAAGTAACACCTCCTGGATCGGTCAGAATCGTCCCCTTCTTATTTCCTCTAAAACAGAGAGAAGAAGGCTGGTGAATGCAATAAAATTCACCCCACGACAAAAAGGTCACAGGTTCGACCAAGTCATGTTCAATGGTTGTGAACCTCTTCAAAAAGAACAAAGTTAATCAAGATAATGCAACGCGATCCAGACACAATTAGTCGGAGCTGCTCATTTGAAAAGGAATTGCTCTGTGATTATTTTCATATTTGTATCAATAAAAAAAAGTAAGTAGGTCTAGTAGTCTCGTTCAATGCTGCTGATTTATGTGACTTAGTCTATCTCAACCTTTACATTACGTGACCCTTTAAAGTGAAAATGTTGTGACTCCACCACATATTGAACAGGGCAGCAAAATATTTATTTTTGCTTCTGAAATTAATTAATTCTTAAATGCCCCCAGAGGTAAAACTATACACCATGTCACATTAAAAAAAATAGAGAGAGAATAGAAGAACCTGTTTGTTTCTTCTTTCTTAAAAGGTTTTTCATCGTTGCCCCTCTGACTCATTTAGTGACCCACAGGTTGGGAACCCAAGGAGCTGGCGGCTGGATGTTGGCACGGAGCCACTGGTAGAAAATTATTTGCTGTGCATGTGGCAAAATGGAAACAGAGAAAAGGCCATTTATTAGCATCTTATTCCTTAAGAGAAAAGATATTTCTCTGAGCCCAAAACCACAAATAAATTAACCACAGAGTTAAACTTTCATGTGTGTCGCTTGCTCTTGGAGTTTCTCATTTGAATACAGGAGTGAGAATCCATTAAGTATCCTGTCCCTGACCATTTAAAGCAAGACCTGCAAGATCTTTCACCTGCTAGCCTTCTATCTGCGAGAGTGCTACCGAGCAAAAAAAAAACATCCACATTTTCCCTCCTTTTTCGACTCCATCCCCAAGGCTGCGAGCTTACGAGGACTCCGCGGCGTTGGCGGCGCCGCCCGTCTTCCGGCCGATGCCGGGGGAGGGAGAGATGCGGCCGCGCTGCCCGGCGCCCTGTAGCGGTGACGCAGCTCTGAGGGAACAGTCCGCGCTGTCATGCAGCACGTCTGCACCGTCCTCCTCCTTCACGGCCTCTTTTCCTCCCCTCCCAAAAGGCCCCTTCCGGGGTTCCTCATTCTCTTGTTCCTCTCTCTTCACGTGGCAGCGACACACTTCGATGCCCGAATCCCCCGTTAGCCGCCGATGCCGAAAATGATCCTCCTCCTCCTCCTCGTCTTCTTCCTCTTCTTCTTCTTCCTCTTCTTCTCTGCAATGTGTAAAAACAGCCACATTGGACGAGAAAAGGGCCTGTTTTGGGGGAGACGTAGTGGACCTGGGAGCTGGAGCCTCTTCTTCTCTCTCCCTCTGAATGGCTATGGCGCCGAGCGGGTCCGACGGGACCAGGGGATGGACCTGACCGGAAGGAATGGAAGATAGCAGAATGAAGGGAGAGAGCGGGAGGAGGGGAGGGTGCGAAGGGCGAGAGTGTGAAGGAAGAGAGAGAGGTGGCGCTGTGGACGGCACTCCTTCGCCGCCGCCGTCGGACGGCCGCCTCTGTGCCGCCACGACGTCTGGAGCGGCCGCGGGAACCACGTCGGCCGGAGCTTGCGATGAAGGTGCGGCGGTGGAAGCCGGCGCAAAGTTGGCCCCAAACCTGGACATGAGCGCACAGTCGCCGCCCGCCTCGCTGGGCGTGGAGATGTGGCTGCTGTCATACGTCTCGTCGGTGACCTGGACGGAGAAGGAGGTGCTGCAGGGGGAGGTGAGGGAGCAGGACTCGCAGGAGCAGCTGGTGTAGTTGTCAGAGCTCTGGGAGGAAGTCAGTCCGCTGGGACCGGGGCCCAGGTACGGAGGGCAGGGGTGACGGTGGTGGTGGTGATGGGGGTAAGGGGAGCTGGGACCCCCCATGGCGCCACCCTGCAGGGCGAAGACGGAGCTGTAAGGCGGAGGAGGGGTGCTGGGCTGCGCCGCCACCTCCTCGTAGGAGGGCAACTTGAAGGAAGCCAGAAAACCTGCGGCAAAAGCAATCCTGCAGATCAGCTCAGGTTTAAGGTTAAAGGTCAAAACACAGGTCTGACCTGCTGCTCCCTTACGAAACCGCCCCGACCCCCCGAGGTCGTCTGGGACGGGTCTCCTTTCTGCTCCCAGTCAGAACCCAACGTGGAGAACATATCAAATATTTATTCTTACCCCATTTAATACACCTGCATGATTTTAAAAATCCTCGCGCTCTGTAGTTCCCCTGATAGTAGACCTACACAATGAAAAATAGAATAAAATATGCGAGATGAAGTAACACAGATGAACCTACTGAGGTCCAGCATGGAGGAAGGGTAGTTGCAGGCTCCGTTATACGCGATCAGATTGATCTCCCTCTGTCTCTGCTGCTGTTGGATCCTCAGCTTGGCCCGGCGGTGACGGTAAGCACAGAAGCAGCTGAAGAGGATCAGCATCGTCCACAACAGCCAGAACCCTGCAGAGAACAGGAAGTGAAACCCAACAGAATTATTTAGCATAAATTAAAAGTTTTAAGACTGCGTAGACTGTTTTAAAACATCAATAAAGCAGGTTTTGGTGATTATGTTTTCCTTAATAATGTCTTTTTTTCCAAAACCTGCTGTAGTGTTTAAAATTAATTTGTCAGTCTTGATATTTTCACCATGATATAACATTTCTGGCAGCATGTTTTAGGAAACCAATTAATTTCAGTAAAGAATTTGCTGCTTTTTCCTGTTGGTATGAAAAGTCCAAAGTATTAAGATTATAGAATAAAAGGATAACTAATAAGTGCAGTTTTTTATTTTAGTGACGCACACTATAGGGGCAAAGGATAAATCCTCTGGTGTCATAGTAATTATTTACTTAACCCTTAACTTTATCAGTAGATGTTCAATGTTGCTGTGATCTGACCGAGAAAAACAAACATTTTCAGATGTCATTCACTCAGGTGACTATTAAGATCAGATTTCAATAGTTAGCATTCTAATATGCAGCATAAAAACTGTTGTTTGTTGTATATGGGTGTAAAAACTAATTAAACTAGTATAAAAACTACAATGAAAGGTAATGTGAGGGAGAAGTCCCAATAGGTTGAATTAAGTCAAGTACCAAAATGTCATAATGTGAATATTTTTAAACATGTTCTGATGGACAACTACACCATTGACAGGCAACCTCTGCAAGGCAGATGTTTGAGATCTTATGACAAACAGTGATTCCCTCCACTTGACTCACACCAGAGTTCATAATAGTAGGTGCAGCAGCCCGTCTCTCCGCAGCAGTGCCCCGTTTCACACAGGTACCCTGGACTGCTGTTTACCCCGGGACAGTACTTCGGACTGACCACCGGCAGGCTACCAGAACCCCCCCGCTGCTTCACCACCTAGTGAACACAACACAGGGTTACACATCACCACCCGTGGAACACAATGTTACTGCAAAGATGAAGTGCTAATGTTTGGTATCTCCCTGGTATGGACACGGTGTTCCCGTTTGATAGGCGACAGCATGAGCGTGAGAATAAACGATGTCCCCTCACGAAATGATTAAATTAAATTACATCCGTATCATCTTTTCATCGTTTTTCTTTTTCGCAAATGAGCCACCACCATGACGACCGAGCATACTCTTCTTCTGTTGAATGTCCTCATTTCTGATAAATTTCTGAAAAATATCCTAAACAACTTGCCTTAATGGATTAAATCAATATGTAAATGACATCTGTGAAAGCAGCACAACGTTTGTATGTTTCATGAACTTTTTTGGTCATTTTTATCTCTAGGTTTTCTTTTTTAAATACATTTTTTATTTCCTTTGAATAATTGAAAAAGTCGGTTTTGTCCCACGCAGCACATACAGTTGGCTTATTATATTTTGTTCCTGCATGTAAAGCACTTTGAGTTTGCATGTACGGACGTAGAAGGACTATAGAAATAGAGCTGCCATTTCCTCCATCAGGCTCTAGCTGTTACATGCTCCACTACCCTCACCGGCGAGTCGCTCCGTCTGCCGCTTAGTCTACAGCCTAATATTGAGCATCAATATTAAAATATTGATTCGTTTTTAGCTTTAATACTATTTTGTGAGATAGTGTGCTTAACGGCAGCTGTGCATCAATGATAATCAAAGAAATATCACACCTTATTAACTGTGCGCATGTCAACCTCCTTCTGAGAAACAGCCACCTAAAAGGAGGAATTGAAAGACGTGCGTGAATCTTACGGTTGCATCTTAATCATCGGCGAGTCAGTGCGAGGGAGAGAACTAATAACAGATATCGACGTCATGAAAAGCAGTCAAATTTCAATGCTCGGGGAGCAAAATCAAGATGACCTCAGCAAAACCATAAACCAAAACAATACAGCAAGAAGAGGATTCTGTTACGTACATAGTAACCTCACATGACAGAGATAGAGAAGTACTAAAAAATATTTATGCATTGCCATGGCAACCCCTTGTGGTTATGCTTAGGGGTTGTCTTTTTTTTTTTACTCTTGTGGACAATGTTTTTCTACTATCCAGTGTTATGAAATGTTCAGAGGTGGTTGAAGGTCGAGCTCCCTACCGTAGCAGCCTCAGTTCCATCCAGCCCCTGCAGTGATATGGTCATCTGGTGAAAGACAGAGATGTGAAACGGTTACACAGCGGCAGGAGAAATGATGTATTGTTAAAAGGAAGAAAGAAACAGAGGATCGACGCTACAAGATTAAAAAAAAATGACACGGGCACATGCTTCAAAAAAACAAAATCATTTCGCGTTGTCATTCTAGTGACCAAGCGGGACAATAAGGGCCACTAAACACATTTTCCGGACTGAGGACGCCGGTTACCCGACACTGCTGCTCTTCAAGGAACCCAGAAGGTCAACGGCTTTTTAACTAAACCTGTTTCTGCTCGGTGGCTCGAGATAGCAGAAAGAATCGATTCCCTCCCTTTCAAACTGACACATGCACACGCACACGTGCACACCTCTCTAAAACTGTGACTAATAATGACAATTAACCGTTATGTCTATAAAATGCAGGGATACAAAAAGAGAAACCGAAAGATAGTCCTTGTACAATTATTTGTAGAAGCAGATTAATGACTTTCTTTTCTGTTGTTAGCCATTAAAACATTTGACCAGATCTGGTCATTTTAAAAGAATATAAGTTGTCCTCCGGTCTATGAGGAAATCTGCAAGCAAATACGCACCATTAGTAAATGTAATAAGGAGAGGAAATAAAAATATAATTCTGTAATAGTCCAGATATGAAAACTCTTTGTCGCTCTCGCCTCTGTAAATGTCATTCCGACCCAGAGTGAGGAAAAGTGAGATATGCCTGTGTGTGTGTGTGTGTGCTGCTGGGGCCCCTTTCAAAAACAATGTGAAGGTACTGTAGCCATATAAACAAGACCTCCTTTGTTAACAACTGGCTGCTGGTTACGTACGTAGTCAGCAGTGTGTGTGTGTGTGTGTGTGTGTGTGTGTGTGTGTGTGTGTGTGTGTATGTATGTGTGGGCGCATCCATGTCCCTGCAATAACGGGTTTGAGTCCATAAAAATGGACTTTTTTTTTAAAGTAACAAAAGGACAATGGGCTAAAAAAATGTGACAGGCAGCTCCGCACACTGCTTTGAGATGTCAGTCAGCGTAGATAATCGTACTGTATTCCATTACATGTCATTGTAGTTTGCATCTGTGCAGCGCGTACTGCGTTACGCACCATTACACATTACCAAGGACATACTTGCAGATCAAACTAATTAGTTTCCAAAAAGTTGTCCGATGTCCAGCAATGCCACGTGGCCGTGAACACACCATCGACACAGACGGGGCTTTCATTTACATGGTTCAATTATTTACAATGCTTGAGTTTAGGTGTCGCTGTAATATTTTTACCTTTTTTAGAAAACAGTGCTTGAATCTGTTTTCTAACCGATCTGAGCGAGCATGTCAGCTCTGGGTACAATGTAGTTTTTATTCCCCGGTGCTTAAGACATGTTTTGTTTGTTGACCACAAAAGCATCAGAAGGAATCTGTGTTCATCGCGAGCGTTCATAAAGGGCCAACGATTCTGAATGATGTAGTCGTTGCTGTTTGTCGGCTACGTTGCGATGGTTAGATACATTTCAATAAGACATTCTTTAAATACTCTTTTGTTCTCTGACATGTGAAGACCGCCTCAAAGGAACCCAACGGAAAAGTCATGCAAGTGTATTCAGCTTGTCAAGTACATCCTCGGCGGTGTCATAAGTCAGCTTTTTATATTGCAGTTTTCAAGTGAGAGCTGAGTTCCTGTGGTGAGCCCACCACACGGGACAGAACACGCACACGGGTGTGAGGTGATCATTCACACTTCCCCACAGACCACAGACTAACCGAAAGTGATTTCCACCCCTGGGAGTCTACGGGTCGGAATAGCGTGGCAGCCGACATGCACCATCGCTAACTCCATCCGAGATCACGTGAGACCCGTGAAGAACATGCCGGTTTGCGTGTGTAAGACTTTGAGGCTTCCACGCAGACCTAAAAATGATGAGGGAGGGAACTATGGAGGCAGACTGTGCATGGCTGTAAAAGTATGACCATTTAAGTTCAAGTTAAATGATAAAACTGGCATGAAAATCAGATGAGTATAAGGCGAGGTAAGAACTCCTCTGACTGTGATGGAGACTGTTGGAAGCTCCATCTTTATGTGAGGACTGTAACACCGCTAGAACTCATTTATTTTACTAGAATACAGAAAATCAGTGCCAAGAACTTCACACAATCTTAGACTAAAAAAATGTATTGGGGGGTATTGTATTATTTTTGAACTGTTCATTTCTTGATGACACATTACAATTTAGAAATACTGCACATCATTATGATGCAAACACAGCAAATACAAAATTGAGAATTTGATTTAGAAATACAATTTCCTCTCCTTACAAGACTGTGTTAAATGTTATTTTTACCTGCCACAATGACTAGCTGTACAGATGTTAAAATAGATGCAAGTCATTGTATTTGTGTGCTGGAAGTGTCCTTTATAAATACAGGTGTATCATCCGGATTATTATCCGCCAACAACAACGGGCTTGAAAGAAACATCATCCTCTGATTTATCAGGCTGCGGGTCTGGCAGTGGAAGCTCTTTTAGTCGAGCTTGCATAAATTAAAGTTAAATCTTTGGTGCACTACGACACATTTAGTAAGCTACTTTGCTTCTAACTACACATCTATAATTGCAGTATTAGCCGCACAAGTCAACAGTTTGCAAACTACGTATGATGTCAATACTATATAACATTCCTTAAGCACTCACAGGATTAACTGTGGTATCCTCTGCATAAAGAATTGGCGTTTAGTGACCTTGCATTTTTAAATATTTGTCAACTATTCACATGAGAGCAAAAGGCACTAGAGGGGCCCTGCTCCTATCAACTGTGCGTTAACAGCATCAATTAAAACGTAAAATCAAATCACAATTACAATCCAAACCACACCAGACGGTAAAGTAATGATGCAACAAATGCACCTTTTCTCCTCGAGAAACACGTCAAAAAGGGAAGGCGAAAAAAGTACAACCACTCAAAAGGAGTGGAAGGAACGAGAAGACAGCTGGGCACCGAAGGCCACTGTTTGTCAACAACTGCGCATACCAGAGGGAAGCATGTTGCTCTGCGGAACGAGCCCAGCTGCTGGCAGCAATGTTTACGTCAAAGGAAAACGCCGTGCGGCGCATTACCTCCTCAGCCTTCAGCCCGAGGCAGAATGTCAGCGTTTTCTCTGGATCCATGGCGAGAGCTCGGTGCCAAGCTAAGCAGAGAAAATGCACGTGCAGAAGGAGGGATGTTATTGTGCTAAGCGCCCATCGCCGCTGTCCCACTCCGCAGACTCGGCGCGGCCTCTCCATCCGCCATTGCCCGGACAGACGGGCGCACGCACGGACGGACGCGCCTCCCGGACTCCGCAGAAACACTCCGGCGTCCCGGGCCCGGGTTTCTGGGGTAATTTACGTACTGGCAGGGTGGGGGCGGGGGCTCTATCTGCAGCCTGCAGTAGTGAAACGAGGAATGTTTTACTCTTTGTGCTCGCGGTCGGGGTCGGAGACGTGCATGATGTCACGCTTCTCCAGCCCCCGAAGTGCTTGTATGGGAGCGTCGCGGCTTTGATTGGCCGGAGCTCCCAGCAACAGCCGCGCGCAGGCTGCTCGGTCGCGGTGTTTTTCACGCACGGTTCGTACCGTTGCCTGATTTACGACTGAAGACAATGATTGAAGATACACAACTATTTTTTTGAAAAAAATCTATGGTATTTAGAATATGCATTTGCGCATCAAGCGTAAAACCAATGAAAGAAGTTAATCCCGAGTTACTTAAAGTTTAGCTGAAAATGCACATTACAATACTCCACTGCAAGTAAAACCCGAATAAAAGATTAGTAAGAAGAGAAGTGAAACATGTAAAGAACGTAGCATTTTATCAAAAATGCTGCCACTAGTTTCATTATTTGACAACCATTGCCTGTGGTTAATAAAATGCATTAATTCCTCCACTAGTACAACTGACTCCGCACCACCAATTTTCAGGAGAGATGACCCCCACTACAGAGTCTTTACTGTCCCCTCTCTCCTCCTCGTTTCCTTTTCCTTCCTTCTCCACCTGTGGCACACGTCCGATCACCCGTACCCACATCACTTCATCCCTCCACCCATACCCAACATCCCTTCAATCCTCCACCCATACCCAACAGCCCTTCATCCCTCCACCCGTACCCAACGTCCCTTCATCCCTCCACCCGTACCCAATGTCACTTCATCCCTCCATCCCTCCACCCGTACCCAACGTCCCTTCATCCCTCTGCAAACAGGAGACATTGTCAAAACCCGAGTGCTGGTAGTCGACCTCGAATGTAGACGATCACCTTTGTCCCCACAAGATTGTAAAAATCGACGCACAAACATCTTGATTATCAGATGACCCAGAACACAATGTACGTTTCTGTAGTTCTAAGATGGAACATTATTGCAATGTTTCCAACAATACGTTACTTCATATCTTTTCTGGTCTATTTTTGTCGTCGTCTTAAAAAATGAAAACTAGGAGCTACCAAATTGAACAGTGAGTTACATTTAACAGAACTCTGACTCTAGCCGTTAGCTCAGCACTCAAGTTTCAGGGAAATCTCTCGCTAAGTAGCTAGCGTTACTTACAATGTGCTACTTACTAAGATTTTGTGGGTCATTGTCTACCACCTCTTCAATACTTTGGTATTATCGATGTTCATTTCGAGAGGAAATAACTCTGAAGAAGATTATAAATGCAAACAAAAAACAACACAAAATCCTAATAAATGACCTGAAAGTAATTGACTAGAGCACGTTGAGGTGGCTGCAAGATTATTATTGTTTTTTGTCAAATTTAATCTCGTATTTACAATATCACAGAGTAATCACAATAATATTAAACTATTACATGAAGTTGACTAAAAGTTTAAAGTAGCAGAAAGTTAAGATGAGTAAAGAAGAAAAACCTGAAAGCTGTCGGCCTACAACCTTCCAATGCTGCCTGATGCTGAATTTTTGTCTTCTAAGTCCTTTTTGGTTTAGCTTTGTCTATTCTAATTTAATTTAACGGAAACATTAATGGCAAAATAAATACAGGTGTACAAATAGAGTACTTGTGGCATGTAGTTGAAGTGGTTAGAGAAGGTGATCAGTTTTCATATCATTGTAGACTCTCATTTGTCTTGCAGGTCGTCAGTGACAGTTTATGTCTGTCAGTCAGTCACTAGAGGGCAGCAGACTAAAGGCTTTTGCCTTTTGGAAAGTCCTTGAAGTTTGGCTCTGAGATTGGTAGAATAACCTGTTTTTAAGACTGCAGCTGAGTAAAACAGCAGTTTCAGTTGTTACGGTTAAAGAAATGTTCACGTGTCCTCCTCTCCCTCTACACAAAGAAGGAAATAATGAACTTTGAGGTATTTCCCCCGCCCCACCTACTGTATTCACTATATTTCATACCTGTGGTTGACAGTTGTCACTGTGAAATACCAGTTTGAGCGCTTGCTCACCAGTATTGGTTGTACTTTGGACAATAAACCTATTGTACCATATGGATTACAGTTAAATAACAGTTATAAACAGGGTGTGTTAAAAGAATTGTCTTAAAACAGCTACGGTTTCTAATTGGCTGGTAACCATACGATGTCAATGACAGACATGACAGGAATTTATAAAAAAAAATCATTCTCAGCTGATGGTCCTTCTACACTAAAAAATAAAGGACTCAAATGGGAGAAAGAAAGCAAAACATCTGAAAGAGATGAAACAAGTCTGTATAACAAGAGCTAAACATGTATTAAATAAATGTTTTTGTGTACATTTGTGTACTAATAAATTATATAAATTATAAATAAATAATGAGGAAACCTGAACTTCTCCAAACGTTCCCACGTGAGTTTACTGTAGACTACTGATTTATTGTAATTTCTCTCTGTACTAAAAAGAAGATGTATGGTCACCACATAATGACACAATGTGACAAAACACACTTCCCTTGACTGATAGTGCACTTGCATGTGTCCTCTCACGCACACAAACACAAACAACAAAACCCCAATTGGGTGGGTGAAGTTATGTTTTAATTATAGTAAAAATAAATACATTAAGGCAACTTAATGTGGTACATATATTAAATTACAGTGTGTATTACATCTTCTAAATTACAAACTATTTCATTCAGTTAGAGGTATATCAGACATTTCTGTTACGCAAGGCTTGTCAACATCTCACAAACGTTTGTCAAACAGGAAAGAGCAAACAAATAAAATCATTTTGAGTAAAGTCAAAATGAAACTCGTTTTTAGTTAGGCTTTTATGGCTAATGATGGGTAAGGTCAAACCGGTGATTTACTTTAATTACTTTATGATCATCGTTTCTGGGAACAGGTTGATTTATTTTTATCTTCCACTCTCCATTAAACGGACTTTCAGGAGCTGAAATTTTTTTGTATACGTATTTTTGGTGTACAATACAATAACATTAGTTTGTTCCCTATTTGTTCCAGCGTCTGACAAAATTTAAATTGCACAATCAACATTGTGGGTTTCCACTGTCCAATGTACAGCTGACAGTCACGTCTTTCACAGCACACACAATGGATGCTTTATGACAGCATGGGGGATAAAACAGGTTGTTTTGTGACCGATTGTATGCAGCCCGGTTCCAAAACCAGGAGTTCACATGAGAGACTTTGAGACAGACAAATAATGCCCCCATAAGAGGGTGACGAATGTTTTCTTGTGGCTCTGTGGTTGCTTTGTCATTTTTAAACCTGCCCATAAAACAGAAACTGATTTGTTTTTACAGTGATGTTACTTTGGAAAGCTAACAGGGAAAAGAACAAATCATGCAACACGCAGACTTCCTTTCTCATTCTAAATGCCAGAAAGTCTGCAAAATAATCACCAAAGCTTAAAATGTGCTAATGCTGAAAACGCAAAGTGGTCGTGTGCTGCAAAAGCATCGTGCATCTGCTTGCACTTACCACATTGTCAAGTCACATCCTGTCCCTCGTGGACATGTGACATTTAAAAATGCCACTGTAAATGACAGCACAGTGCACGTCACCAGCCCCCTGATGAAGAAGGAGAAGACTCCACATACGTGAGCAGCACCAAGCTTCTTGTTCTCCTGTATGTTGAACTAACCCACTTATCTTCATACTCTCCCCTCTGTACCTGAGATAAAATGTTCATGTCGGAAACCTCAATATTTAGATACTCTGCAAGCGACTAACCTCCTAATCTCGTTATGTTATTCTCCCTGGGCCCTTTCGAAGGCCCTAATTTGCACTGCATTTGACTTGATACTGAAAACATGCAAAGCCACAGGTTCTTTATTTACTGAGAAGGCCGACCAGAGGTCAGTCAGTGCTAAAAACAATTACAGTTCAACATCTTCTCTTGTTCAATGCCGGAAAAAAAATCTTGTACGTTACACTTTTGATCTAAAACCATTCATATTTGACTAGCTAAGACTCACGCTTCCCACGCTAACATCTCCACGTCCATAACCACTTTGTTTTAATGGGTCTCAAGGCAAAATGAATGGGAATCCTATATAGTCATATAAAATAGAGACTTAATATGGGGTGAGCAGTAAATTGATATTTCATTGTTTCAACATGATACAGAAATCAGAACGTGACCATTTTGTTTAGGTTTGTTGCTTACGTTGCCATGGAGATACTGCTGTCAATGAAATAACCACACCCACCCAGTGACCCATGATGTAGCAGAATAGCAGGTCCTGTGACTGCTTAACTTATATCCATCTATATCTTTGCACATTGATTTGAATATGCAATGCGATGAGGAAATCGCCAAAGTTTTCTGGGCTTTTAAAACGTGTCAACTGTCCATTCGAGTGGCTCTTAGACACCATGTCATCCTTTACCCCACCGATCAAGTACCTGCCTGCCAGTGATACCTGACAACCGGCACAAGACCCTCATATGGCCCCTAAGAGATCCTCCACCAGCTGTCACTGCTTAAGTCCCATTGGCCCCTTTGTTTGAAGTATGACTGCAGAGTGTCACCCAACAGCATTGTAAATCAGCTGTCCCGCTGCTAATATACTACAGCTGTCAAACAGAACTACAAGGAGGATGATACACAAAACTGTTGTTTGCTTAAGGGATCACAGAAATAATCCCGCTGCAAATATTTGTCATTATGTGCTGCAGTACGGCCCTACACCAACCACACGCGAACCCAACCCCCCCAAAAAACAAACAATATAATATATATATATATCCCTAAATGTCAATACCCAGACACGGCAGGTCTTTTTTTACTTACACAATATTCTACTTTACTATGCGTCCTCATCTCCTGTCATGTGAGGAGACATCACGCGGTCTTCAGTGAGGGAAGAGGTTTTGCAGAGGTGTGTCTATCTATGAGCTGTATTTGGTTCCACGTAGGCATAGCAATTGTACCAATATGAGTCACTGTTTATTGGAAAGAAAGCACACCCTGACTCCTAAACAATGAGCTGGCAGTAATGCTCTGCTGTCACAGACACCAACAGGCTTCATTTCACTACCCGATGGTTTCATTTTGTTTGCTGCATGAAAGTACTGTTTTGAGACAAACATGGTTTTAATGGCGAGCACACATGACTGACAGCATGTTTTGCACCCCTGCTTTCCTGTTCCTCTCTTTGACAGCCGATTAAACTGACAGACCCTCAGCACGCGCACACACACACAGACTCACAGTGTGGAACCACAGGCCAAAGAGAGGTTCACGACAAGTTTGGGCGAGTCAACCGTAGTTAACTTAATGAGGGTAGTGGAGACCTTGTCTCACACACACACACACACACACACATACGAGAATAACACTAACTTGATTATCATGCTGTTGAGTGAAACATTCAAAACATCGTATGAGAAGACTTGCATCAGGTTACCTGACGCTGCGGCCGGATATCTAAAGCTGCACATCGGGGTTTCACGGCCAAAGAGCGCAAACAAAACGTGGTATGTTTCAATCCGAAAACAGGTTGAGATATTTTCGTTTACTTGCAGGTTTAAAAGGATTAAATTCAGAAGCATTTGCATTGCTAAGTATGCTTGTGTTATTTCTCTTACAACATAAGATGTATTAACAAATTCAAAAATATATTGAGGAGAAATCCATAACCACCAACAGTAAAGAGCAATGACAGAGGGGACCTTGTGCTACTGGTTTGTTTTGGAATAGCGTGCATAAAGTGAAGAGCAATAATGTTTGTGGCTCCTTACTGTAATATATCTGCACATGTGATGTATGCTGCTTTTGGACACCACGCCCTCAGTCTATTTCTGATGCAAGTGCTTGAATATGCACACAGCAGTGACACAAACAACAGGCCTTTATAAAGCTGAACGGTGGAAAAACAGAACATGTCAAAGAGAAATGAGACAAATCCCACGATTGAGATCACATTTAAAGCATCTACCCATCAATGAATTATCCAGTGTTAACTGAGAATAAAGTCTGGCTAGAGTAACTAAAGCATTGAACAACGTAGTTGTGAAGAGGGGTAAAAATGGGGGACAAGAAAACAGACTACAAATTGTGAACACTGGTAAGTTAACAATCGGCCTTCATCTTCAGTGCGGTTCCTCCCTTGAGCCAGGTGTGGATTCCCTTCACGGGACATTGACGTCTTTTTTTCAGTGTGCCACTGCTGCTGACACAAAGCTTTCATTTCAGCCTGTCAGAAAAACCAGAGAAACCCAAAGGACCATCGGAGCCCAGAGAGGAACAGAGAAGCACGAGAAAGCAGGACAGCAAGTGCACCAGACTGAGTTGCACCACCGACTGCTGCCAGCCAGTCAGCAAAGGAAACTCCAGCTCAAGCAGAAACGTCGGTTCCCAGTGCATGACTGCAATGTGTTTGTTTCCCTCAGCTGCATGTCTACTTCCTGGAGCCATATCTTGATAGATCTGCAGCACTCAAATATAAAAAAAGAAGAGAAAAAACATGCCTATTGTTTATTCTGCAGCCTGCTGCATTTCCTTTGACGTCTGGAGAGAAAAAAGACTCGGGAGACGCTGTCAATATGGTATTTACAAAAATGGACTGACTGATATTGAAACATGCCCAATTTGTGCAAAATTTCAGAATGATTGTAAGGCGTGCACTTTTCTGTGTCATACCTGCTGTTGGTCACACAAGATGAAAGCGTTCCTGTGGGGAGAAACACTTTTGCAAACACCACTATTATTTTTGTTCTTATTCTGACTCACTGAAGAATTATTCTGAACTGATCTGGTGTCTGAGCCTGGTCATATCTTCCATTTGAAGATTTCAAATCCAGTAGACTACATGCTGAATCCTTTGACAGTTTTCCCTTACGTGTCCTGCTGCTATTTTCTGTTTTTTGAGACACAGTGACCCACTTCCAGTTCCTTTCTCTCTTCGAAGCCGAGAGTGACTAAATGCTTAAGCTGTTTTGTTTTTGCAGCATTTCTGCTCCGACTCCCACCCTCCCCGCTCTCTTTTTGCTCTTTCTCCCATGCACACACTCACTCACTCACTCACTCACTCACTCTGCATGCCCCGAGGAAAGCGTCCTGTTTGCTAGTGGAGTGAATAGGGATCTCTGCCATGAGTCATTACCAGGGCACCCCTGGCACTCGGCTGTACCCCTCCTCTGCATGCAAGGAATGCCAGCTAGATGCACTCCGGCCGTAATGAAAGGAGCCAGTCATTCAGAGGCCGACAGCAGAACTTTATAAAAGTTTGATAGACAGCAGGGTGTGGACAAAGAAAAGTCATTTTGAAAAAAAACATTCCAGTCCAAGTCAAGTCCATCCAGAGCACCAGAAAATTGACGGTCAGGATGTTTTTATGAGTTCCCCCCTCCTCCTTTTTTCCTTTTTACGTGTGCACAGCTGTACTTTGGGGCTGAGGAAACATTTTCCGGCACGCACCTCTCTGCCTCTCTGAAATACTCTGTCATTAAACATGAACGCATATCATGCAACCTGTGTTGGACATAAACCTGCAACAATACAATACATTGTATACAATATATTTAAAATACATTATAACATAACAATGCTAAAGTTGCTCATTTTTGTTTCCCCCCCCTGTATTTTTTTATTTTTATACCATGTCTTGACTCCTGCCTCTTGTTTTTCTCTCTCATCCCCTCTACCTTCCCCCATGGCTCAGTTTGGCAGGGCCACGGGTTCAAGCACCAGAATGTAGGTCAGCCATTGGTGCGGAGTTACCGATTAGAAACAGCTGTGCGTTTGTGGGCCATTCTCCCCGTCTGCCGAGGCCAGCAGCCATCACAAAGCCGCACTCGCCTATAACTTCATTGTTCATAGGCCAACCGGCTCCACTTTCTCCCTCCTAAAAAGGATGAGCGATTGCAAGGGGCACCTTCGGTCACCTCTTTAGAACCTTCAAAGCGACAAATTGTTGCAAATCCTGCTCATCGCTGCCTTCCTCGCGGACCTCTGTGGACGCAGAAACGGGAGAACTGTGTCATCGCGTTTCCTGTCTTGTTGCTTTTTTCGCTTCCCCCTTAATAACACCCTTTTGCTGCCCTCACTAAGCCTCCAAAACAGCCGTGCATATCTGCGGTTGTGAATATTATAAACGTTGCAAAATATGTTTCCCACCAGCTGTTGTGTAACACGATTTAACCAGCGAGTGCCTCAGAGTAAGCTGCGGTGGTCCTGAAGGTGACACTAATATTAGCGTGTCTGGATTAGCCTTGCGTGCCCTCGCAGCCCCTCCCCTAATTACCAGAGCTGGTTCATATATACACCTCTACACACACAGCACCTGGGGGTAATTACCTGTCACAGTCCACGGGGGATGCCACCTGTTGGGGGGCCTCAGCGCGTGCACGGAGAAAAGAAAGACGGCTTATTTTGGTGGAGAGGAGCGACCCGGCATAAACATCTTCACATTCGGCAGTGCAACCATCACTCACGGAGACGCCTCCCCGAAAACCACAAAAGCAAAGAAGCACACAACTGAAGTTTTGTGTGAAGAAACGTAAAAAGCAGTGGAGGAGTACAGCAGGAAGGGAGCTGCGATGACTCCTCGCAGTCCGGACCCTTTAAGCAGCCCTCCCTCTGCTGCCAGCTCAGCAGCGGATATGAGCCAAACGCTACCTTGCAGCTGTGGGCCCGAAATGCCAGATTGGCAAAATAATGCACACGCACTCCCAAGACTCAACAGACACCGCACGTACACCACACTCACAAGGGAAGTGTGCGTGCAAGCGCACAAAGACCATAAACACGGGTTCAGATGCTATTCAATCTCCAAAACAAACGTTGCACTCTGTGACCCTGTTTGTAATTACAGTGGCCTGCCGTCGCCGACATTTGTCCCTGCCACGCCCTTTGAGCACGTGAAGCTTAAGCCAGACATTTCAGCAATGCAGGTGCTCCCTCACACATGCAACTAATTACCGGTGCGGACACGTGTTTTTCCAAAGCTCATGGAAACAAAAGTGATACTCCAAGCAAACACTCTTTAAAGAACAAATGCTTATTTGGGCGTGACGACCGCTTTGTGAAGTTTTACATCTTTAATGCGTCGCTCATCTGGCATGTTTAACCATGGTTTGGCAAGAAAGATTGATCGAGAGTCTGAGGGTGGATTACGCTACAGAAGTGGCTCAAGAGGTTGCTGAGGTTCAACAGCTGATATTTTGGCTTTGTTGCTGACAACTATAGATAAGAAGAGAGACCAGTCTCAGAATTGATTGTCTTAATAAACTCATTGCAAGAAAGTAAATTAGTGTTCCTAAAATGTCAAACTATTAATTCATGTTTTTCCTCTACTATCAGTTTGAATAGAAAGGAAAACCTGCAAAGCTTTACAGCCATGTTTTAAGCCTACGTGGGCATTTTGGGTGGAGTATCCCTTCCGGTGAAGGAATGCACCGTAAACAAGTCACAAAGGTCAGAGATAATGGTACAAATGGCATTTATAAATCCAGGCATCATGACAAGGATACTCAGGGGTCATATCAGACTCAAGTGTGAAACCAGCACACGTCCTCAAGTTCAGCTTCAGGTCACAACCAGAGGCCGCTTTCATTTTAGGAATGTTGTCACCCATTGTCAGAATAAAATCACATACTTTGGTAGGTGGTCTGTCACCGGCGTTCCCTGCTGCCCACCCACAAGTGAAGATAGGCCTGGTTAGCATATTTATATGGAGGACGTTTGTTGTTAGAGTCCTAGTGTTTGAGTGTATAAATTAGCTCAAGTTCGCCAGTTGCCATGGTCACGGATATGGTTGTTTTATTTGAGCCCATTCAACCTCCCATACAAACATCCCTGCCCCCTTTCCTTGAGTTTAAGTGGCTTGTAAGGCTTTTTCTTATAAGTGTTGGTGTCTGGGCTTCAACCTGGTAGGACTCACTAGTTATCAGCGCACTATCAGCGCTAACGTGTTTTTGGTCACTTCATTTCTTTGACGAGTTGGCCAAGATTCTCAACCACATACATAAAGGCAGCAGTCTTATGTTCACCCATCACATGGTACCCTGGTCCTACGGAGGACGTATGCCACAACAACACGTCGTTGTCATGCGGAATCCAGCACAAGAGAGGGAGGACCAAGCGGCCGTGCCAGCGAGGCAGAGGAACTAGTGCTATACCCACAAGACACAGACCATTGTTTTCAACAAGTGCCGCAAAAAAAAAAAGATTTTTGGTCCACAACAATGAAATTGCATAGGTTAGACCAAAAGATCCACGTGTGAAAAGGTTTTCAACTCTGTTGGAACATCACACAAAAGGAGTAAGCAAGACGGGGAGGAGACCCTGCAGTCTGCTGCTGGGATTGACAAGTAAATTACTAGTGCCAAAGCCGCTGTATGCAAATCGGGAGAGCAAAAACATGGCCAGAAAAAAATGTAATAGATGTAATACATGTTGAAACCCAACTGCAAAAAATTAAGATGCTTTGAATTCTGTATTGAGCACCTTTAAAAGATAAGGAAACTTCTGGGAACAAGCGCCGTCTGTCAACATTCTTTTTTCTATTGTTATTTGCCCTTGAAAACAACACCTGAGAATATTTACATCACAATGCTGTGATGACTCGCGACACGTGGCAGGACATAGAGAACTGATCTGTGAAGCGGAAAGGGTTACCGACAGCCTTCTTAAGCCACCAGACAGATCCTGCCCAAACATTTCTTCACGTTGCACCAGAGCACAAACATAAAGATGGAGAATGATGATTGCGGAAGGAAAACGTCTCGACTGGATGCATGAATGTGTCTGTGTTTGCGTGGGAGGAATGCCTCGCGCGTCAGACATATTCCGGCTAAAAGAATGAAACGCACGCTTGGACTGAGGTTTGAAGCCTGACAACATCAAAGGTTTCAAGCAGGGTTGAGATGAGCCTTACAGAAGTTTCGTTGTGTGACGCCAGCTGCCAGCTGTACCATGAGATCGCTCTGCCTTCAAATCGCAATAACATTGGTTCCAGCGGGATTAGATTCTGTCTTCTTCTGTGTGTCCACGTGCAGAAAACCATTGTTTTCTCTTAAGGAAAAATCAAGGTGAGAAAAAGGATTTGAACACTTTAAGGCCGATAAGTTGCAAAAACTCAAAGTGTAAAGACTCAACCCCTGTTGTGTAAACGCCCCACCTCGCCCTTTAGTAATATTTCCAGACCCTTAACTCTTTGTTGTTTCTGTTGAGGGCACGTCACACTCTGTGACACACTCATGATGCTGCTGAAAAGGCTCGCGTGTATGAGACCCGTGATTATTCTATGTGTAAGAGTCTACCACACAAACCGCGTAATAGACTCAATCAAGCAAGGGTTGAATGGAAAAATTGTGAATTGCAGGTGAGAAGTCACGCAAGACGGAGCGCCTATTAGTCACGGGAGTCAATTAGTCCGGTGAACTAAGCATTCCGCTCAAAGCCAATCAGAGCGTTGTGAAGCTAATTCAACGTGACCTTTGTTCCGTATGGGCATGAACAGTGTTTTTCTGATCTAAGCCTGGTAATAGGCTTTAACTCCATCAGCTAAAGGTTTCAACATCTATTTAAACACATTCAGGACCTGTGCGGCTTGAATTGTATTTTCAAAAGCTTTTAACCCGTTAACAATAATCTGATCCTGGGCCTGTTGACGGAAAGGGATAAATGTGTCCATGGACTTCTAGTTGCTGGTAGAAAGCATACTAAAGTTACTGACCTTTGACCTAAAGGACAGAGTGGAAGGTGCTTGCATACGGGAGGATTTTAGTTTGCAAGCAATTAGTGTTACCAAGAACATCTACCCAGGTCGGCAATCTCTCGTATCTCTTCTTGATTAGATTTGTAAAAACAACAGAGATGTGAGTCTCAACATGCACAGACGCAAAAAATATCTGGGTTTGATATAAGTTAACCTCACAATATTCACGTTAAAAAATGTATTGTCTTTTAAGCAATAAATAGTGTTCAGATTATTTAATGTACCCTCCGGAAGCAAGAAATACCTTTTCTGTTCCTCTGTCATGCCTAAATATGAAGACGGAAGTAGGCCATTGAAACCTTACACTTTATTTTGGGAAATGGATTCCATCAATGGAGGATGCCTGTTATGGGGGAACTGCATATTGAATATAGAAGAATGTACTTCTCTTTTTCTTTTATTCTTAAAAATTACAGCAGCCTCAGCTTCTGGCAAGATGCAGCACAGAACGTAACGCAATTTCTATTATTGAAAATAGTTTCTAAAGTTTATAAAAATAGCAAATATTGTTAAGCAGGATGTTAATATAATGTAGTGCGGTGTAAGTCATTTATAGTTATTTAAATCTCAAACCCTAAAGAAGCAAGGACCTTCCTAAATGGAAACCCTCAATATTAAAATCATTATCAAAAGCCTCTTTTCGCGTTATTTAATGGTTGGATTTGTGTCAGCCGGTTACCGGTGGACAGACAGGATGGAGGTGTTTGGCTAAGATGGAGCGATGGATGGAGGAAAACCAAGAAAGGGTGAAGAGAGTAGTCATTTGGCTGACAGGCCAGAGGCATTGAGCAAATGCAAGGCCTGAGCCACTCTGATCAGAGAGCATGCAGATGATAAGTCTATTAATAGAAACATGCAGCAGAAGGGACAAAGGCTATTTTCTTTCATACGATGCAAAAGACTGGGAGAATTTCTGTGCTGTTACGAGCACTTTAGAATATAACTTGCTGTCATTGCATGTGCATTTTGGCATTTTTGCCACATTTAAATAATCACATGATTAGATTGCTAAACACAGAGCACAAAGAAGGTTCATAAGATTATAAATTATGATATTCCAAAACAACCATTCACACATGCTGCTACAACCTTGAGAATAAATACCCACCAAAGATTTTTTAACACAATGATACAAGCTGACATCCAAGATGTTCAAGTAGATTAACATGAATTTTACAAAACCAGATCCTATTCTGCAAGTTATTTACATTCTGTGTGAATACAAGGTATTTTCTTCCAGGATGTTTTAATCAGCCTTCTTTAACCACACAAATCATTATTTTTTATAAATATTCTGAGCCAAAGCTATTGCTTTATATCTATGAATGTTGTCCAACTACTACATCGTTGAATAATCGATTCAATACAATTTAATACAATGCAGAAAACAGGCTACATTTTTCTGAAAAAAACTCCAGCTCAGTGAGCGAGGAAACAAGACAAAATGTGTGCAGGGAGCGTAAATCCCAAAACCTCTGAAATAGTAACAGGCACGAGATGATGAGTGCTTGCTTACATAAAGGGGTCAAGGTCAAGTTTCTCTTCGACACTCGTGCGATTGCATTGACCCAAAGTGAGGTCAAACAAATGATGGAACAACAAAACCTGAAGAGATAAACACCCCATGCGTCTTCATAAACCCATGACCTCCTGCAATCTGAGACGAGCCACAGCCAAAGTTCAGTGGCGGAGTGAACCAACGTTCCTGCATGTGTGGCCATTTGATAAGAGGTGTGCAGGTTGCATAACGTGTCTTTAGTTACCCCAGAAATAGTCAACATTACGCATCAGGTTTAATCAGGTTACTGTATATGCTACGGCTGTAAACCACTTTTTCAAAAAAAGGATGTAGTCAGGCTAATTTGGTCTATTTACCATGTCTGCATATCAGTATGAGGAACGTACAGAGAGACGGGATAGCAAACAATGACATCCTGTGAAAAGCTAACTTCCTTTTAGGTAAATTATTATATGGAGCTTAGTGACACAAAAAAAGAAAGAAAAATAAAACCTCACGGCAGGAGAGATCATTAATCATTTCAGTGGCATGCATCCTCGGCTCGTAAATGGGTATTATTGACAAAACAAAAGATAGTTAACACAAAATAGAAACCATCAACTCGATCCTCGTCTGCATCACGATGCAGGAAATAAGAAATTACATAAAAAGAGTGACATGACACCAAATGTGAGCTACTACCTCATTCAGGTGACGTTAAAATGAAGTTGCGCGCAGCGAATGCAGGAAATAAAAACTTTGAAACTGAATGTGGTTTGTGTATGGTTGAATGGATCAAACATAATCCCAATTTCTGTAAATGTTAAATTGTCCACAATGAACTGCATCCTGAACCTCTTGTATAAATGCTTAACATTTACACTTAGTAGGAAGTGTATTTGCTACACCAAGCTCAATGCAGTATAATACAACAAACAGACATGCAATAAATCTTACCTTTATGACATTTATAGTATTCTGTTTTTGAGAGTCATATACCCTGTACATATATAGATAGATAGATAGATATACACACAAATAAAGAAGAAATGCAAATAAGATTTAAACAGTGGGAGTTTTTTTATATTGAAGACATCAAAAACACCTGAAGGTCCATTCACTTTAGCTTCATTTAAATAAACCGGCAAAAGAGTGGACATCATTCTGTTTTTTCACAATACGTTGGAATGCAAATTTAATAAGGAACCTTTGTAGCACCACCAACATATTTTACATTTGTGTTTGTGTTGCAAATGGCCACACAGCTTCACATATTTTATGATTTTTTAAAATTTGTTCACATATTTAACCAGCCATTTATGTCTAGCAATCTATAACAAACTGTCTTAATTACAGGCCTGCAGGGATCCTGCGTGACACTTGTTACCAGAAAACTACAACAAAAAACAGAGTTTGAGGCTCTGATCCTCATGTTTCCTCTGATTATTATGCTTTTGTGATTTCTTCAAAATGTGCTCAAATCAGAGGCACAAACATCTGGCCGCAAGCAACTTAAGCTGTCTGCCGTGCAGAGCAACCCACTTTTTTACTCAGCAGGAACTCCTGCTGAGACATCCATAACTCTTCTACCCACAATTTAGCTGCAAGAATATTACAACCTTAGGCTCCTTTTTGTCTGTATCTACTACTTAAAATGAAGCACTGGTATTTGCTCTGCTCTAGCAAAAAGTTTAAATCAATAATCTGAATATATTTTTCTTGATTCTACCAAATCTAATGTTTGACTTAACAACGTACTATTATTTTCATTACCAGTCACCATTCAATTGTTTGGCATATTCTAAATCAAATAATTAATTAATTACTAAAAAACAAACTAAACTGAAACAGTGCACCGATTGTAATGGCTCTTACTGTGTTACAGGAATAACATGCAAGGTTTAGCTGTACGAGGCAGTGATTACTCATGCAGATGCACTGCAGTATCAGCCATTCTGTTAGAGACTGAACATGGTGATTCTCTGGCTGTCGTTGTATTAAGTTAAAGTTTTCATTTGCTAACTCTATTCAAACTGCTTTTCTAAAAGAAGGGTGATAATATTTATACTTGAAAAAGTGTATTTAACCTTGCATATTTAATGCATTCCCTCAAAAACAACATGCAGTTTACACTGCACTGCTCAGTTTATATCTTCCTGAGTCACAAACCATTTGTTTCTGCAGCATCATACAGGGCTTTCATAATGACTTGGACAGGAAATGAATACAGAACCGCTATGAATCATTTTTCCATGTAACACACTCTTAAGGGAAATAGCTGATATATATTACACAGCCATAGTAACTGGATAATTGTTGAATGCAGTGTACTTCACGGTCTAAATCCAAACGCATACCTTGGAGAAGTTATTAAACTTGGGAACTAAATCGGCAGCGCAAGTTCAACCATGATTCCTTCCAGCCAATCAAAGGCTGACTGTCTCGGTCTCAGACCAATCCTCTTTGGAGGGGGCGGGCAACCCAGGCTGTTGCTAAGGTACGTCTCTGATGAGTTTTGCCCTTAAGCCAATCAAATTGCACCTTGCCGGGTGAGCCTGCACTCGGACTGGGACATCCCTCTAACCGGCTCTTCTCATTGGACGCGAGTGCGATCACTCACTTCGCGAGTTTTAGTTAGGTGCTGTTGATACTGTAGTTTGTAGTCACCAAGACTCACAACTGAATATAGCTGCGCTCGCGCACCGTCCCGAAACAGTTTTTTAGGATTCCAACCCCATTACTTCATGACTTCAACATCTGTGTAAAAAGATAACTTCTATTTTTTTATTTTTTAAATTTTTTTTTTATAACAAGACAACAACGAGATGGAACTTAATTCTCTTTTAATTCTGCTGGAGGCTGCAGAGTACTTGGAAAGAAGAGACAGAGGTATTTTAAGCCAAAGTGACAAAGTGACAGTATTTCCGAGGCTGGTGTTTATTCGCGCATGTGGACGGCGGCTAGCTTAACGCATCTTATACGTAAAGTTTGCCGTAGTGCAGGTATGATGTCACTCCACAGACAATGGGACGCTGGGCGACAACTGGACCCAGTAGCCTACATGCGAGCAAAGGAGTAGCTGTATATTATTATTTGTATTGTTATTATCATTCAAAGTAGGTGGCGTATTATTGAACTGTGTACGTGTCTGATACCGCTCACGTGTTGTGTGTACTCAAGAGGGAAGGCTGCTCCCGTGTTATTATTCGCTCTCTGGAAATGAGTGACCGGTGACATTGAGAAGGTCCAGGCGGTGTCACCGCGACAGATGGACATTAACCAGCATGTAACATGCACAAATAAAACACCTTGCTGAGGGCTCCACAGCACCGTATGCACTGACGATCGATCACGTGTTTTTTCTGTTTTTTCCCCCCCTATTGGCATCTATAGCTATTTCAGGCCCCCCCCCCCCCCCTCCCACCCCCCTTCTCCGAATGAATGACATCTTTATTTTTCTAATGATGGTGGATCCTCGCAGACGCCTCGGTGATATTGACATGTGTTGTTCTGTTTGCTGTGCAGAGGCAGAACACGGTTACGCGTCCGTTTTACCGTACAGGAGCGACTTTTCCACTAAGAAAACGAAAGCCTCGGCAATCTCCAGAAAGCCTCTGAACAATCGGTAAATATATTTTCTTTCCCTGTATTTGTTTGCTTGTTTGTGAGTCCTGGCGTGTGGGAACGCGCACGCATCGGGTGGGAGTAGAGAGGAGGGCGGGGTGTTTTTCACGCGCACTGCCTTCGCTGGGCTGGGCTCTCTGTTTTGGTCTCTCCGATAAACACTGCCACGCGTACACTGTCAACTCTGCTGCTCCCACTCTTTCGCTTTTACAAGCACGCACGCGCGCGCGCACGCACGTACATACGTACGCGCGCGCCCGCGCCGCCCCCCCCTACACACACACCCGTGGTGAGAGACAACGCGGCCGACATGCACGTAACCTTTCGCTTCTGCATGAAGTTTTGTTTTTCATGTGGTGTGTCTTTGGGTGTGAGTGTGTCTGATGTTACATTAAAGTGTCGTTTGCCCCCTGGAAGTACCCCCTCCGCCCCCCCCCCCCACACACACACCTCCCTACAGACACACACACACACACACACACACATTCCAACTCCATTGACATACTGCACCGACATAGAATCGCACAGAATAATAACACATGAGGGAATCCATTTAGGTTTCAGTTTCGGTTCTGTGCTGTTCTGTTGCTCTTTCTTGACCAGTCAACCAGCTGGTTAAAGGTACAAACCGACATCAGCAAGTTAAAATGTAATCTGGTGTAGTTAATGGGCCTGTTATCCAACACTGCATCCGCTATGGGCAAATTATTTATTGATTACTGATTTTTATTATTGAAGTTTTGCGGATAAAATGTAATTTGAAGAGGGAAAAATGCTTGCATTTGTAATGTAATCCTGCTTCATTTTCTTATCATCGATTCATCCTATCGGCTCCTGTGGATAACATGATTGTGTTGATTTACATCCCAGGCTTTATGCAACATGCATAAACAAACATCTATAGTTCACAAGTTTTATTCCCAGGAACACTCGAACATAAAGGTCCGGTGAGAAACAGAAAAACGTTCCCGTCGGCTAATATCAGTTTAAGGAAGCGTAGTTTCCTCAGTAGTGAGACACTCATCATTGGACGTACAGAATATCAACCTATGGTAACACAACTTCACGCCTTTTAAGGGCGTATGGCTCTGTGAATATATTTCTATTTTTGTCACAAATGAAAATGCAGTCTCATCCGCATTGCGTTGACCCATAGTCAGACACGGCAACACAATTGTTTAGGTGCGTGCGTGCGTGTGTGTGTATGTATGTGGGTGTGGCGGCTCAAACAGACACCTACACACTGTGACAAACCCCAGCGCACAAAGCTTTACGCACCAGACCGGCTTCTCCCTCCTTTTCTTGTAACTGCACTGTGGGCCAAATTCCCCGTTTCCCTTTATACTCTCTTACCGTTTCTTTTTTTTTTTTGAAGTATCAACAGGATGCCGGGTTGGGGAACATAAAAACATGCTTGAAGTGTTTGGCTGTTTGTTAAAAGCGTCGCTTGGTTAGAACCATGAGCTGTTTGTCATAAGGTTCGAAATCATTAACAAATCGGCAAAACCACCATGTCACATGTTTTGCAATGATGCAATATTTGAGGATGTGAAAAAAAGAAGAAAAAAAACGTTGGGAGTTTCTGAACGCAGAAAGAAAAAAACCCAGGTGGACTTTCCTTGTTTCATTCATAGACTTTTCCAAATCAAAATGGTTTGAATAAATAAAACATCAGGAGTATTTCCTGCTTCACCTCTCTGTCACGCTATATATAACGATAACATAAATAGTGACTTATTTTGCATCCCTTAAATGTCTTCTTGTGAAGACAAGGCAGTGTTTTGTCATGTTTCATCCCATTTAAAAAAAAGGCATATGTGTGGCTGCTTTGTGTGCCTTTGATCGTCAGGGCCAAGTTTATACCATACCACCGTCCTTTGCATGACACACCATTATTTTACATAACATGTAAAGGTGTGTGTATTAACCTGCTGCCGTTGCAGGTCTGCGTGCATTCCCTTCCTCTGAAAGTTGCTCTTATTATTTCCTGGTCATGCCCTGTGCTTTGTCTGGGACATTTCCCCAATTTGTGCAAGCCTCAATAGCACAACTTCCTCCTCGGTGACGGCCTTTTCAATCGCTTTATTAGCGGCGGGGAAACATCCTGTCCTCCTTATGGGAGGATTTTGGGGCCGGCGCCACAGCACTCGCACTTACACGCTCAACCGTAACCCCTTTTCTGCTGCAGCAGGCGGTGTCACCGCCTTGGCCTCCTGCAGCTGTGGGAACCACTGCTTCACGAGCGCAAGGGGCTCTCGAACAGCGAGAAAAACCCTAAAAAGGCTAATTGTGTGTCCGGCCTTTTGTTGTCGCTGTTTTGTTTTTACCGCTGCGGTATCCATGACGGCCTCGTGAACACACAAACTCTGCAGCGTCTCGGGCCTCCAGGCGTCCGGGTGTGCGTGTGTTTTTTTTTTTTAAAAGTATCCCTCTGCTTTTCAGCCAGAGTGCAGCAACAACAACAGTGCGTGCACGCTGTTTGTATGCCTGTGAGAGCCGGGGGGGGGTCTCTCTCTCTCTCTCCCTCTCTCTCAGAGTCAACCCTGCGCTCAGCTGCACACTCTGTGACAGACGTCACACAGACGTGGAAAAAATGATCTACTACATTTTTGCACATTTGTCATGGATGTCTATTGACAGAATATGAGATCCAGCCGTTGTGCTGCTCGCTCGAGGCCTGTTTTGAAGTATTGTTATTACAAAAATAATTGTTTCAAAGCAACTCAAATAGGCAAAAGAAAAAAGCAGAAAGAAATCAACTCCATCATTGGATATTTTTCCTTTCGCTGTCTTTCAGTCATGTTGCTTTCGTGTGTCTTACATTAAGAGTTCATTTTGGATTGTCATTACATCGCACATTCCCTCTCTGGTCATGTGATTTGAGTGTGTGTGGTTTTTTGACGGTATTTTGGCACCGATTTGACACTCCTCTTCCTATTTTCGTCCTCACAGATCGTCGCACAACGAGCTGGAGAAACACAGGTAAGATCTCATCGGAGACCCTCCGTCCCGTTTGAATGATTTGCATGTGCGTGTTGTTGTTGTTTTTTACGAGCAGCCTTGAGTTGCAGACATCCTGAGCGAAGAGACGCAGGTAAACGGTCAAGATATTTGTCCTCACAGTAAAAATCACAGTGATATTTAATCCCTCGTTTTCGAGATTTGTGTTGATTAGATCTGTCTCCACTTCACGGATGAGACCCGTCGTACGGAGAGAGGGAGTCCTGTCAGTAATGTGATAATCCTGAACAGGCTGATACTGAGAACGGAGGCGGGGTGAATCTAGACCAAAATGAAGAGGCCCACAGACACACACACACACACACACGGATATCCCGCTCTGCTACCCCCAGCATGCATCTCACTCCACCTCTTTCCTTCCCCCCCTCGGGGGTACAGCGCTGTGCTTGCAGCGATGTGATATCTGGTCTCATTAGACTTGTCTGTTTTTTGTCTCTATGTTTCACAAATCCAATGGGGTTTCTTGTCAGGAGGCACAACTTCTCTTTGATACTACAAAGCTTAAAGCCACTTCAGGGAAGGTGGTTGGTGGAAGAAGCAAAACGTTTTGCTCTGCTTATTTCTAACAGCTACATCAAGGTCACCACGAGCTGATTCCTACCAAAAACCCCCGCCAAATAACGCCTGCCAGAGCGGATTCGCGAAAAAACCAGCTGAGGCCGAGATGGGTGTGTCGTTGTTGTCGGCCCGCGTGTGCGTGACACACCGTCAACCCCCCGCCGCGGAGGGATTGGGGTTGGCCGGTTACGTGTCTAGGAGTGAGTAATGGGTGTGCAGCGCTGACGAGAGAAGCCCGAGACGGGTTGGGACATATTCCTCCCTGACCTGAGAGACGGAGACGGGCCCGGCTGATCGCACAGCAGGTGTTGAGACACGGCGGTTACCTCACGTCCGACGACGGGTGCGGTCGGTTACCAATCCAAGTGACCGGTCAAACTGCCAAATGCAAGTGCCGGTGAAGTGTTCCAATAATCGGTTTAGTCACTTCCCTTGGCGTCACCGCGGCCACGGGTTTCTAAAAAAGACGTTTATTTTGTACATCACTGAATGTAATGTTTGTGAGGGAAAAAAAAGTTCCACCCGCTTATTTGAAATGACGTCCTGTGCGGTGACCGGGTATCATTGTGATCCTCGGCAACGTGACGCACCTTCAAATTACACGGTCATTACTCCGGACATGCAGGTGTTACAGGTGGAAGCTGGCACGTCATTTACAGTAAATGTGTACGTGCTGCGTTCAAACCAGCTGTGGTGCTGGTGTTGTGAACAGAAACAGAAATTAAATGAACATTTTGGCGCACACGTGAGCAAAATGTGCTGGTTTCAGCTGCTGAAGATTTTTGCAGATCTTCTTATTTTGGCATCACAACTATCTGTTGGGTCGGGGGCTTTTGACCCAAATAACAAACACTTTGATACAAAGTCCTCTTACTAGCGAGCGATCGGTTATCTAAAACAAATGATCACGAGTGGAACCGAAAGCCGAAATTCCACCCGTTCCAACCCTGCTGGTATGCCATTCAAAGGAATCAGACCGGGTTCATCTTCGACAATCCCAGTGTTTGCTCGGAAAGCTGCTGCTTGAGCACTGACTCACCGTCTTTGTTTGATCACGTTCGCCTCACAGCGCGTCCTCGTACTGTGTGTCTTCGTGGCAGGCAGAGTGAGCGATCAAACGTACACCGGAGGTATTGACCATATTGTCCGTCAGTCATCTGTTTTATATATACAGTATATATAGAGTCACCATTCAAGCTATGTCTTTGGACTGTGGGAGGAAGCCGGGTACCCAGAGAAAACGAGGAGAACAAGCAAACCCGCCACACCACAGAGCCCCTTTGACTGTATCGGAAAAAGCGCAAATATTGTGCGTGACCTCAAATATTGAGGTGATTAGAGGTTGGCGGCTCGGGCCTACTTTGGAGCCATTCGTCTATTCGGTGGCACCGGCGAGGGTCCAGAGGGCCAACTTCTAGATAAAGATTTTTTTTCTGCTCAGAAAAAAAAGCATACAGGCCGCTCAGTGGTCTCCTGCGTGCTAGGTGTCTCTCACAGAACCGCCAAGCGGCACCGTGCATATATTTGTGTCCTCCTATCAGAGCGAGACGTCTGGGCGGGAGCCAGCCGCTCCCCGCGGGGTCGCCTGCTTATCTGCTGCAGCCGGAGTGCAGCCGTGACAGCTCAGGATAGACCGTCTCCAGGGTGACTCTGCTGTCTCTCTCTCTCTCTCTCTCTCTCTCTCTCTCTCTCTCTCTCTCTCTCTCTCTCTCTCTCTCTCTCTCTCTCTCTCGTCATTGCCTTTTGCACAGGCCGGAGCTGCAGAGCGCGGTGGCCTCAGACGTTTCGGGGAAACCGAATGCCGCCGTGCGGTCGGTCTCCCCGCTGGCACTGCTTCCTTCCCATTTCTGAATTCCACCGCTCTTCGTCACGTCTTCGGCACAAGTTTCCTTTTCTAGAATGAAAAAAAAAAAAAAAGCCAGCAAAATGTGAAACTACTGACGTTTCGCTTTCCCGCACATCACCTATTTACAGGAAATAGATTCTAACAAACAGTATTCTCTTACGATGCATTGCACACTGAGCTGATGCACAGCGACTGGGCGACACCTAACGTGGCTCCAAATGAACATGCGCCTCGTGGACACAGGAGCCGGCCCTCAGTTGGTCACGGTTATTCTTCTCTCTAATTAAATTCACTACTGTCTTCTACTCCCTGCTGTGATAAATGACCTATTTGGCTTTGAGGAACTCTTCCCCTTGGAGTGAAGCTCCTGTGTGTGTGTGTGTGTGTGTGTGTGTGTGTGTGTGTGTGTGTGTGTGTGTGTGAGAGAGAGTTATGGCGTTGTCTCGATGGGGAGGGGGAGAGCCGTCCCACAGCTCTTCGTCTCCTTCTTTCTCCAGAGACGGCATCTGGTTTTTCTGTTATGGTTTTTTTTTTCCTCCTCATTCTGGCTCTCTGCTTTTTTTCACTCCGCAGAGTGTTTGAGTCAGCAGAAACCCGAGGCAGCAAGGACGAGAAAGGCAGAGCTCCCTTCTCACAGAGGGCCTTTATCACCCTTTCCCCCCTTTTTAGAGACATAACTCTTCTTTCATGATCGTGCATTTATGAGGAAGATGGCAGGGGTTTGCCTGTTCATCTGCATCTGAATGTGCACTGCAGAAAACGCAGCTTCTGTGAATACAGTTGAAGTTAAGATCATAACATGTCAGCATCCCGCCTTTAAAAATGAATAATAATCCTATAGGGCGAGTTATAGGGCAGGTACATTAACAAAAGTGGAACCCTTTATTCCTCCCTGTTTTGCATTCGGTGTGGAATTCACATGCTCACATGATTGCATGTGGCTTTTGAACTTAACTTCCTCAAATGTAACTCACGTACAATCCTCATGTGAGTGTGGAAACCTGGAGTCATTCTGTCTGCGTGACATGTGCTGTACGCGGTCCAATCTAAAGGCACGCGTAGACCACACAAGCAATTTGTAGCAACGAGACTGGTCCGTTAATTATCAAATTCAAATCAAATCAAATTTGTTATGTCAGTAAAGTGTCAAATACCTCAAGACACCTAACCCCTAATTGCTCCCCGGGCAAAATGTGAAAAAGCCGTGGGTTTAAAGTGTAATGTAAGTCGCTTTGGATAAAAGCGTCAGCTAAATGACCTGTAATGTAATTTAATAATTGTATTTATGTGGATACATATATTTACAGATAAAATAATCAGATTGGGATTTCTGCGTCTCGCTAATCTATTAAATAAAATCATAAAAAATCAGTTGGATATATTTATTCAAAGTAGTCCGACTGTGGAGAAATTTATTTTAAAGACAACAACTCAGATCAACTGTTAGGCAAACCTTTCCCCAGCGGATGCATTTCGCCATTTCGCCCCACACCACGACACACCGGCTTTGTCCAAGTTGTTCCACATTTGCTGAAGTAAGAGAACATAACTGTGTGACAGTCGTACAGACGTAACCGTTGTGAGGCCGTTTTGTGACAAACAGCAAGAAAAACGCGCTATTGGTCGGCTGCCAGCGGTGTGTAGATTAATTCACGCAGAAATCTGAGTGGGTGAACTTGAATGTTGGAGGCTGACATTTAGGCGCGCTCCCTCTCAGGTGTCGTCGCTGGAGGCACCAGCGCGTTTTCTGTGTCAGTAAACGGGTTTCGCCGCCGCAAAAGCAAAAGGATGCCCTTTAACGAGGAGGGGCTTAGCTTTTTGGGGGGTTTCACGGGCAAAAGAAACAACAACAAAAAAACTATTAAAGAAAGACGTGAAAAGGCGTAGAGGAGGGAGGAGGGTGAGTTGACTGAACCATTCATGGTTTGGCCTTTGCCCCCCCCCCCCCCCCCGCCTCCCCTCCACCGAGGGAGAGAGGAGACTACGGCATTCTTGAGCGTTGCCGGAGAGAGGGAGCGCGAGGCGGCGTACGATGTGGCTGCTTTGTGTGTCGAGCAGGCGGCCTGGAATTCAGGTCGGCGGAGTGGCGGAGTGTGGACACATGTGCTGGAATGCGGTTAAGTAACAGAGTCGGTTTTAGGCCGAGGGGGTTCGATGGGGGGTGTGTCACAAAAACTTGCAGGTCGTGTATAACTTGAATGATTTGGCGTGGCGTCCGATGCGCGATGCCGCTGCAGAGAGTCGCGGGGCAAATATTTGTTTGATTTGACGCATCGATTGTGCGGATTAGGTGTGTTATTCATCAACGTGTGTCTCTGGTTTTGTTCCTCCATGTTCAACAACAGGAGTAAGCCTGGGGTCGATCCCTCGCATTGTGGCCTCCTCTGGCTTTAAACTGAAAGGAAACAATCTATTTCTATTCACAAGGGGGAAAAAAAAGGTCCTGAATAAATAAGAATCCGTTTGTGTATGAGACATTTCTTGTTTCTGTTTACTATCGCCTCGAGTAGGACCCCGCCCAACTGTTCCACGGCCTCCTCGCAGAAATAAACAGACAAACGTCCACAGTAAACATGGACGCTGCGATCGTCTCTCGCGCCACCAGATCCCTGCGCGTTGATCGCTGGGGAGGACGCTTTATAAAAGCAGAGCTCGCTGCGCGTCTCTGTTTATTGAGCTCGCTGAACTTGTCTCTGCTAGTCCGTCCCAACGTTTGCAGATGCACTGTTCAACGCACACGGCGGAAGGCCTGTTAAATCTCCAGGTCTGTCATTTCCGATTGCGTTGAAATGAGTGAGTGATGCACAGCGGATCTTTAATTCCACCCTTCTTCTTTCTGCTCCCCTGCGGAAACTCTTATGTGCCGTCTGTTTTTCTTCAAACGATGCTGAGGAAGGGACTTTGTAGCGGTCCACGCTCCCACAGGGGATCGTTTTAGTGCCCGAAAAAAAGGTTGAGTGAATCTAACGACAAGGCATTCCTTAGTCCCGCCCAGTGGTTGTTTCAGTTTTGTGGAAATACTACGACAGTCTGCCTAATTCTGCAGTTTCCTGTTGTTTAATCACCAGTAAAGCACGCGGAGTCTCTTAACAAATAGCGCAATGACACAAGTAGTGAAGCAACCAGGCCCCTCCCTCCGTCTGCGCTGCTGTCGCCGTGCGTTCCAGTTTCTGTTTGCAGCTCGCGTGTGAGACAGGAGTCACGGGAGAGGGCGAGGTCCAGGTTCCTGCCACCGGGAGAACGTGTTTACGGGGAGGGGGGAGACTCTCGTTGTCCGTCTCTCCCCGCTGTTGTCACTGCACACACAGTTGGTGGGCGTGGCATCCTCTCTGGCAGAAAAAAATACAATATACGGCTCGTCCCAGACTTGACGACGGAGGTTTTATGCCGGGGTGACGTGGCCAGTGTTTGTAGGACGAGGCCGAGAGTACGGTCCCTCATCACCTAAACAATCCCTCCCATCTGGCCTCGTACTCCCCCAGGAACCTGCCAGCCAGATGTGCAGCCCCTTCCCTAGCAACCCCCAAATTCCACCACGGCAACAATAGGGATCCAGGCACGCAACCCCTGCCCCACTCTTACTTCACATGACGGAGCCTTGCGGTAAACAAAGGAGCCGGACTCCGGAGTTTGTGAGGGTTTTTTGAAGGTTCAATTAAACCACTTTTATTCGGGGGTGAAACTGTAAGTGAGAACAACCCAGAATGTTGGCGATTATCCATGAAGCCCGAGGAAAACAGCAGGCAGCATACAGCATACAGTCGGACTCCTCTTTTTGTTGCGTCTCCAGATTTGAGAGACGGCCAAAAATAAAAGAATGCATTGTAACGACCTCCACTCATTTAGACCCCCTGAATGTTTACACCGCATTTTGAGATTAAATTGCATTATTGCGCTGACAAGATAAACAGACCCAGCAGGGAAGTCTTCGTGCTGGAGTCTTGCCGGCTCAAGTCATAACAACACCAGAGGCCTGGTGTCGCATTTTCGGGGGGTAGGAGGGGAGGGGGGGGTGCACACCAGTTCTTGCAGTGAGAGGAAACCGTGCGCTGGTGTTTCTGATGACCTTTGACCTTCGTTTAGCAGGGTTTGGCTTCTCGCCAGGCAGGCCACTCGGCCCCCGTGCGTATGGGTTGAGGAATGCGCCGGGCTGCAGCGAGCTTATTAAACAGAGCAGCGAGTGAGGGGGGTCCGCTGTTTGCACTAGTCTGCCTTCTCAGGCTCCGCAGCTCCCAATGTACCCATAGATCTCCAGGCCCCAGGGGCCACGGGGGGGTCCTGGGACACTGCTGTTACCAGGATATCTGTGTGTGGACACATTGCATTGTATTGTATGTATCATGGGAGCTTGGTCAAGATTCGGTACGAACTCATTCCAGTTAGCGCGCCGCTTTCTGAGCAAACGCTTCTTTTTGTTTTTTTCTCGCCTCTGCCTTTGCTTTGCTTTGGCACCGAGCCACTGGATGGAGAGGGGAGAGGAGGGGCACGGATCAGACAGACAGACAGACAGACATCCCGTGGTTATCTGCACGTGAGAGCGGTCAGGTGGTCATTTCCCCGCAGACGTGACTTGCGGGTTCAGCTGCAGGAAATTGCTGGGTGTTTTTTTTGTCGCTTTTAAACAAGACTGATTGAATTAACAAAAATATGCCAACAATATTGTGGATATTAGAATCCTAACTTTCCAACTCGAAAATTCAAGCTCTTGTATGACACCACCTCAGTCACATTGTGATTTGTGACTGAATAAATCAAACTTTATCAAATTTTCTAGACAAATTGGAAAATTGATTTGATTCCAAACCACGTGGAGCTGTGCGAAATGTCTGCTCTCCTTTGTGGACAAAAAATTCCCGTCCCTCTGGTGCCACACTTTGCTTGGCTTTTCGAGGCTATCTGATAAACATAGCGTGACCGGGGCTTGGTTTAGGAATAACAAACGTGAGTGAGGGAGGGTCTCAAGCCCGCTCCTAATTGGCTGTGTGCTCTTGAAGATAAATAGCCCGTCTCATGGCGGGGGGAACATGTGCATCTTGGCTGGAGCAGGCAGGCACACAGACACACACACACACACACTGCCGGGTTAATTTAGGTCCTGTCTTACTATGCATCAGAAACACAAAGCTTTTTTATGTGCACAGAGTCACGATAAAGAAAGCTATAGCCAGGAGACACATGTAGCATTTAGCGCCACTGAAAGCTGCAGCTTGGTTGTTCTGAATAGAAACTGGTGTAATGTGACATTCAAAAACAACACAACAAAGTAGTTCCCAGTTCGACTTTGTCGGAATCTAATGTGAGGCCTGAAAGATCTCCACACATCAAGGTGGTGAAAGTGCATCTGTGCGTATTTCTTACATCTACATGCCAGGTAAAATATCTGGTGGGCCTACAGGTGGGGCCTGTGCTGAATTTCTTTCATCAAAAATAGGTTTTCTTTGAGGGAGGTGGGTAGTCAGGCAGAGCATTCCGGGGAACGCCTTGTTTTTTCTTTTTTCATCATAAAAGAGAGCGAGCGAGAGAGAGAGAGAGAGGCCCGTTGGCTCAAGTTACCCGTCGGATGATGTGTGCGGAGCGCTGCCTGGTGCAGCTGAGCACACTGCATACTCAAAGGGCCCTTTTTTTAACCCACCAGCTCGGACCCCGCTCTCTTCCAGACACCCCCCCCCCTGCTGCAGACCCCCAGCTCCTTCCTGCCTGCTTCCCCTGGCCGCGGTCCAACTGCTTCATGTGGCTGGACCGGGGCAGGTTGGAGGTGGGCCCCCGCCCCTCGGCCTCAGAAGACACTTGTTTTCCAGTAGGACGAGGGTGTGTTGGTGTTGGCAGGGTGGAGCAGTGGGGTGGAGGGGTCCGGGTGGGGGACGGCCCCCCTGGGAGAGAAGGAAATAAAAGAATGAGAGCACTTTCACACGCCCTTTTGGGTGGGGGGGGCCCTATGCACCTGTAGTGAGGTGGAGATGTTTTAAAGGGCATCTCGCTAATCCTTTTTTTAATGTATTTAAATCAGGTGCAATTTTTTTATAACTACAATCAAATCAAATAAAAAATTCATGCAACCTTCATTTATGACATTGGATTACTTTGTTCAGCCCGGAGACTTTCTCGCTGCCCACAGGCCTCCAGCTGACCTCCAAGTGAGATAGACGAGGCCAGTCAGAGGGTCTTACTTCATGTGAAAAACACAGGCGACGCCCTTCCTGAAAAACAAGAAAAGGGGGAAAGAGGGAAAGACTGTGAGTGTGTTCTCCGGCCCTGCAGAGCTTCATTTCTCTGATTAGGTTTATTGTGGTTGCGGCACCGGCCAGCGGAGACTTTGCGTTGTTGGAGTTTGTTTACCGTTCGGGTCGAGTTGGCCAAAGGAACGAGGGAGAAGGGGGAAGGCTGGATCAGAACAAAGAAACGGTTCATGGACTAGCATGACTAATGGAGGGTTGAAAGGCCTTCATGAGGAAAATTGAATGTCCAAGGACAGGCATTGGAGATAATCTGCTGATTTAAAAAAGGAAATTGTGAGGATATATACAATATCTGCTCCAAGTCATTCAATGTCCACACAGTCATTAGTTCTGCCCCGTCGTCAATAGCATGCAGGGCCCAGTGAGCTGTTTCCTAGTGGCTCCGGGGTCGTTGGCCTGCAGGCGTTTTGGCAGCGATGGAGGGTTTTCCGGGGGCCGCGGTTTCTGCCTTGAGTTCAAGCGACAGAGCGACCGGAGCAGATGAGACACTTCTCATGGCCGTCACTTGGCTCAATAATGATTGATTCTGTGACTTTGGATCTTTGGGTCTCCCCACCGGCTCCGGGGGTTCTGCAGGGTGAGGGGTCAGGGTCCAACACACGGTTTGTAAAAAGTAAAATACGCAGCGCAGATGGACAGAGGTAATGCATCGCTACACATGGTGCAGTTGTATTGAGGTCAATTTGTTGCCCTGAGTTAAAAAAAACCCATTAGTGCCAGTGAGTCCAATGCAAGGTTGTACACCAACAAACTGAAGCAAAACCCACAATCAGTCAAACAGGCAGGCGAAACCCAACTGTGGTCCAGTAGTAGAATACACATTCGCCTTAAAAACGGGGGGCTAATCTCACAGCTAAGGGTCCGTTTGGCTCCTTGAGTGTGTGTCAGGCGAAAGAAAGCTAAATGTTGAGCCACTTGGCTGCGTGACATGAGATGAAAAAGTATTTCGCAACTATAACAGCGTGTGACACTTCCTGCTCTGTCGTGCCGAGCCGATGGGATTCCTCACGGTGGGATCTGAACGGGTTCGTTTAAGCAACTGGAAGCGCTCGCGCGCTATCGGGGCCATCGCTGCAGAGCACCTTTCCCAGCGCAGGAGAAGAAGGAGGTGGCGGCGGAATCTGTTTCTGGGGACATGTGGGCGAACGCTTGTCAGTGTGTCTGTGGGGTGGGTGCCCGCTCACTCTTCGGCTGGTGGGTGTCTGCTGACTCACCCTGTGCTTGTGTGTGTGTGTGTGTGTGTGTGTGTGTGTGTGTGTGTGTGTGTGTGTGTGTGTGTGTGTGTTTGCAGACGTGCCAAACTTCGACTGTACTTGGAGCAGTTGAAGAAGCTGGTGCCTTTGGGTCCAGACAGCACCAGGCACACCACACTGAGCTTGCTGAAAAGGGCCAAGATGCACATCAAGGTATTAAAAAAATTCAAATACAACAAACACAACGAAGATCGGCACACGTCGTAGTCATCTTTCGTTTTTCTGTCAGAAAACTATTTGTTATTTATCAAGCGAAAAGGCCGTTCTATATATTTGGTTTCTGATAACCTATATATAAACATTACTGTGGGTTCTGGTGAATTATCACAGCAATTGTCTACTTTTTTTTAGACATTCTTAGACTAAATAATCAGTTAATCCCCCCCCCCAAAAACAAATTGTAAGAGGCACATACTTGTTAGTTACAAGTAGTCAAACTAGATAAAACTCGTATCGTTGAGCTCCCAACTCATGCCCTACTTCTTACTCGTCTTTGAGGTGTTTGTTTTTACTCCCCCGCATTCTTTAAGGGTTGTATTGTTTTCTAATCTCTCAATCAGAGCAGTTCGACTGTAAGCAAAAAAAAAAAAAAAAACGCCTCCCGAGACTAAAAAGGAAAACTAATCCGTCAGCAAAGGGGAATATTCAAGACATTTGTCGGCTGATGTTTAGATACGACAGAGGACATAATTGGATGTTGATTCGTTTGAGGGCAACCTCCCCTCCGGAGTTCATTAGCTGTTGCATGCGAGATGTTTAAAAATCAAAGCATGCAGCAGGAGCCGTGACCGTGTAGCTCCAGGAGCGCTAAAAATACACACAGTGTCGGCAAAATACGGTTCGTTGCCGTGCAGACAGTGAGCTGTACATCGTAGGCCGAGCTGTACCGATCGAGCATGCAACACTGTGGTTGGTGGAAAATCCAGACGGGGCCAGTTTTAACCCTTCACTTCCTGTTTATGGTGCACGTCCTCTCGGCTCAGACGATGTGCGCCGGTTCTCGTCAGTGTTGCGTCTTCTCGTTCCACGAAGGAAGGCGCGCATTTGACTTGGCTTTGATTCACCACCGAGAGAGTTCACAAATGCAAATAGGTGAAGAAATCTGATCCCAGGTTGAGGAGAACGATTACAGGAGTCGGATTCTCTTGACTCTTTCTGATCGACAGACTGCAAGCAGGCATTCAGCCACCTGCTTATTGTTGTGGTTAAATTTCCTCTTTTTTTAACTGTAACTCTCGCAGACGTTTGATTGGCAGAAGATGAAAAAAACGTTGGTATCATAATCTTTCGTTTGTATCAGTTAAACCCTGTGTATGATAGTCCATGTTCAGTCAGTCGATGTTCTTGCAAAGATATACTCCATCCGATATCAATAAATAGTAAGATTCTTGATTCTTGGCATTTATGTGTCGCTGCAGAAGCTGGAGGAGCAAGACAAGAAGGCTTTAAACACCAAGGAGCAGCTGCAAAGAGAGCACCGCTACCTCAAACGCCGCCTGGAGCAGCTCTCGGTCTCCGGATCCGTGGAGCGCATCCGCACCGACAGCCTGGGCTCCACCATCTCCACCGACTCCGAGCAAGGTACGCAGACCCGCGGCACCGAAGGGTGCAGAGCTACCCCGTCGCTTTATGTTGCACAAAAGGTGCAGCCCTGCCAAAGTCCTTCTGGGAGACGATGTTCGGATACGCGTGGCGCCATAAAGCGATTCAGCGCGTAACGCCTCTCTGCGAATGGTCGCACAGAGCGGCTATGAACGCGGGTTCCTTTCAGTTTTCGCACGACCCAGTTCTTTCCAATAATAACCTGAGTTTAGTGTCACACGCTGCCCTGGAATGCTCCGTTTGGACTGTTAACAGTTTGTATGTTAATCCTGGTAAACACACAAGCAGTTGTTTATTAGCGGGCGGGGGATTAGCTGTGAGAGCACAGAGATCTGCCTGTTTGCTCGGAGTTTAACGGCTGCTTAAACCTGGGTTCAATCCGCCGGCGCTGCACACTCCCTCCGTATCCTCCTCACTTCTTCCCTTAGTGAACAGCGCCAAAAATAACCATGTGCATGTTTTTTTTTTCTGCCTGCAGAGGTGGACATCGAGGGCATAGAGTTCACTCCCGTGGAGGCGGACAGCGTGGACAGCATCAGCGACGTAGAGGAGGAGGAGGAGGATGAGGAAGAGGAGGAGGAGGAGGAGGACCACTACAGCCTCCAGAGCAGCTCCAGCGACACCAGCTACACAGCCACACATTCCCACAGACTGCAGCCGCACCACTGCTAGACGCCGCGGGGCCCTCCGCCCTCAGACCGGCTTCCGCGCTCCCCTCAGCTTCGCCTTCTCCCGCCGCCGCCCGCCACTTACACCGGACCGGGCCACGGTGGTGCTGCACCCTGAACATGTCCCTTTTGCCCGCCCCCGGCTCTCCAGGAAGTAGATGGGGCTGAAATGCCACTCAAGCCTTCCTGTGACTCCCTCCGCCCCGACCACTGACCCTACCTCACCTACTGTATCCTGCCTGAACACGCCCCTCCAGACACGCCCCGCCCTCCCGCCGCCCTCACAGCCCCTCGACTTAGTGTCTCCACAGGCTCATAGAAGGAAGTTTGTGGGTTTTTTTTATGTGGACTTCTGTGGTGCGATGGACATCTTTGACTTGTTAATCAGGAATTGTGCGTGCATGTGTGTGTGTGTGTGTGTGTGTGTGTGTGTGTGTGTGTGTGTGTGTGTGTGTGTGTGTGTGTGTGTGTGTGTGTATATGCAAGAGAGAAAGAACAAGCGGGGGAGTTAGAGAGGTTGAAAACAAAAGCTTAGTGTCTGTTCTCCCTGAGGCGGTAATACGCAGGCGAGGCTTTCATCGAGTAAAAGGTAAAGCATTAAAAGTTATGTACATCGCACATTATCTTCCCTTCACACAATAAGATTTACAAGGGTAGCTATTGTAGAAAAAACAAATGACAGCGAGAAAAATGGACTATTTAAGGAATATTGACATTTGAGGAAATAATACTTCTGAGCCCGGGTCGTTTCCCGCCTGGATGCTCTAACCGACCTGGCTGAAGCTTCACGTTTAACAGTTGGGAGGGAAATCGATCTTCTCATCCAACTCTCTCAAAATGTCAGACCCTTATTTAACATCTTTCCACTTTTTTTTTAGGATGTGCGTCTGCACACGGAGTCCCGTCTTCATTACCAAATGTGAAACAGAAAAAGTTACAGAGCAGCAGCAGACAGGAGAGAATGTATATAGATGTACAGTTACTGTCCAAACCCTCACGTTTCCCTCTGGTTGGGTCGCCTAACCACTACTCCACACTACTGACCACTACACTATACCACCCTATGGTGTGGATGGACTACTATGTCAATTAAAAAAAAAAAAGGAGTTGCCTCATAACTAAAAACTATTCCTTAAAGATTTTCTCTCTCAGTAGCGAATTGATGTAGCAATAAATACGAGAGGCGGGTGCTTCCTCGGAGGGTTTAGATGATTCCGGTGGACCATGAGGTTTCGAGGGAGACCTTTTCTTGTACCTTCTTTTCTCTTTCACTAATGGATCCTTCTCTTCGCTCGCTAGGCCGTCAATCAAACCAGAGTTTGCAGTCCTCTACGGCTTTGTTACTATTCAAGCAGTATTTGTGTGTGTGTTTGGATTTTTGTTCTGATTAGCAAGTCATAGATGTAAAGGTGAAGAAAAATGTATTTAAAAAAAAGAAAAGAAAAAAAAAGGCCAGCTCTAATGATGTGTAGAGGCGTTCGTTTTAGCTAATTTAGCAAACTAATCACATTCAGTTCAACTTTTAATTTCTATAACCAGGTCAATAATCTTATTTTCTCTCTGCTATCTGTTATTAACTTCTGGAGCTTCGGAGCAGTGCTGAAGTTCGCTGTAGATGAAATCTTTTCCTCTAATTTGTCTTTAACTTATACGCAATGATCACTATTGACGGAGGAGTTGCTTCTGTCGCTCTCTGACTGTTTAATAATCATTAGGCCTCCAGTTTCGGGCTTTAGAGCTTGGCGTTCCAACACTTAAAAAATAAAATAAAAAAAGGGCCAGTCTACCATGGCAGGTCTGACCAAAAAAAATTCAAACGACAAAAGACTCAAGGACACAAAAAACAAAACAAGCTACCAGTGTAATCTATATTTCTTATTCAATTTTGTATTATATTTTCCTAAACGTTCTCTTGTAACAAAAAGGACAAAAACAGCGAGTATATCTATCTATGTATAAATATAAATCTATATAAATATATGAGAGACAGACAGACATGAGGTCAGAGAGTGGGGGCGGGGGAACACTGTCCCCTCCCCCTTTTGGGTGACTCTCCTGCTGTCATTCTGTGCCTTGGTGAGCCTATGACCCTCCCATCCTCCCACCTCCTCGCCCCCTGGCCCTACTCAGGTCACACTCCCCCCCCCCTCCTCCCCCTCCTGATCGCATCCTCCCTCCTCTCCTGAAAGCTTTGATTTCCCACCCTCACCGTGCCAAAACATTTCCGCCAGCGAGGGGCGCACCGAGAGAAGACTTCATGATGAAATACATTTGGCAGAAAAAGAAAAGGCCCCCTTTTGGTCTCCACTGAGCAGCACCCTGTCCAGCACCACCCCCCCCCCTCCACGCCCGGCCGTCACAGAAAAGCAAAAGAAACCGCACACTGGTAAACTCCCATGGCAGCTTCCAGTCGCCCCCCGAATGGTCACCGATGGGGCTCTAAACCTTCTGGGCTTGAAGCGTGTTGATCTTTTTTTTTAATTGTTTGTCACTTGACTTGTTATTGTTATGTTGACTATGTGTTTGTTCAATGGCGTCACTGGGATCGGAGCGATAAAAGAATAATCCAATCAAATGGCAGCTTACAGGTGTAATCCTCCGCGCTCCCAGTGGTCCGTCCCAAAAATAGTGTTCCCCCCCCCCCCCCCATTGACCAGAGAACCTCTCGACACACAGCAATATGACCATCTCGTGCTTTCCGAGGGAGGCTAGGCGGGCAGGGTGGGAAAACCAAGCGGGTGGTTTTACTTTTTACTCTTTGGTGACCTCCTATCGGCACTCTCTCCCCACACTGCAGGAGGACAAAGAAAACGCTGTTTTCTATTCTAGAGTTTACATCAATGTCAATGGATTTGTACGTGACTGTATAAAAAACGTCCTTTCTTAGTTTGTCGGACGAAAGGAACGACATGGCAAACCAGATTAATGGCATGAAGGTGTTCCCTTGCACAGAACCTCCTGGCGGAATAGAGACGCAGCGAAACGCGAGGGGGGGGGGGGGGGGGCCGATATGAAATTATTAAAATATTCACTGTCGTCGTGGAAGAATGGACTTGGAACAGACTTGTAATGGCTTTCGGCAGCTGAATGAACGCGGTAACATTTGGTTGGTTAACACATCAAAGTCCCATCGAGATTAAAGTGTAAAACAAGAGATCATCAGAACCTCCACAGACAAGATTTGAGATTCGCTTTTTATGTTGCGGTTGCGCAGAGATTTGCTTTGGTGCGTTGGGTGCTGGAAGAGTGCAGAAGCACAGTTTGATGTTCGGGGGAAGGTCAGCAGACAGACAGAGATGAAATCGGTGTGAAGAACAAACCGGTCTGCTCACTCAGATGAAATCAGAAACAAAAGGAGACCTTTTCCGAGGCTTGCTGAGTACCGGTGATTATGTAGAAGCCAACGCAATGACTCCCATTAAATATTATTCCTGCCAAATAGTCACTTTTAAACCTTCTATGCTGGATTTTATGACTCCGGACAAGTAGCTTTAACTACCAGTATGCTTTAGGTCAGCGTCCCGCTTTCTGAACCTGCAGGCTTTGTGTGTTTCCTCCTTATTTTGCATCTCCACAGTCAAATGGGTGTCGTGCAGAGTTTGTGTTGGCCGACGTACTGTGCAGACCGGGGAGAGTTCTGTGCCAGAGTCCTGTGAAAACGTTCCTTTTTAGCAGATGTGTAATATGCATTCAGAAAATGTTATACAGGTTCCTTTTTTTTGTTGTTTTGTGTGAGTGTACGCACATGGCGACCTGGTGCTGGCTTACACTTTAGCAGACACTTTGAAAGGTATTGTGTATTCTCATTGTAATATAATTAAAATGTTTTATACATAAAGTTGCCGCAGCCTCGTCATTGCCCGGGTGAAGGATTCATAATACATTAGTATGCATGAGACTTGTTGTGGCAAGCTGCAACTGGAAACAGGCAGAAGGAATATGCAGATACAGATGTTAACGGACTTCCTGTTTGGTTTGTGCAGCTGTGAAAGTCATCTGTAGAACAGAATATTAAGCAGTTTTCAGAAAGGTTGTTTTGGTCTCTAGTGTAACAAAGAATAAAGTGAACTGGTGAAATCACAAAGAGGCTAAATTAACTCAATAACTTAATCACATTTAATTAAAGCTTAGTTTGACCATGAACGAACACAAGACAACACACATTGGACTCTTGAGTTGGTTGGTTGAAAAATGTTTTTCACTCAAAAAACCCCCAATAAAATTTCATTTCAAGTGGATCCTGTTTACGTCTACAATTATAAACCATATCACGAGGCTTAATGCTCAATAGTCCTCAGTACTCTCAGAGCAGAGAAATCCAGACAATTCCATCTAAAAAGGAATGAAATCACTGACATCTAAACAAACATATCATCTTTATCGCTGACCAAGCCTCAAATCAACACACAGGTTGAATTAAACTACAGATATTTTAACCAACGCAGTGAAACTGTTATACAGTTACAGAGTAGATCTGAGCACAGAGATTTCAAAACATTCCTAAATCTGACTTTTTTTCCCCCCATGAATCCCTTTGGATCATTAAAGCTCCAGTTCAAGCTCATCCGGCGGTTCCTGACCAGATCAGTTCTACTAAAAACCTTATCAATGCACACAATGTGACAGAATGCATTTTGTGGCAACAACACTGACACACACACACACACACACACGTTTGTGGGAAAAATTTCAACAAAAGAGGAAATTATTGAATGTAACAAGACAATATATAATCCATATATAAAAATATAATAATCAATAAGTCTTTCCTTCTTCATGGTTGATTACAACTTCAGTCACATTGTTATAATGAGGATATCAGGCTGGTCCGATGATAATCACTGATAGAAAGTAGTTATTTTGCATTAAAATGTACTCCCTAAATAGATATGGATGCTAAATGAATGGGTAAATAACATTTGGCAAAATGTGTGAATGTGCATTTGTACCCCACGTAGCACGAACAAGGTTTCTGGTGTCCCAATATGAACTTTTACTCCCCAAAAGGTAAAGTGTTCCGGACAAAAGTTCAGGACCTGAGATTCGACGAGGACAGAAAGCTGAAAATGAGAGAAAGAAAAAAGACAAAAGCCCACCCGCAGAGAAAAAAAAAAACTGGCGAGCTCCGGTCAAACTTTCGGTCCAGTCGAGACGATCAACAAGTCATTGTGTTCACGTAACCGTCCCCTTCAGACGTACTGCGGGGGCTTCTGTGGGCCGGCGGCGGCCGAAGCCAGGCTCTTGGCCGTGTCCTTGGCCTTCTCCGACGCGCCCTTCACCGTGTCCCTGAGCGGCCGCTGGGGCGTCTCTCCTGTGGGAGCGTTCAGACAGAGAGAGAGAACCAGACGCAGTGAGGACAATGTGTTTTCTTTGGCCCTTTTCAGACATGGAATATGCAGCATTACTGGCTTCATTGAGCTGTTAAAGTGAGGCCTTTTTGGTGCTCAGTATGCGACTTTGACGGCTTTGTTCAGGCATGACGGGTGATTTGCAGAAAAAAGGCCCCCCGTGGGAGATCTTTGGTGCACAAGAGGAAACACTATACTGCTCAAAAATAGTGAAGCTATAATAGACGATTTCTAAAATGCTGCCCCAGTGATTGAAACCGATTTATTAATGATTATTGTGAATGCAGATCTGATATCAATCTGTAATAACTATTAACAGAATTGGCTGAGCAGTGACCCAATAGCGGCAGATCTACCCAGAGACCAACAAACTGGTTTCAACATGCTGCCTCTGCCCCGATAAAGTCGAGTTTACTTCAGGCGTATTATCTGATCCCTGACTGCCTCACACAGTGAGATGCAGACGCCCCACTGACTCTGCTGAAAGTAAAAGGCAACTGAATTCACCGCTTCAATAAGAGCATAATAGTCCAAAACCACCCTGGGGTACTTTCTCCACGCCAGAGGTCTGTTGGGAGTTTTGAGTGTTTATGTTCCTTCCGAAAGGAAGCGTCTAAAAAAAGAAAATGGAGATGGCAGTCTTACAAGAGAAGCAGTATAGTGGGATCTCATCTCATTTCTCATTAACCACCGGACTGTAAATCACTTAATTACAGCGTATAAACCACGAGTGAGTTCAAGCGGCGCTAAAGTTAAATGAGTGATACTGGTCTCTTCTGCACACAGAACGGCAGGATTGTTTAGAAAGGATCTCTGTAGCTTAGTACAACAGCCTAAAGGAACAAGGGGAGCGGAGGACTTATTTGTTTTTATTTACATTTGTTGTGTGGAACTCTTTCTCCTAACTTCCTGATAAAGTGTTGAATATGAGGAAGAAGTGACAAACGTCATGACATGAACTCGAGAAGCCGAATCTGGAAATACAAAGACTGCTTGTATTTGTACATAGGGAAGGTTGATAGTTTCATATTATTCACAATATTCCCAGAGGAAGATTTAATTTGTCATTCTAAAAACACACACACACAAGAAAACATTTGACCGGATTTTTAATCTGCGTGTGAATTATGAGCACCAGTTTCTCTGAAAACTTGAAGGAACATTTCATCCTTTTGAATCAGCTCTTTCTCTGGCCCTGAAAATACAGCCGCTGGGCTAATTAGCTGAATCCACTAAAGTGTGTTTCAACAGACGATAAAAAGAACAAACATCCTCATCAGACGGCCGAAGACGCACGCAGCCCTTCCTCTTCCTCACACACTCGGTTCTGTCCCGGCAGCAAAGGATGATTTTAAAACGGATGGTTCAAAATCAACGATATAAAAGCCGGGAAATAATGACTGCGGCGGTCCTCTCTGTCTTACAGCACATATTATTGACTACACTGCCATACAATGGCAAAATAAGGTAATTGAACCTATATTCAAAGTCATGAGGGTGTGACTCTAATCTGTAACACGTGATGCGTTTAATGTCAATGGAATTATGAAGCAGACTGGTAGCTGCAGGCTAAGAATTAAAAAGATGGGAAAGAAAAATGCACCAAAATATTCAGCGTAGATTTCAGTTTATCACATTCAACTAAACTATACACGATTTAATTCTACACCAACGCTAGTTTGACTTTTAAGTCACTGTTCACTCAGCTACACAAGTCTACTGAGACTCAGCGCTAACATACTCACCACGACGCGCGGCCCGATCCGAATGTCTGCGGGGCAACAAAGGGGCAGTGGGACAGAACCAATGGGAGGACGTCCTTTCAGACAACACAGAGACTGTCCTCGTATAAAGGCCTCCAGTCCACTCTCTGATCAATAGAAATGGTCCGTAGTGCATTGGCCTTCATAATGGAGTCTAGTAAATTCAAGTCAGCCAAACACGGTGTAGAAATCTCAGAGTGATGATGAATAAAGCTTTTGTTCATGAACAACTAACAGTTGAGATTCGAATTCCAAAAATGTTCTTTTTCCAGCCATTTTAATATTTGTATTGTTTATTTTCAACCAATATATTATTTTGTTTTGGACTCTGCTGGATAGAACAATTGGAATGTTTCACCTTAAGCTTTCGGAGATTTATATGACATTTTGGAAGAAACTAAAAATAATCAACAGATGGATCAATAATGGACGTCGGGATGGACACAGATGTTGCAGCTGCCACCATTCGCTTCTGAAGACAGATTTTACAGACTGCGCCCTCACTGAACAGTCTCTCATTTGACCTTGTCCACAGAACTTTGGTCTTAGTCTAAATTCAGAAATCCAAGCTATTTGTCACCCTAGTTGCCATGGTTTCACATCCCCCTGCAGTCGCATGCTCTTTCTGAGCCAAAACAGGGACCTTTAGGCTTCTCAAATTAACCAGTTTTCCGATGTCGTAGTCAACGCTGGCATTTGTATGAAAGCATCACTCTGTACTTTCACCACAAAAGCAAAGTGAATGCATAAATTAAATCATAAACGAGTCAAATAAATTGTATAAAAAGCATCACAGGCCAACGTTGAGGACAGAAAGCCATACTTCTCATAAGAGCTTCTCCTATTCAGAAATAGCAGCAGTTAAAAATAACCTGTTTTGTTTCCCTCTCCGCTTTCCCTTTGCCCTTTCTCCCCGTTATGCTGCACAAGCGTGCGTACGTACGTACCCTGCAAGTTTGACAGCGCGTATTCCAGCCCTTTCATGGCCTTCACCTGATTGCTCTTGAAGCGGGCCAATCCAAACTCCTGGGAAAAGACAGAACAGGAAATGACTTTACATCAGGGGGACATGTGAAAACAAACAGCACTTAGCCAACAAGTCCTCTCTCTCTCTCCCTCTTTCACTCGGGACATCAAAGTCTGGCATATTCCATATTTAATAATTACCATTACTTACTACTTGACATATTTTTGGCACAGTTTTCACCTCTCCCTTCAAATCTCACACTTCTTTATTCTGCCATTTGGAAGTAGGATCCCACGCCTTCATATTACCCCTTTAAGCAGTAAAAATGGATTCTATAACTTACCGACATTATGAAAAGAAATGTATTTACTAAAACTCTAGAGCAAAAACATATATCGTTGTACACTATTGGATGAACACAAGTAGTGGATGATTGTCAAGAAGCCTATTAATCTCTCCAAGCTGATCAATTCATATGTCATTTATGTACAGAAAATAATGACTTTTTTAGTAACAAAATAAGACTATGATGAAAATGTATTGTACATTCTTCTGGGAAGTGCAGAATGACGCCTGGGTATTTACTAACTTCACAAAGAGGGGGAAAGTACCTGAATCGGTCTGGAAAGTCCATAAACATTTGAGGATATCCACGCCTCTCGCTTCAGCTGGGTGGTGGCCGGCTGCTCCTCCGAGTCCCGGAAAATACAGCGCTCTTCAACTGACTAACACCGGGTCGGGGGGGTGAGGGGGGGAGAGCAAAGAGACACCAGATGAGGCAATGGACAAAGCTGTGTGACTTTTATTGAGTTTGTCGCGCATGACGCAAGCCGTCAGGAACGGAAGCTGATTTCAATGCAGATTAATAAATGAACACACTTTACCTGCATGATCTCCACCACTTTATGTTGCAAGCTTCTTTGTTTAGGTTGAATGCAAGTGCATTTTAATTCACAATATATCAAACATAACAGTAGCAAAACTCCCAGGTGGGATTTGTGGGGAGTGTTACGCTTTGATCAGCCGATGTCTTCGATTACAGCGCGTTATTTAGCTGAACGTCTTGCGGCAGATCAAACAGAGTAGCTTAACTCCACGCTGCATTAGTGTGTAAGCGTAAAGCGGCGGGTGTGTGAAAGTAGCACATCCTAAAGCCGCATAATGTACCAGTCTCTTCAAGGTCCCTCGTCCCCTCGAGATGAATACATCCCACCAGCCTTCAAACACTCGCCCCCTTTGAAGATCAGGCTGCTTGAATTAATGTTTCCTCCTCGCTTGGACTGAACTCACCTGCACAGAGTTCAGTCTTTTCTACTCGGTCTACATAGTTTACAGTGTCACGCGAGAAGAAACACATCAACGAGATCTTTAGGAATACGAGCACAAATGAGAAGTGAGCGCACTGCATAACGTTGAGTGAGTGTGGCCAGAGATCTGCAGTGCTGCACCGCTACCGACCTCTAAAAGAGAGGTCAGTTCAGTTATTGTGAACTTTAACCACCTGATATCGGCAGTCACTTCTTTTGGTCACTTGGGAGCAGCTGTGAACACAACACCACCAATATAGCAATAATAAGCTATAATAAATTTGCAGTTGTGTTTCTGTGCAACTATAACTCTCACATAGCTTAATCGCCACCTTCTTCTGAGGTACAAACCATGTAATGGACTCTTTTGCAGGCTAAATGCTGCATTTTTTTTAACCAGCTCGACACTTATAACTATGCTTGTTCTTTTCAAAGGCTTGTGAGAAATGTTCTGCGAAAAATAGTTGAAAGGGAAATGTTACACCAAGAGAAAGAAACCACAGGGAATCAGACACCTCACCATGAGTGTTGTGTGGTTGAGGTTCCAGGTGTAGATGGTCAAACTCCTGTTGACAGGGTCCACGATGGAGTCCTCGATGATGTACACAGAGCGAGAGATGCCGGCGGGGAACAGACGCTCGGCCCAGCGAGGCAGCCGATTGGTCTTCATCAAGAGGCGTCTGGAGAGAAGCCGGTGGTCCGCAGTCACCTCCCGGTACACAACGTCCTCTGTGAGAACATGGGTGCTGATTGATATAACAAAACAAAGTCAATAGACTGAGGATAGTCGAATGGTTTGAGTGACCCGCAGGCGAAAACGTCTCAACGTACATCTGAGTGAGTGTGCGCTGGTTTAAACACAGACATGGAAAGAAATGTGAACATCTCCTTTCACATCCAAGTTATAATTTCACGTCTGTTTAAAACATGTGGCCCCCTTTTAAAACACCCAAAGAAAAAAGGAAGGTATATAATTGTTCCATTTGTCACTTAGCATTTGAATGGAGAAACGGTCGGTGATGATCTGAAGCCGGATCACAAAAGGGACAATTATTCTAATCAAAAAATTAAATTCGAATCAATCAACAGTGATCTGAGAATGTAAACAGCTGGTGAAACATCTAATTAAAGTATTAATAAGAGATAAATGTTCCCAATGAGTCTTGTGTCGCCCTTTCTACAACTAAACAAACATGTGCAAGTATGATTGTGGGTTATTATTTATCAAGTACTATACCTTTAAAAAAATATATACAATTCTCAGCTTTTCAAAGCTTTTCTCAACCGCTCAATTGTTTACAATGAGCTTCTCTGACAAAATACCACGATTGAAATCATTACCTGAATGGGTTGGGATACCTCTGCCAAAAAGCAGAGACAACGTGGTCCCAGGTGCTCCCGATGTCTATGTTATTACTAAAATACTTGACCATTTTTCACTCTTTGCACAGGATGTCCTGGATCTGGAGCCCCGAGTTCCCTGGATAAACAAGACAATGAAAACGTGTGTGCTGACTCCATTCAAAATCTGCCACCGTCCTGTAAAAGGAGAAGGGAAAGGGATCAATCCTCTGTCAAATAAAAGGGCTATTACAGATCAAATATACTTACAAACTAAATATAGTTACATTTTCACAGCGTGCGTCACAGATGACGACATACATTTCTATTAGCACGTCTTGGTAGGTCAGGTGTTGCATATAATCGCATGTCCTCCTATGAATGGTTGCATTTGTGTGCATATGCGTGTTCCGTGTCATGACTTCCAGGTGCAGCTCCCTGGTGAGTGATGGAGAGCAGCTGGATGGAGGTGAGGGCTCCATAAAAGCGCCTCCTTGCTCTACCCACGCTCTCTGATCTGGTCTTCAGTTACACATTTGGGTGTCGTATCTACTTTGGGTGTTGTGCACCTCCATAGGTTGCCACACAGGCCACAACAGCTAACACACAACTTTCCAGCAGCTGAGGTAACGAGACTTGTTCTTATTAGCTCGGTAGCTAACATTGACTGTATATAAGGGTGCTTCCTCCGATAGCTAACAGCTAGCTAGCTTGAGTGGGTTTACCGTGACAGTCGGCATGCTATTTATTGTTGAGTTACCACAACAACAGCAGCACAACCAAGGTTAACTGCGTTGAGTCGTAGCTAACGTCAACCTTGTGAGAGGAATCTTACCGGAAGTCACAGCGGAGGAAATAGCAGGTTACTGGACGTCCGCAGAGTGTCCTCCTGCTTGCTATTGGCCTGTTAGCGGATCGCATGCTTCATCCTTCGTGGGACGGACAGAGCCAGCGGGGAGCCGGTGCAGGCGGCTCGGACTACGGACCACAGACTGTGTCGTACTTTGCTTTTCCTCCTCGTTCATATCCGGCAACAAACCAGCGTGGAAGGCGGAGGCCGCCATCTAGTGTACCGGAGAGTCGTGGCCTTCGATGAGAAGGTTTCAGGGGTGTTTAATTCGAACGTGGACATGGTCACGTGGCTCAGCATATGTATGTAGTCAGCAACTGACTTTCAAATGAAATTATTTCAATTGTACGTTATCTTCACATTTGTCAAATAAATGATTAATTATTCGAAACTACTTTAGCTTTAGAAAGGTTATTATAACCACGTTGTCGTTTCCCTGCTGCGTTATTTAAAAAAATGATGTCATCCAACAAAGCCACACTATTATTCTCGTATTCTTTTCATCTTGAGATAAGATAAATGTGTATGAATGGACTTTACCCCTGCTTATTGATAGCATCGATCCAATATCACAAATCAACTATTTTTGGCCTATGTGGCACATCGTATTTCCTGACACCCGATTTGGATATTATTAGGAAGAGATATCCTTACTGCTAGGCCCTATTGGTCAAGATGCTATCACCATCAGGGATTGTAATCCCAACCATGACAAATGCCGCTAATAAAATGCGTTTGCATTGCAATACAAAAAACTAAAATAAAGGAAAATAAAAATGTGTCACATGTGCTCTTCCGGGCCAGTGGGTGTCGCTGTAAAATGTGTGTACTCTCCTACTGGTGCGTCATTTCCGCTTGTTCTTCTTCGTTCGCCCGCACGGGGAAGTGTCCTCCGTGGTGTCATTGTAGGTTGAATATCCAAAAGGTTAAAAAAAAAAAAACAATGTCTGGATACACACCGGACGAGAAGCTCCGCGTCGAGCAGATTAGGACGCTGCGGAGAAGGTGGCTGAAGGACCAGGAGCTCAGCCCGAGGGAGTCCGCAATACAAGCTAAACCCTCCGGCGCCGTTGCTAAGTTCTGGGCTGGCTTTCTGGAGCCCAAGAGCCTGTGGAGACTTTACGTGAGTCCCGGTGCACAGCTAGCTAAAGCTAGCTAGCTAGCCAAACAACCACCGATGCTAACTCGACTTATGCGAGCTATCGGATAACAAACTGGTGTTTCAAATTAACTAGATATATGACCACTGCTATTTTGTAAGCTAACATATAACACTGTAATGTATAAAACGTTACGCTGGCGTAGTATACGTTAACAGCTTAACGTGATGTCAACCTTCTCATCTCTTAACGTGACAGGCTTGTTTTTATTTCGAGTGTTAAAGCGATGAATTGTGCTTATTGTACAACATGAATCATTTTATGGAGGGTCGTATCAGCATATATTCATTCAATATATGGTTGAATTAGGAGAAATGGCAGTAGATAAATAGCTGATGACTTTCAAAGAACCTGAGAGTGGAGGCTTGAAACTTTGATGGTGAAGTGATCATTTGAAAAATGTCAATAGAAATGTATTTTTTCTACCTAAATTATACACACTATGGTAATATATTTTACATTCATAAACTGGTATAATTAAAATTATAGAGAAAGCACCAGTCTGTGTTTAAGTGTGCATTTTCTGCTTTGAGCAGTCAAAATAAGCAGTGGTCTACTATGTACTTTCCTGCTATATAAGCTGTCTCTTATGTGTGTCTTCTTGCAGACCTACAAAGCATACAACGGTGGAGTTTTTGCATTAACACGGTTGTTGATACCAGCTTGGATTGCTCACTACTGTGTGAAATACCATATTGCTGTAAGTAAACGGAAATGTTTTACATTAATTTGTAATGCTAGTAAGCCAGTTATGAGTAAACTGATGGTTTCTCTTTGGCAACCGATTTGCTGATGTTATTTTTATTGTTGTGTATGTCATCAGCTTTGCAAATGTTCCCATACAATAACATACGTGCTTAACTGTTATTTAATTCTTTGGGTAGCATACAAGTTGGGTAACTTATACAGAAAGTAGGACTACTTTAGAGTAACACACGCAGCAATGACTTTAATCCTTTAAAGACTTTAATTCTTTCCTTCTCTCTTGCATTTGCACAATGGTACCATACATCGCTACACATTAAATGCATGCATATTTCAGCATACCGAATACTAATTTCATTGTCCCCTACAGCAAAGACCATATGGCATTGTGGAAGTGAAACCCAAGCTGTATCCCGTAAGTGTGACTAATTTATTTATTAAGTTTTGTACATACAGCTGCATATTGTCTTGATTGACCAGCCATAGTAAGATGTTTTTGTCCCAAAGTCGGATTACGTGTTAACAGGCAAGAGCCCTGACAATGGCCTAGGAGAGCTGTAATGTGAGATGTCTTATTGGGGGAAAAGAGTAAATCTGAACTTTGTCCTTGTTTTTGTGTTAAGGGTGACACCATTCTGGAAACGGGTGAAATTGTTCCAGATCTCCCCGAGACCCATGGCCATCACTGAAGTTGGAATAGTTCAGTAATTTTCTGTTGTAAAAACTGTGTATATGCCAATAAAATATTATAAAATCATTTCTGAGTACTATAAAAACTGTATTGTGTAAATACTGACATATTACACTGCAAATTTGTGTATATGTATGTATGCTTCCATGAGTGAGGGGCTGACGTACATCTTAAATATTTTAGAGATAACTGTAGATTTCAATTTCATAACGGGGAGCTTAACTTGTTTGATACTTTTCCTTTTGAAAAAGGATAATGGGAGGAGATGTTATAAGGGGAAAGCCTCTAAACGCAATAATCTTACAACAGATATCAGTTCGTAAGTAAATTAATTTTATGGAGAATATAATAGATGGGACTTAAATGAGACATTTTACTGTTATCAAAATTTGAGATTCATTCAAGCTCTGATGCAACATAAGTTAAAAACGTACAATCTTTAGATACACCGTTTTTCCCAATCACAGATGTAGCCTAATGAGCATAAGATGTTGTTTGCAAGACATAGTCAAACTTTTAAATGGAGCTGAAATTGAATCTGAAAATGTTGACTGAGAACAATATTATGTAGTATCATCTAAGCAGCCATAAAATATAGGCTTTAATGGCTGCTATTCTGTTGGCTATCGGTTGGAAGTGGGCTTTATGCGGGTTACAGTTTTCAAACTAGAATAGCTATTGTCACTTAACTTTTAATAGGAAGTCATGTCAAAGATTTCTCTTTATTTTATTTTGCCTGGGAACAAGTCGCTTTTATTCTGAAGGGCGGAAGTGGGTCGTAGTTCGAACTGGGGGGAAAAAAATACTCTGAATGTTCGGCAGGATTTAGAAGGAGTGTTATGAAGCCAGGCTAGATGATGGGTGCCTATAAATGAAGGAGTTTCTACAAGACGGGGCAGGCTGATCAGTTACCAACAGCATACGTGTCTGGGAAAGACAAAAGTAATTATTGCACAACTTTTTTTTCCGAACGTCCTAACTAGCCGTAGTGGCACTAGCCGCTCTAGCTAATGCTACATAGCTAACGTTAATAGCTCTAACGCCCTAGCCGTTTTAACTAGCATGCTAACGTTAGCGAACCAAGTTCATCCGTTCGTCAACTGACGTCAGAGTTTGAAGCTTCCATCGGTAGTATTAATTATGTAACTCTGACACGATCGCCTGTGTGGATGTCAGGACCGTCAGCACCTCTATATCTCTGTTTAACGTTACCGAAACTCACTGCTAGCTACTCATAAAACCCCTGACGGTGCTCGACACAGGCTAACATGCTAGGCTAACCATCGTTAACGCTACCCGAAAAACAACACTGCGATCGAAGGAACACACGAATGTCTATTCAATTGTAGGCTTGATTCGACGTGTCCTTTTCCCTGGTGCCATGTACATCAAAGTAAGTAAAGTAAGTAGATGAGTAAGACATTTAACGTTAAATACAGCCGATTTATTATTAGGATCATGGCAGATGTTCTGTATCATAGACGCAGCATTAGCGTGACGTTATGGTCTTTTGGTTTGAAGCGCTATATATTGTTCCGTTTCTCATTATGATACATAGTAGTTGTTATAACACTACTAGCTTGTTACTACACGATGATCATGACACAATGACACTTTCAAACCGTGTTTTAATCGATCGAGTAGAACCGTGTAGGGCTTTAAGGTTATTTATGTAACAGTAAGAAGACAATTGAGTGCTGACAGTTATGTCAAACACAACTGATATGTCATAATAGTTAAACCGTAGTCCTAGAATAACCATAGAACATTATTATCTTCGCTATAGTGAATGGTGAAGAAAACGTGAGGAAGGACACACCGTTCAACAGTAGCAGGTCATATTCCCCTGTAATGAATCCTCTGCAAATGTGGTACCTTCTCAATATGTGAAAAAAGACACGCCGGTTGCTGTTTTGTACGTGCAATAATTTAACCCTTTTTTTCTCATCATGTCAGATTATGTCAGCGATCAAGGTTGCCCTGCAGCAGAGCCAGAAGAAGGGCAAAAGGAAACCCTCTGAAGAAATGTCTGCAGATGTGTCACCCGACTCCAAATGTCCTATCTGTTTGGACCAATTCAACAACATTTCCTACCTGGACGTCTGCCTTCACAAGTTCTGTTTCAGGTGTATTCACGAGTGGTCCAAAAACAAAGCCGAGTGCCCCCTATGCAAACAGTCCTTTAATTCTATCTATCACAGTATAAATTCAGAGCAGGATTTTAAGAAGTACGACCTGCAACCGGTGGAGAATGCCTCCTTTGGGACTTTTGGCGGCGTGCGGTTTAGATACCGCACAACTCTTACCGGAGTCCATCGACAGATGCGGGGTCGGACCTCTCCACCTCCAGACAATGGAGTCATGTTTGAAGCCTCCTCAAACCCTCCACAACAACCGCAGGACCGCTACATCCGGCGGGTGATGATGAGGTTGGCGGCCAAGAGGAGGGCCGCGAGTGAAGGCAGGGCAGTGAACAGCCTCAGAGAGCAGGAAATGGTCAACTTCAGGAGGGAACTGTACCGACAGGGCGTGAAGATTCGGAGTGTCCGGGATGGTGGCCGCTCCCGCGACACCTCGGCTGAGTTCTTCCAAAGAAATCCTGCCTGCCTGCACCGACTGATCCCCTGGCTGAAAAGAGAACTGGTTGTGTTGTACGGCGCCCACGGCTCTTTGGTCAACATCGTTCAACACATCATCATGTCGCGCATCACACGTTACGATATGGAGGATGGAGCTATTCAGGAGGAGCTGAGGCCGTTCCTCCAGGGGCGCACAGAGCACTTCCTGCACGAATTCATCAGCTTTGCAAAGTGTCCTTTCAATATGGAGGCCTACGACCAGCATGCCGTCTATGACTGCCCAGCCGCGTCCTCCAACGAAGACAGCAGTGCCAGTTCGTCTGTGATCGCCATCTCAGAGGATGAGGAATACTCGGCAGAGTCAAACCCTCCCGGAGACCCCGCGTCTTCGCTCAGCCACTCTTTGTGGGATGATGAGACGCCGGGGCCATCGTATTCTACGACGGCAGAGCAGGCCAGGGCAGAGTGCCTCTCAGTCCTTGACTTGGACTCCGACAGCAGTTTGGAGGAGGAGACGCGTGAGTTTGGGGCCTCTCCGCAAGAAATGAGTCCCCATAACCTCACAGAGGAGACTCGGGGTCCGTTTGAAAACGAAGAGTCTCCGCCGTATGACAGCGATGACTGTGTCATTATAAGTGTCGTTAAGCCGACAGCTGACAGGACCCCTGAGCTGGTTCAGCTGTCCTCCGACTCTGACGAGTCTGCCAGTGAAGATATTAAGGCAGTGCCTCTTCTACCTCAACACATCCGCTTCTCTAGCCTCAGTCCAGTGGCTTCCCAGAGTAGTGATCCAAGTGGCGCAGGACAGTCAGAAAATGTAGAAACAGACCTATATCATAAGTTGGATTCACAAACAAGGTGTAGCTCTTTGACATCTAGCAGACACAAGAGATCCGGCAAGTCGGACCGAAAAGAAAGATCCAGGGAGGACAAAGACCGTAGGAGAAAGAGGAGGTCAAGAAGTGCAGAGCGCGCACACTCCAGCAGGAGCCCGGTGATCTCTCACAGCAGCGTCAGCAAACTGTCCAGAGAAAGAAGTCATTCCTACTCCAGTGGCAGAAACGACTCCAAATGTGGCGCTGATTACAGCAGGCGGTACAGCGTTAATACCCATCACTCATACAGGCGTTACAGCCCAGAGAGAAGTGATAGCGGGATGCATTACACAGAGACGCGGTCTTACTATTACAGCAGCCGCGAGTACCCCGACCGTCGCCCTCGCTCCCGGAGCCGCAGCAGGGACCGGCGTAACCGCGACACGAGGCCTTCTCCTTCTCGGACTTATTCCAGCAGTCGCTCCCCTTCGACGAAACGGCGATCTCACAACAAGCCTGGCGGGAAAAGGAAATACAAAACAAGACATTTGGAGGAAACGTCCAAAAACACTAATTCAAATGCCGACGGCAACGCCCCCATTTTATCTACAAAACACAAGAAGAAGAGCCGGAAAAGGTCCAAAGACAGGTCGATGAAGACGAGCAGGAGCCTCAGCGTGGAGCTCGTCAATGATGAAAACGGTCATGAGCGAAGCAAGCGTCACCACAAGAAAAAGAAAAAACACAAGAAGAAAAGCAAAAGGCACAAGAGTAGCGAACGCACGGGGCAGCACTCGCCCTCCGTCATCACCATCGAGAGTGACGGCGATTATTCTGCAGATGACAATGGCAACCAGGCCTGCAGCACTGAGAAGGACGACCCTGTCCACAGTACCACTGAGGACCCAGTTGGCCCCGCCCCCCCACATTCTATGGATTAGTTTTATGGAATTTTAGATTCCTGATAGTCCGGAAACAATGGTCAATATGTTGGAAGTCAGCAGACCTGGGAGGGTAAATAAAAACATCTTGAAATGCCACGCAAATGGTTTCGATGGTGACTTTGCATCGTGGAAAACATGACTTTGCTAACACCTAACATAAAATTTTATTTAATGTGCAAAGTGCCACGTGCCACTATGAACAAAGCTGGATGGACTGCTATTGTGGTTTGCACATATTTTAAGTGTCAATTCTCATTCAGGAAAGTAATTTTCTCCAATAGATGTATTTCATTTCTACGGTGCTCTCAGGGATGATATTGATTACAGTGTTTTTTTTGTGATCATAATTCTGCTTACTTCTTGAGACAAAATCTCTATCTGCTACAGATAGAATGCTACACACATACTAGAGTAGCACTTATGCGCAGATGGTGTTTGGATTTCTAATGATCTCATTTGTAGTGAATTTTATTTAAAATAAATTGTAATTAGGAACTTTGTGTGCTGTTATAGTACATTTATTTGCATAAATTTGAAGCCTAAATAAGAGTGATCATAATCCTGCACGGATTCTGACCCCAAACCTCTTAATTGGTTCCTGTACTCGAAATAAACCTACATCGGCTGCTCCTCCTGTTTCACTATACAGTACACATTCATTTTTTTTGTACTATTATGAAATTTATTTTGGTTATCATCGTGGTAGAAATGGGTCAGTTTTGAAACGTATAATGTTGTGGTAAACAACGCTGAAAGTGAATATTAGGTTGAAACATAGTCATTTTCACTAGCTGAAGAAAAACACCAAAGTATAATAATATTTACATTGGAATACGAAGTGCTTTAAGAACACGGTCTGAAAGCCTCGATAAGTAGCCTAAAATTAATAGGCTATTACTTAATCTAATATGTTAGTGATTCGCCATACCATTATTTTGAAGGCAAAGAAAGCAAACCGGAAAAGACGTGTGTGACATCCGCTGTGCTAACGGACGGTAACGGTCGCGGATACACACTACATTTTGTAAATCCTCACAACTGTATTTGAAAAGCAACAACACTCTCGGGATGTCTTCCATGGTGCCAATCAAGGTAGTGACCGAGAATTATTGTCACAGTGATTCGTACAAACCGAACGAATGTTGTGTTTGAACACAGCGACACAAGGCAATCGATGAACGTAACGTTAGCTATTAGATGTTGTTTCGTGCCAGATGTGCTGTCGTGACAAACATGGAAGTGCGGGAAATTCCCTTAAATAACGCTAACTGTTAGCATCGTGCTGTATTGGAAACGCTGTACTTAACCCCCCAAACAGCCACGGCTAAGGTAAATCCCGCAGGCTAACGTTTGCATGCTAACTGCAGTCTGCTAACTGCGGCTCAATGGGGCACTAAGGTTAAAGGTCAACCGTCTTAGACGTAACGTTAGGTGGTTCTGCACGCTGGGCGCTTAAACAGCTGATGGACTATAATTTAACAACGTTACGTTAAGTATAACAATTGGTCGAGTATTTGCTTCTCAGGGTATTCTTTGTACTTTTACTCCCACATTTCAGAAGCAAGTATTGAACATTTTAGCTGTACAGCTCTTATGTTGCGGCCTTTTCTAGTTCCCTGTTATTTTATAAATTAAGGGTTACGCGTATCTAACATGAACAAAATGTAAAAACAAATGTAATGTCTGGGTAAAATGTCCAACACAAAACACAAGTATCTGAAACACTAAAGAAAATATTCATTGGTCACAGTCTATAATAAAGTTTTAGAATTGTTAGTTCACACTCAACCAACAATAACAATAAAGTCCTGCTTCCATGTTAGCCCTTAAGTAATGATTATCCTATTATTATGATACAAGATAATACAACAGTTAAAGGGACAATTTGTCTACATGTAGTACTTTTACCGTGTGCACCGTTTCTTGACTTTACATCAATACTTTTACTTGAAACAGCATTCTTACAGTATGGTATTAGTACGTTCTACTTATGCAAATGTTTAAGCACTATGGAGGTTTTTGATAAAACAAAACAACGACAATTTGACGTTTGGAAATTAAATTCTAATTCAAATGGATTCATTGTTAAGCTCCACTTAAAAGTTTTAGGTGGTTTCTCATGGAACCAATTTAAACAATTTAACATATTGGTTTTAGGTTAACCTATGACTTTATATCATATTTCTTTAATATGATCTTAGATTTTATGAAATATACCATTTTCATCTTTAAAATAATAGAAATAAATCATTTCTCTAATAAATGTACTGGAGTGAAGTCAATATTTTCATTTATTAGTTCATTACGGTACAGTTAAAATATGTCCAAACACAGCCCTTGCCTAATTTAAATATTTGCTCATATGCATTTAAACACTTTTTAAATACATATTTTGCGTTTCTTCTCCTGCTCTTATCCCATGTAGTGTATATTAAAACACATTGGGAACATTTTAATTTGAAAGAAGTCTAAAATAAAATTGTATTTGTCAAATATTAATTCTGACGTAATTGTTAATGATTTGATGTTTAGATCGGAATAATTGGTGGTTCAGGCCTCGATGATCCAGATATCTTGGAGGGGAGGACTGAACGCTATGTTGACACACCGTATGGAAAGGTTTGTTGTTCTTTTTGTGGTCCAAAGATGTTTCTTGTTAAATGGAGAAGTGCAACCTATAAGCTCTACTGACATGCTAGGCTGTGTTTCCTATACATTAATCAATAGATTAGTATGTTTTATAGTTACATTTTTCTGCTCCCCCTGAACAGCCGTCCGATGCTCTGATTCTGGGGAAGATAAAAAATGTGGAGTGTGTTCTCCTTGCAAGGTAAGAGCGTGTTTTACTTTAACCTTTAAATATCAATTCTGAAAATGTATTCTACTACCACCATCTAGTGGATTCTTGCTTGTACTCCATCTTTACAATGTTTCACCACATTAATATTAATTAGGAGACAAGCGTCTAATACTGATACTTCTACTAAAAATAATAGAATTATATAGACCTTTACAGACTCTGCTACACTTCGCTTTGCAATTAAAACGATACATTTAAAACCCAAAGAGAATAAAATTAACTAAAAGACCAAAACCACAAGGCATGGAGTAAAACAAAGTAAAATACCATAAAACAAATGAAAAAAAGTGAGGGGTTTTGCAATGAATAATATCTTCACAATAATCAATAAAAGAGCTGTAAAATAGCCAGTAAGGAGAAATCCAGGCAGAAGAGTTGAGTTGTTTGATGAGTTGCACCTTGCACCGATCTGCTACTTATGGAGGCGCAATGACAGTTTTTAGATTATTAAGAAATTTAGAGAGATGGTCTAATCCTTGAAATATTTCCAAGATGATGAAAGCCAGATTAATTCATTGATTTAACATGTTTGTGTAAATTTAGTTTTTACCTAGATTTCTGCAATCTTGAGGTTACGGTGTCTTGACACAGATGTAAACGAACAATGTGTTTCTTGATTGATTGATGTATTTTTTTCCTATTTTTAGGCATGGGAGACAACACACCATAATGCCGTCCAATGTGAACTACCAGGCCAACATCTGGGCACTGAGAGAAGAAGGCTGCACACATCTGCTGGCCACCACAGCCTGTGGCTCACTCCGAGAGGAGATTCAGCCGGGAGACATTGTCATCATAGATCAGTTCATTGACCGGTGAGTGGAATGTAAACACGAGCAGGTTATGGTTCAGACGTTTCTTTACTCGGTCAGAACACACTCTGTAGGAAGTAGTGAAACAGAATGTCAGAGCGTGTTGATAATTGTATTCTTCATATATCACATTGAGAATGTAAAAGACACGTTCAGTTAAATATGTTTATCTTCAGTTTTGTTCTGATTTGTTATCAGACCGAATGTTAAAAAGTTCTGATATTCCAACGTCAAGCAAGAGCTCAACACACAAGCTTTAAAAATCAAACCATTGCATTAACAAGTAGCGCGCAGGTCTTTTTTTTTCTTTCTTTTTTTTCTCGTGTTCTGAACTATTTGTCATCTGGATGCATAAGCAGCAGTGTGGTGGAATCCAGAAAGAACCACAATATAATGCAGTGTGACGTTTATGGGAATAGTGGCAAAATAGTTTTTTGATGTTTTATGAATAAATTAACTGTCTTCATGCATACCTCGAAATTCTATTCCATTGGGCGTCATCCTGCAATGACTGTAGATGAAAGGTATTGCACAACAGTTGAAAAATCTTCCCACGCATCTCACTGGCAGGATTCCTGTTTCTGTGGTTCAACAGTCAGATCGCTGAGTAAGAAAGGGTGAGTTTCTTGACTCCCCATGTTAGACACGTTTAACAAAGCCAATATTTGTTTACTATGTAGTTCAGCTGGAAGTATTTGTTAACTCCTGCCCAATGTCCGGTTGAACTCGAGCGTAAATAGTCTTCTCACAGCCAGTGAGGATTAGGAGGAGTGCCGGAGAAGAAGATAAGATAATCAACAGATCTTTTTGTAAACCGCCATGGCTGCTTCCTGTCCGTATCACCTGAGTTGTGAGAATTTCAGCCTCAAGCTCTCCTTCAATCTAACGCGCTAATAATACCCACCATTGTGTTGTAGTGACTGTCATGAAAAGGATTTGTTCACAAAAAGATGCACTTGAGTTTGAGGGACTGCATAACCTGTATTGACTTCAGGTGGTTGGGCCTGCAGGGTTGAACACTAATAAAACAAGTTTGTTGATTCCTGTTTGTCCAGATCCGTCATAGAGATGCATATTTATTTAGTTTCTATTTTGTTTCTAGTTAACATGCTTAACTATGTTTTGCCATCTCTGTCTAACTTTGAGATCTGTTGATGAAGAGTGAGTTATAAATAAAAAGTATTCTTATAATAATTATTATTGACCTTAGAACACTCTTCTGTAAGGCTGGCAAGCTGTCAGCTGTTTTGGAGATTCTTCCTTCTCACAGCTGGGTTGCTGTGTTTCCCCTGCAGTTTCGCGTAGGGCCGCCTTCACTAACAGCATTATTAAGCCCAGACCTGATCTATTTATCGGAAATGAGGAAGTTGCTTGTTCAGACTTGTTCAGCGGCATGTGGCCGCGTGTTTCTGAAAGATTTGTGCGATTAAGTCACCTCTGCTTATTTGTTTTCTAAGCAGACACTGGTTTTCTATGGGTTGGTGCGGCAGGCTTTGTCAAGTTGGAAGCACTACTGTCCGTCATTAAATCACCTTCTGCACACCCCGGTCCTCCTAGTGCAGAGCTCTCAAAAAAACCCCGGAGTGAGATTTTGTCGGGGGTGAACATAAAGCCGACACGGGTGTGGGGGGGTGGACGCTATCGCTACAGCTGACGGGAAGGTTGAAGAGGAACCAACGCGGCTCAGACCGAAGTCCGACTTTTTTTAGCATGAGAAATTGGATGTGTGGCGGGAGTGCGTGACTAAATAGCGAAATGAGTGACCGTCACGCACAATGCGTGACACTTGAGCTCTGTCCCAGTGTGACCCTTGATTCAGATTCTCTTGTTTTTCCCCGAAACCAAAACCCTGATCAATCCCACATGTGTGAAAGAATGTAATGCGAGGATGTATATTTTTACAAACTGAAACAGGGTTTTATATCATTATTAATAGTCCCTGAATAATAAAAACGCTGGGGTGTCAAAGCTTTGTCCAGCTGTGTTGGAAACGGACTGAATGTACTTAATGCTTAGCAGTCCATACCTCATCCTTCTCGCATTTCAGGAATGATTGAAATATTCGATAATTATAGACGGTAGAAGCCATTCATTACAACAATGATTCTGAAATGACATTCCTAATGAAATGCCAAGCCGGGATAATTAGATCTCTATAGCATAATCGGGCATTGTACTCCGTGCTCATAGTTTATCCCTCATGCTAACTGATTTTCGGCCGGGTAGAGCTGCAGCTTTCAAACTCTATTCTAGCAATGACTGTAGTCGCCCAATGTCAGAGTTATGAGTAAGCGGTAGGGCATCAACTTCAATATGTTCGTCTATACAGTCAGTAAATACGTTGGCTGTCTGAGATAATTGTGATAGGGCGTAGCCATCTCTGGGAAGATGCAAGTAAATTAAAACACCACAATTCTTTTTCTGTTTTATCACCCCATGATATTAAAAATAATTGGGTACTTGCTAATAGACAAGCTGAAGGGATACATGCAGACTAAAAATCCCCGATGTTCTCAGGCCGCTGTGCTAAGTGAGTCAGCCGTTTGTAAACACTGCTGACCGGCTCCACGAAGAGCTGAAGGTGGCAGGACGCCTGTTGGAAACCCTGCCTGACCCGGCCGCTGCTTTCACGGTCCTCAGTGGCTGTCAGAGTAGTGTTCATAAAATGTTGAATAGTGGACAATAAACTGGAACAAATAAACCAATTCAATAAACTGGAACAAATAAGCCAATAAACCAATTTAATAAACTGGAAGTTTATAACTAACTGTGGCTGCTTCAGAATTATGATCTGCACACGGATAACTTTTGGATGGCGATATCATAGTGTTCATTTTCACTGTTTTATCACCGCTAGACATGCAGTATTGTCTCTTTTTTAATGTTATGGAATGTTTTTTTCCATCGCTTCCGGGGGGTGGGGAGGTTATACTTTAATTTCTTTGGCAAATACATTTTTAATAGAAATAATCAAATCTCACTCAGTACTTTCCAATGTCTCGGGTTGCCTTGAGCCTAACTCAAGTTGGTCCTGTGTGCTTCCTTTTGGCCAGGACTACCAAGAGAGCTCAGACGCTTTTTGACGGACAGCCCACTAGTCCAACCGGAGTGAGCCACATCCCCATGGCTGAGCCTTTCTGCAACAAAACCAGAGAGGTGAGTCCTCAGGCGCCTCAGAGATGTCGCTTCCTGTAAATGATTCTGTGATTAAAAATACGAATGTGAACTTTTAACATGTCTAAAACTATCACGCCATGTCAAAATGTAATATTCTACACTGATATTGTATTGAGTTGTAGGAAAGACAAAAAAAATGTTGTTGAAAACAATACGTCGCAAACGTTGTAACAAGAGAAGGAGATGAACAAACTGTCAACAGCCTCCCCCTGCTCTCCCGTCGGCCCGGTCGACCCCGTCACCACCTCTTTACTCCCGCTGCAGGTGCTGGTGGAGGTGGCGCGGAGCCTTGGTGTTAAGTGTCACGTTCGAGGCACGATGCTGAGTATCGAGGGGCCGCGCTTTTCCTCACGGGCCGAAAGCCTGATGTTCCGCCAGTGGGGCGCCGACGTCATCAACATGACCACGGTGCCAGAGGTGGTCCTCGCCAAGGAGGCGGGCTTGTGCTATGCCAGCATTGCCATGGCGACTGACTATGACTGTTGGATGGAGCACGAGGAGGCGGTGAGTGGCGGGCTGGAGTGCAATTTGCAAAATGAAGTAACACTTTTCCAGAATGTTACACGTTGTAGGTGCAACGCAATACCAATCTTTTTTTTCTGTCATAGCCAATTGGTCCTTTTTTATGGACTTCCTGTCTTAGACAAAGGTTTTTGCCGTCTGTGCTCTGTAAGTAGACGAGAGTATTGTGGCTTCTTTTGGTTTCCGATTAGCCTTCCCTACGTCCGGCGCTCTTTTATAATGATTTACAGCGCGTGGGCGAGTTAGCGCTTATTTGTCCCCGATTCAACCAAAAACTCACATCTCCGGTTCCTGCAGCTGACCTCTTCCCCCTCCTGTTGCAGAACGTTCACCACATCCTTCCGCGCCCCCACACTCCCTCCCTCTCAGGCCCACACTACCTCCTGACTCCCGCCCCCACTTAACTTCAGCTCGCCTGCCAGCCTCCGGTGGAAGCCCTGCCAGAGGAGGTTGAGTCACACTGAGTCATCGGCTTCACTGTCTTCACCCGGGCAAACGCCACGAAAACATGAATCCTTCATTGATCGTGACATGAAAACCACACTTTCAAAGCGAAGGGTTAGTTCGGGACACAGGAAGGAAACAATGTTGTCACTTACAGTGCGCGTCTGCCGGAGCAATGACGATATTATCACCTATTTTCATGCAGGCAAACTTCAATGTTTGATCCTGTGAGTGAATCCTTTATTTATTTACGTAATGGCCGCAGAAGAAAAAGTGTACTTATTGTTATGATTTTTACGTCTCCTCTTCCTGTGCCAATGTTGCAGAGGAAATGATGTGATAATTGCCAGTGTCACGGACCCGACCGGTGAAATGGGTTAAGACTCAAGTGCATCATTAACATAATAATAATATATATAATATAATGAGTCTTGATGACTGATCTCTGTCCGCTCTGATGCAACAGGTTTCTCATATCAACGGCCATCTCTTTGTCTGACTCATTTATATTTGGAATCATTTCACTTCTAACAGCCTGCTGTTGTTTATGTTCTGCTGAAAAATAAACATAGGCCCTCATAATATTCCACTTTGTTTTTTTTTTATTAGCTAACAGAAGTCAGAAGTTATTCTCATTTGTAACAACAGTAAAATACACCTGATTTTAAGATAAGATATTCCTTTATTAGTCCCACAATGGGGAAATTTACATATCGCGGAAGCAAAGTGGACAGTGCACACAAGATGCATGGTAAAAAAACCAAGATAAAAACAAGAGCAGCAGGATCATAATAATGATTAAAAAAATGACAAGAATAAAATTATTACATATATTTACTAAGTACCAAATATATATATGTGCATGTACACATACCACAGGGATTATTGCCGTCTTTCTTGCACATACAAAAAAGATGAAATGCCCTGTGGTTTACTTGGGTGCACAGTTGGTTGTGCAGCCCGACGGAAGGAAGGACCTGCAGTACCTCTCCTTTGCATTATGAGCACGGTTTTATCCCTACCATTATAACTGGGGGGCGCCCCCCCTCCCTATTTTAAATGATTTTTTAAAAATGGTTGCTGTTATTTTTCCTCGCACGACAGTTCCACACTGACATTAATGTATGTTGTGAATAAGTCCGTGTGGCGCTCCGTTCGCCCCCCCGGTCGGCCCGAATAATACATCCACGCCGCCCCGGCCTCACCATTTCCCCAAATACTACATCCTCCCCTAAAGTTGTAAACCATGGGGAAACAAATCTATGTCAACAAACAGTTGACATAGATTTCTATGTCAACAAACAGTTGACATAGATTTCCGCCAGTAGTCAGATTTCAGCTGATCTTTAAAATGTCTTATCCTAATGGCCCCCATATGGTGTCAATTGAAGATTATTGAGTGAAAATTGTATGTTGAATCGGGGGAAAAAAATTACATTTTTAGGTATATACAAAATGAAGGAATTGAAATGAGCATTTCTGTAAGTGATTGATATCACACGCCAGCTGTTTGTTGTCCCTTGTCCTGAAGGTCTGTGTTGACAACGTAATGAAAACGATGAAGGAGAACGCCAACAAAGCCAGCAGCATCCTGCTGACTGCGATACCCCAGATTAGTCAGATGGACTGGGCTCAGACAATGAAGACCTTGAAAGTAAGTTGTCAACTTTACGGTGACTCATATCCATTCACAAGGACTCGGTAGAGGTTGTGAACTAAGGTCTGTTTACCCTTTTACAGCTGGATACTTTAAACTGTGTAACTGTTTCAAAAGAGTGATCAAAGCATCCGGAGCTTTACACCTTCTCAAAACACATGCCGCTCATGAAGGTCGCTTCATCTGCGAGGCTCAAACACTGTCATCGTGCTGTGCTGCACCTTTTGTTTATAGTGTTGGACCAAATACAACTCAGCTGATTTAACTTGGAATGGAAACACTGAATATGAAAACACACCAGTCTAATACATATTACAATCTTCACCCAATATATGTGCTAATAAATATAGTAAATGTGTAAAGAAGAGTGCACATGGTTGATAAGCCGACCATGTTAATTGTCCCTCATTAAATTCTTTTTTATTTATCTGCAACAATATCTTCGTATGTGCTTGATGTAGGTTGCAGGAAAGTAAATCGTTAAAATTTCTATTCAAAACTCGGGTAACTCTAAAACAAATGCTTCTTTCACGTGGTTGATACGTAGTTACTGTTGCTTAGTGTCGTTCAGTTATTCATGGCAGAAAAAAAACCCCACAGTCCTCTTTCTTCTGTTACAGTCAATGGCACAGTCGTCTGTAATGTTACCTAAACATTAAGCTTGGAGAAAACCCCCGGAGTGAAAAAAGACCCGAGGCACCAACGCACGGACAACACACCCAACTCCGGCTGTGGATCGATCATCAGTGAATCACAAACAAGTGCCTCGCGTGAAGAAAGCATGCGCGCTTTAGCTGGAGTCTCACAGTCCCTTCTTGACTGAAAATACTCGTATAAGCATCCAGACAGTTGAGTCAGCATCCCACCGCGATTAAAACATCATTATACTAGATATTATTTGTGGGTTCATATTTTCTGTTTTCTGTAAACATTCGAAGTTATATATTTGTAATGTAATCCATTGGTGTCTTTGTTGCTGTTTGTGCAGGATACAAAAAAAAGACTTTGCTAGTAGCTAATGCTACTTTGTTACTGCCTTAGTTGCAACAAATATGTTCTCTATGTCGAATCTGAAGTAAAATTGTTTAAATGCCTGTATCCATTTCAGGAAAATGGATTCTCATTTCCCATATCGACTGAAATATTTGAAACTGAAACTTTTTCTACGCTTAAAATGTTTGATACAACCTACGAATCATCAGCATAATGAAGAGGGCGTCTTCTGTAATGCGCCAGGCCATCTGTTACCGCTCTTTGTCACTTCCATGTTCTTATCTGCAATACGGCATTTGCTCAGCTGGATTTCATCACAATCAAAAGTATCTTCAAATACTTATTAATAGCTTGTTTTTTTACTTTCTGTTGGCTTGTCTTTACAATATGAACGCATTCTGCAGACGTTAGCTCAATAAAAACTACCGTGATTAGTGCTTTAACATTGTTTGAAAAACATTAAAACTGATCCAAATGAATCTTTTCAATGTCAGTATTTGTTTGTATCACAGATTCATAAAATATGCCACAGCATGCAGAGTGCAATAGTCTTGTATCTGTGCCAAAAAAGTCAGCAATAAAAGAGACAAAGGTAAGTGCTGCATGAATTGTCAAGTTCAGTTTTGAATATGTGGTCATGATGCGATTAGATCGATGATTTTATTAAATAAATGAACTGTGAAAGACCGCTTCTTTTTTAACATTTTGTGAACAGGATTCATTAAGATAAAAGCGTTCCATAGGATAGTTGATCCAATTCCATGCCAGTCGTGGTCACTGGGGTCTTTTCTGTATACGTTTGTCTAACCTCCACCTTCATAGCCAGAACCAAAACGAGCTAATGTGTAACTTTGAACAGTGTATATAAAGTCATATGTGTTTTATCTCTCTCATTCTTTTCAACCACAGTCAGGACTTTTAAAAAAACAGTTTTTCTGCATCCATCGGATGGTCTATTCCTCCCATGTGCTGAGTGCACAGCTTCACAGGGATGGTCTTTGGACGTCAAGCGTCTAACGGTGCAGGAAGAGAGGCCATGTGGATCTCTGAACTATTCAACCACAGAGCGAGCTCCTCCTCCCTCTTTCTTGAGCTGCTTTTACATCCTCCGCCTCTTCAATGTCAATTCTATCAGCGTAATATTCACCCTCTAATCAGTTTACACAAAAACCTACTTCATGTTCAGTCAAACTTTATTAATATAGTATATCTTTATTAGTTAAAACTTCATTTAACCTGTATTCAAACAGTAATCCCATGTTTTCAATTTGATTTGTCTTTCCAATACTCGTGCATCTCTTCTGTGCATACATTAAAACATTAAATATTTAATTTAATTAAAGTGCATAACGACCGAGTTCTGAATATAAACTGTCCAAACAGGAGCTCCAACTTTTTTCTGCACATTAACGATAGTGTTTATAGAACAGCGTGTCCTTTAGAGGCTAATATTCAATGAGCAAAACATTTGAATGGCTTTCGTTAAATATTACACATGGAAAGATGTTCAAAATGCCTCATATGATTTACAAAGCAAACCAGAATTAACCCTATTTTAAAAAATACAAATTACTGAACATTAGTAAAAATGTATAAAGTGAGATTCCTTTAAGGCAAATGGTCTTATTTCTTTTTTACAGGGGAAGATGAATCAAGATGCACACATTGGTGTTAATGTCCCCATAAACCAAATATCTCCAATAGTTTGCTTTAGACAACCTTGCCTTCGTTAACAAATAAAATAACGACGCCTATCAGCTAAAAATATGACGTATAAATAAAGTGTTTTACACCAGAACAGTGTTTGCATCATTTAAGGCTGCAGGCCTCGTCGGGGCCTGTTTCCAGTCTCTGTTCTAAACATAAATATCATTTCGTCACCGACTAGTTTGGCAGAGACTGCAGAAAATTCACAACATCGACGTGGTTATTCTCTCCGGCCAAATCCACCGGCTGACGCGCTCTATTGTCTCTGGCCTGCGGCTCGGCCCGATATTGCACCAGCAGCCGCACGGTGTCCAGAAAGCCCGCCCTGGCGGCGTCGTGCAGCGGCGTGGCCCCGGTGCTTCTGTCCGCCGCGTTGGGATCCGCTCCGTGCTTCAGTAAGAGCAGAGCCACCGGCGTGCTGCCCATCATCATCACCTTTAGACATGGATAAATAACCGTGAGTTATTCGGGGCATCTTGTTTTGATTTTATGTGGCTGTAAAGTTATTAGGAAATCGTGTAGGGACCATAAAATCTCACCGACCAATTTTCATTCGGATTTTTATCAACCAACTGAAGCTCTAGATAATAGTCACAATGTAACCTGCATTCAGATTATTGTATGGAAATATGAGCCACTGAAAGCGGGTTTAACGCAACAAAACAATGCGAGAATAAAAATCACACAATCGATTATGAGCAGCCCTTTTTAAAAGCTCTGCACTTGTTTTGTTTTCGTTTTCTTAGGTCTTGAGTGCAAGTTGTATTCTATGAAACTAAGTAGTGATTGTGGGGCAGTTGACGGCTGTTGTGTTGTTACATAAGTCTGCATATTGAGAGGCGTAATGAATACTAATAATAATACTGCTGAATGGAGGGTGTCACATGTTAATTCTGCCGTATTTGTTGTATAATAGCCTGTTTTTTTTAAATCCCTACCTCTTCAAACTACAGGTGCTAATTTTCGTTTGGAATTGGTGAGCAAGTTATATAGGACATTAACGTTTTTTTGACACAACTATTACGTACTATCTACTTTTAACGCAATACTAACACTCCATAAATCGGTTGTAAAAGCTGTCTTGATAACGAACAATCCAAAGTAACAACATGTATGAATGTTGAAACTCGACTTTTAGTTTCGTTTCATTTAACCTGACGATGAGTAATATTATATTAATAGGAAACATCAATAGTGTTGTTTCCTCCATACAAGTTTGTATTAAGGTTAGATCTACAAATCCACATTCCATTTACGCAACGGCGTCATTTCGGGGTACATTGCTTCTTCTTTCTTATTTTTCCATCCGGCTAAATAAAGAAACAATAGCCAGTTTGACATGTCTCCCATGTTCGCAATTTATGTGGTCATTTAAAAAAAAAAAAAAGGTACCGAGACACATTGAAGTACGAAAACACGCGTTCGGTCGTCGGTCGGCGGAGCGCGTCTGACACCGACCTGTAAAGCGGTTCGCCCAAAGCGGTTCGCCCCGTTAACAGAGGCCCCCGCCTGCAGGAGATCCTCCACATCGGCCGTGTTTCCCGTCGCGGCGGCCGTTGCTAGTTCATCCTCCAGAGTCATGTCCAGAGGTCCCGCGGCGTCCGCGTCCGGGAGCCTGTCACTTCGTGGCCTGTTGACAGGTGCGAGGAATGTTTGAGGAAGCCAGAGAAGCGCGAGTGGAATAGTCCTGTCGCTCGTCGTTGACGTTTCGACGGTTTATCCCCGTGTGCCCCGTCCGGTCCGTCCCGTCCGCAGTTGGTCTGGGTTCGGATGAGTTAGGGTGTGCATCGCCGGTCCAGCGATGTGCGCGTCCGGGCTCGCTTCGTTTTTCCTTTCCTTTTTTTTTTTTTGTTGTTGAACGGGTGACGTCAGTGTGCGTTGCCGCAGTGGTGCGATCACGCCCCTGCGCTCTGCCACGACCGTCGCGTTGTAAATGTATGCAAATCAACCAGTGATGGAGATCGACTCCTTCCGACGCATGTGACACGATATCAACAAAAACAAAAGCTGCTGTTTCTCCTGCTGTATTCTGGACCTGACCATAGAAGTTGACGATACATTCTCAGCATAGAGCCAAATAACAGCAGCTCAACATGAGTTGTATTGGAACTATTATTATATTACATAGTAATATAATAATAGTTTAAATATATGGGTGGGTGATACGGGTTGATGTTATGCCTGTAAAGGAGACACACAGTGATCCATTAAAGGCTCTCTTGCATCGCTTTACAATATGAGCAAAAGCTCCAGGACGGCTATTTTGTTCTTGGGCTGAGACGTGATTGGTATTACATCGGCGCAAACTAAAGACACACCTCCTCAGGCTATACCTTGACTAAAAAACAACAAAACAAATTGCAGCACTTTAATTGTACTTATAATGGCTCTTATCTATAGCAAGTTGTAAATCGCCTTATTTGATAAAATTGCACTTTCTTGTTCTTCTGGGTTTGTATCCGTATGGTTGAAAGCACGTATTTAAAGTCGCTTCTGATTAAAGCGTCAGAAAACTATGTAGCGTAATGTAATTTCATGGCCAATCAAACGTCCGGATGATGTGTGTGGGCGGGGTTGAACTATGACCCTTAAGCGGGAGCAGTAAGTGAGCATAGCAGAGCTACTGTAGAGTCACGGTTGGATATTTTCAGACTCTTTGGTTTCATAAAAAAAACTGTCGACTAACTTACTGACTTGTATAATTAAGTTGTCAAAGCCAATAGCGAGATATTTCCAGAAACTGAGGTTTGGTGACCAAAAGGAACAAAGGAAGTGAGGACTTGGCTAACTAGCGTTAGCTAGAATGAAGCTAACGTTTAACCAGCAGGGGAAGGAACCGCCGCCATCGTGGCAGCAGCAACTCAGACGCACTCGACTCTATCGCCAGCCAATCTGAGCCAGAAGCCAACTCCTTTGCTTAAAAATGGAAGAAAATCACCTGCTCTTCCATCGTGGATCCACTTGACCGTTTTCTGGTCATTTCCTGAAAATGAATTAATTCCTACGGGTCATTGCAATGACATTTCAGCCTTGGAGAGAATCTTCGAAAAGTGCTTCTGCGGCCACGAGTCATTTAACTGCTGAAATCTTCTTCTTAGTCAAGTGTCGCGGCCTCCTGACAAGCCATCCAAGGTAGGGTTAGTCTCTACTCTAATGCCAATTTAAGATGATTTAATGATGTGTCATCATGTGTTGGCTTTGTAGTCGGATTCATTTTCTGGCAGGATGATGCGTTTTTTTTAAACCTGCTTGGCGGTTTACTGTTAATGTCTGGTTGGTTTACTTTTGGCCTGTGTGTTGACCTATTTATCGCCTGTTCATCTCCGCTGTCAGTCTGCTATTGAACGTTAGAGCTTAATGTCAATCAGGCGCTCACGAGGCAGCAGTGTTGTTGATTTTGTACATTTCCACATAGTTTGCTTGAGTAGTAATCCAGACTATCTTTCTTGGCTGAGAAAAAAAGATTAAACCCGACCTTTAAAAAAAAAATATATATATTTATTTTTTAGGTTAATTAGGTACTCTTATGGGTCACGTTTTGTGTCTATCTGACAGAAATAGACTTTAACAGGGCACCGTTTATGCAACTATATATTGTTTAATAGAAGGGGACTAAATGCATCATCTGAATGGAGGCCTTTCAGGAAAGGACCAGAATGGCGTTCTGTGTCCACCATGGAAGAGACAGCAGCTACCCGGGTAGCACAGTAAAGCTGTAATTACTGAAACTGTTGGACAAGTCATAGTGAAACTACAATGTCATGCTTCTCCATTGTCTAACCTGAAAAACCACTGCTGTGAATTAAGTATTTTCTTTTTGAATGCAAGAGGAGACAACCACGGGCCCACTGTCTGGTCTGTTGAATTATCAATAAATGACACGTGTGTTGGCTGAGATGAGGATTGAAAGACTGATTGTTTGTCATCAGTGGAATAATGGGTGCTCACTGGTCCTCTGTGTCAGACCAGTATACGTCACGTGTGTCGTCAGATTCAGTGACGGGTGACAGTGCTGAGGAAGTAGCCTTGCCACGTGGTTCAGGATTAATTTGAGACCACGATGTCCCTTGTTTATTCAAACCTGCACATGTGGCCAGCCTGTGCTAGTGTGGCGTCTGTGTCTGTCATACCTGCCTTTGTCGTCACAAAGTGCACCGAGGACCCAAACGCACTGCGAGTCTTATAATTACCAGTATCATCATTATTATTATGTGGGTTTTGAGACGTTGATATGTCAGCATGGTTGTGGGTCTCTCTTGTGAGTTCTTCCTGATTTCACTCTCACTCTTTGCACAAATCCAAAAAGAAAAGTACATTTAAAGTCACATTTCTGTACTCCTGTTAAGTAGCTAATGAGCAACAGTAATCAGCCACAGTTTACTGCAGTAGCACCACAAGAAATATCAGCGGAGTGGACGTAAACGTCCGCATAAGTGAGGAATGAAAATAGTGCAAATGATTATTAATTATCACGTGACCAGCCCCTCGGCAGTGTGTCCACTCGATGTACCACTCGCTGTGGGATGTGCTGGCAGAAGCCAGCAGTCATGTAGGGTGGTGGTGTGTGTGTGTGTGTGTGTGAACGTAGCCTTAATACTCAGTTTATCTGAGCAAATGTGAGCGGGCCGACGTGTGTGGAATGTGTGTTTTGCCTTGGGGTTCACAGCCTGTAGCGATGGAGGGTGAGTGTGGGTGGAGGTGTGTTAGTCTGGAAGTCCCCTGTCTGCGTCTCGTGTGAAATAAAAGGGCACTGTGAATGATTACAGGCGTTATGGCTCATGCCTTGGATGGTCTGTTTTAAAAGTATGCATGAATAAACAGATCACCAGTTTGTAGTGGGGAAAGAAAGGGACTTTGTAGGGGACAATTAAAGCTTGCTTTTAATGACCACCGAAGCCATCTTCAAACATGCCGAAGAGTCTTTTCTTTGGAGGGCTTGGCTTCGTGACATCAGTGCTTTTGGAATGTTCCTTCGGTCAGCGGAAAAAAGGCTCGAGGAAGAAAGCACTCCTCTTCTTTGCTAAATTTAGCAAAAGTCGGGCACTGGGGATTTGGATGTCACAGCATGTGGCCCCTGAGATTTGATTCTTTAAAATGTGTCTTTATTTGCTAGCTTAGTTTTTGTTCTGAATTTATTTATTACGGTTCACACTTTGCTATATCATTGCATGTTTTGCATGCTAACACTGCCGTGCGCTCCGAAGCACGAGGCCAGACAGACGAGGAGGGGAATACCTGCACTCTCATCCCCACGAGTCACCTCCTCACTGCGCAAACCCCCTTTTTATTGCGTCTTTTAAATGCTTTTATTGTCTGGCCTTTGATTGCTCGACACTGACTCAAGTGAGGAATTTGACAACTATTCATACGGATAAAACAACTTTTCTAATCTCGTGTACTCACACTATTTCTACGTATTAGAACGCAGCTGGGAACATCCTACTGAATTTTTCTCCAGATCTTTTTCCTCCTGTGTTATCAACGTGTGGGCTTGTTTTGTGCTTTCAGAAGAAACAAAATAGTTAATGTCAAATAGTATGATTGAAAATGTTATATTTCTGCCTCTTCCAGTTCGGCACAATGTCAGCAAATGTGACACGTATTTGTTTATTAAGGCAGTAAGTGTCATACTTCAGTTTTGGTCGGCACCCAGTGGTATCAGCTGATCGCTCTCAATGAGCCATGCAGGGACACACTCCTGCTGACAGTCTCTTATTGCTTCTAGGCGATTCTGCACAATATGTGGTATTTCACAATGCAGTGGTGAGTTGAGGCTCTGTCCTACTCACACACCGGCCTTTCAGTGTTCTTTTATTCTTATTGCATCAGCTCAATGTTTGTCTCAACCGGCTCTGACACGTCCCAGAGAATCAAAACACTTGACAGAAAAACGGTTACTGTTATCGGGCCAGGTGTGTATTGGTGATCTTCACGCAGATGTCGAATTGTACAACATTTCAATGGGGTTCTCTGTTAAGCTTTAGTACCACTCGTGTGCTGATAAGACAAACTTGATACGGGGCAAACAGAGGAGGACGGGGTGGCCCCATCACATCAAAGGCACATCGTGAAATGGGATTGACGTTAAAAACATACAAACGCACTGCAGCACACTGCATTGTAGATAAAACCTTTGTGATGTTGGTATTTCTGCTTTGAAGTCCTCCTGTCAGAACCCTTTCCAGGAGTAGAGGGATGAAAGCCGGACTGGGACGGTGGGGGATTTAGGGGGTTATTTTTGACCCAAGCTTAATTTCTAATACTTAAACCTAATCGATCAAATTAATTCAGTCCCAGTATGCAGTTCATCTTAAATTCTTCGTTCTGTGCCATTTTTGCCTGTTTACAAAAAAATACAAAAGAGCTGAATTGTTGATTCAAATAGTTTCACTTCTCAATCACCCAATGGCTTTACTTGGGCAAACTCATCAGTTGAAGAAGTGGCCTAACCCACAAGGCACTTTGCTTCCACATATCATGTTACCATGACAATGCCATACGGTTTACAATGGTGCTTTTGGATTTGAAGATTTGAAGTTGTATATGATGGTAAATACAACAGTGACACTCTAATCATATATTTAATACAATAGATTACCTCTGATCAAATAATTGCCACTAAAGTAGCACAGTTACATTGTCTTTTTGATTAAAAGCACTATTGTATATTTAGTTAGGGTTATTTAATTTGACATTCAAATTTCTTTGTATATTTTTTGGGGGATATTCATTTTCGTTACTAATCATTTTCTGATATGTTTAGGTAGTTCTCATCGACTAAAAACGGCTTTCAAATTTCATGTTTTCATGTTTACCCAGCGTTCAACTACTTATCCAGATTGCTCTTGAAATAGGTTTTATCTCCATTGGTTTTAT